ACACAGCGTGTGCATTATATATAACATGGCCAATGATGCTGTTGTTCTCTAATGGAAAATGCAAATGTTGTGGTGGTGGGGAAGAGATTCATTCATTTTTAATGACACTGTAAACAGTAAGTTTCTGTTTAATCCAGACATTAAAAATATTTGGGTGTTTGGTCCTGCTGTTAATTCAATAAAGCGATTATTGGTGTAATTATGAAGGCTATATAAGTTATGGTACATCAAAAGAGGGTTGTAAAACGGTGGCATACTTCATAGTCTAATGCTGTGCATCCTCTCAGGCCCATATAAATTCTGAAGCTGAATATTAAATTGTCACTCACTATAATTAAGTGATAATTTAATGCAGTCAAGGTCCCCAGCAGACAGGCTGGGAGAGCAGATAGCCACAGAGGGGGAAGTGCATCAGCAATGTCAAGGAAGCCACTTTCAAAGTAGATGCAGTTTGGTAACTCTGATTGTAGTTGCACCAAGGTCTCCTCCATGTGTGTCTTTCTTTTCTTTTCTTTTTTGCAGATGTATTCTGCAGCATGTCATTGGACTGCAGCATTAGTGGTGGACTGCACCAGCCACACATAATTCTACTTTGTCAGTGGTTCCACAATGCTTCCTCAGTATTATGGCCATTTAGAGGGACACTCTTGCACTATAGCATGACAACTGTGGGACAAAATAAATAAATAAACCAGAACATTTGTGGTATGGAAAGTTACAGGATTTCAGTTAGAAGTTATGATGGGACATGCACTGATGCATGGAAACAAAAGCAGTCCTAAAACATCTGTCCTAAAACTTCTGCAAGAAAACAGTATTTAAAGGAGAATTGTGTATAACAGCCCTGATACCATCATGAACACACATCGTCATGAACGCACAATGAAAAGCACATCTGGAGGTGCTCCAAGACTGAACATGGCAAACAAACTGCCATGAAAAAGTAATTCTGCTATTACTTACAAACTTGTAAATTCCAAGGCACATGGAAACTCAGAGGACACTTGCATTTTAAGTCAGTTTAAGCATACTACCCTCGGGACCAGAATACACAACCAGCAAAATCATTTGCGTAAACTGTTTCCTAAACTATCCCACTTCAGGCAGTGAAATAAGTTTGAAAGCTCCCACGTGGGAACAACTCTTTGTAAATGGAAAATTAATCTCTCAACTAGGCCAGAACCCTTCTCTCTTGCATGTATTTCTAGACATAACATATCCAAGAAAGGTTGAGGGCTTCTTTAGAGGGAACATTCAAGCCCCCACCTGCAGACTAAAGGAATGTTGCCAGGAAAGTTATACCACAGGAAAAGGGAATTTACACATTATACAGCAATCATAACAACATCTTACCGGAAAAGGGTGGGGCCAAAAACAATGGCAAGGTTCTCCATTGTCATGTGGTTCTCATCGCTATGTGCTGCCACTTTGACCAGAAATCTAATAAGGAAATGGAAAAGGCTATAGTGGGCTTTCGGTAGGCTGCTTAATAGCCTTCTTAGGGTGCATCCTGGGCAGTCTGCCATGTCGTTTTTATTATCTGTGAAGGATTAAATGTTAATCATTAACTAAGGTTAGCATAAGTTGTAGTTATTACTGCTAGTGTTTCATACTTACTGAGTACCAAGCATGTGCAAGGTGTTTTGTACTGAGGTAAGATGGTCACTGCCCAGATGGGTGGCAGAGAAGCATTGACAGCATAAACATGAGTGACGTCCTGTGCAACAGTGAGGTGTATGATAGGGTTACCAGACGTCCCTGTTTCCCGGGGACAGTCCCCGGATTTGCAAATTTGTCCCCGGACAAATTCCATCACCGGAATATCCCCGGATTTCATCTAATGTCCCCGGGAAACGTGGCAGCGGCAGTCTCAGCAGCCCGGAGCCAGCCTGGTAGCGCAGTTGGCTCTGGCTGGCTTCAGGAGGCGCCTGCCATTTTGCCTCGCTGGAAGTCCCCATATGATGTGTTGCGCACAAGCTGAGCTGCGGCTCAGCTTGTTGGCCAGCTCTTTGTTGGCCATCACGGATGAGAGGCGAGCAGGAGACGAGCTGATCCAACCCAAGCACGCCTCCTCCCACCCGCTCTGCTCTGGGACCGCTGACTGGGCGTGCCAAAGCGTGGATGGGCAGCCGCCGGACGATGCCTGTGCAGGAGATGGCCAGACAAGCGGGCAGGCGGCCTAGTGCTTACTCCCAAATAAGACTATAGGGGATCGCAGTGCAAGGTGGGAGAGGGAGAGAGGGAGAGGGACAGGACAGCTAGCGCTGCAAGAAAGGCCAGGACCCAGAGGAAGGCCACACAGAGGAGACCACAGAAGAGAAGATATTACTTTTTTAAAAAAATAACTTTTTCCCTTTTTTATTATATTTTTTTTATTTACCGGTATTTATAGTGTCCCTGGATTCATTGAAATAAATCTGGTAACCTTAGTGTATGAGCATCATATGCTCTTGAAATTCTCCCCATGGGAGAGACGTGTACATTCCCCTTTTGCACATTATGTAGAAAGTGCAAGCAGAAGGTGTACAAACCTGCAGCTTCTTAGTAACACGCAAACCCAACTCTGTGTTACACCGACAAAACTGAGAAAGGACAAATGTTTATGATCAATTATCATGAATAGCAGGAATGGGCACGGAGACAGTCAGTGGGTAGGAGAGAAACAAATGACGGCCAATCTGCACATACAGACATATCACAGGAAATGGCCTTCTGGGAGTTGCACCACTTCAGACTGCGGGTAGGAGATGCTCCCCTATTTGTTGGGGGGAGGAGTCCTCAGCATGGAAAAATCTAGAACCCTCCTTCTTGACATCACCACACAAGCAGAGAGGGTTGGGGTTTTGGTTTTGTTTGGGGCTTTTTTCAACCTAGGAAAGCAGGTAAACATGCAATCCTCACTTGCAGTCTGAACTAGGTTCCAGGAAGTTGCATGATTTCTTTGCATAAGTAGATCAGCTCTAAACTGGTATTAGGGAATACCAAAAAGATTTTGCTAAACAAAGTTTGTCTTGAGGGTTATTGGAAAAAAGGAATGTGGTCTGATGAGCAGAGACGGAAAAACCTTTCCAGGCATATGTAGTGATATAGCTGGAAGCACAGGGATGAGAGCAAAGCAACCTGCAGTTAATTAACATGTGAGTTTGAGAAGCACAGAAGAAGTGAAAAGGGTAAGAAGGGGGAACACAAGAGGATATAGATAAAGACTTTTAAAGCTTGATGAAGAGGGTGACAGCAAGTCAGTGTACACAAATTGATACCAATGGCCACAAACCATTACGCAATCTTGAGCAGATCCATGTAGTGTTCATCATTCTCTGAGTTTGTTCAGCACCTCTTATGCTCAAGGTCAAACGCCTTCATTTGTGTTTGACAAACTGGCTTCTAATTACAGAATAGACCAAAATATATGTATCATCCATTTCAACCCTCTCCCTGATCAAGAACCTTTGCACGTGTATCTTTCCAAGATGTGGCAACATGCCCACTTGAACAAAAATATGTAATTGTTTTACCTTCAAAAGTAGCTAAAATATTGGCGCACAGATTGTCAGGGAGAACAGCGACTGGGAGCTCATTCAGGAAGAGTTTAAGCAGGCTGGCAATGGAATTGACATCTCCTTCGTTAACAAGATCCACCTCTTCTCCTTGGTCATACTTCTCCTTCAGCGCTTTGATTTTCGTCACTGAGCCACTGATCCGAAATAAGCCTTTGTGATTCAGACCTATTGAAATAGGCAACATCCTATAGTAACAGCAAATTTGTTTTCATACTAATATCCATGCAGAAGGAGGGGGTTGTGGGAACACTAGGATTTGAAAAAATACCCAAAAAAGTAGGGGGGGGGAGAACACCTGCTTCCTCACATACTGTCTCAGATGCATGACTGCATCTCTAAATTTGTTCATGTATGGTAGGAATGGTTTCTGGGTATGCTTTTGTCATGGCAACAAAACTAAACAACCTGGTAGTTAATCAGCATCTTTGTAAGCAATAAAACATTTTCTTTAAGTGATATGAGAAGTACATGGCACTAAAACACTTTCCCCCCTGAAAATAAGATAAATCTATCATGTCAGTGTATTAACATTATGAATATTAGTGAATAAATATACAGTCCTGATCTGTCAAAATCAATGGGAGGCCTGGTGTCAGTTCTAAAATGGTACTTAGCTCTGTACCTAACAAAATTGCATAACTTTTCCTTCGGGTTACCTACATGAAAATCATTTATTGCTATACTTAACTTGTGCTTTATTGTTTTACAAGTGGTTATTTGCAAAGAATATATGACTAGAGGTAAGGCAGGTGTCTGTTACCAAGAACAGATTTTGTGTTCTCTCTCACCCACCCACCCCAAAAATGGGTTGAGACAAAAATTCTCAGAAAATTTCTGAGATTTTTCTTTTTCTCATTCCCCTAGGAAAAGAAGGTAGCTTTGCAAAAATTTCTCCAAACATTTTCTTTAAAGATGTGTCAACGGTAGGGAAAGAGTTGGGATTCACCAATGAAATAATTGACTTAAGTCTTTTGATTTTTAATGGATCTAAGCAGAGTATGACTAATATTGGATATCACCCTCTATTTCAGAACCCAGAAAGTGCCTTTGGGCATGCCCAGGATTGATGACATCATAGACACTTCATCAGATGCCCACATCAGAGGCCTGAAGCAGAACACAGGATCAATGATGTCATAATTGTTCTGGACAGAGCCACAGGCCATATGAAATCCCCACTTCAAATACTGCTTCCTAACCAGATCAGGAAGCCACAGAAATTCAGTGCGGAGCTCAGCATTTTTACTGAAAGGAACAAAAGAAATTCTTAGAAAGTTCAGCTAAAGATAATGAACTTACCAAACTCTTCTAAATATTCCACCAAGTGCTTGACAACGGAAGGAACAGGAAATTGAGTTTCCTCTTGGGCAAAGTAGTCAAGAGGAATGCCAAACGTTCTCTGAGGTTGTGGTCCAACTTTATTTCTACAGTACTTAATTTCTACAGAGGATAACGACTGCTGCAAACAGAAAGAAATGCAACACCTTCTTGAGGCCTCTTTGCACCATTGATGCAAAAGAAATTGAAAGAGTAGAAGAGATCTAATGAGCTTGGAAAGTTTTTTGTGGGGATGGGGTTAAAAATGTATTGTATTCATACAAACTATTGGGAGGGGGAAAAAATCTCAAATTGGCAATGGAAATTTGGTTCTGCCAGCAGAGCAAAATCAAAGGTTCCCACTGCTCCCATTATTGCCTTTTAAAGCAACTTGAGTCAGAAAAAAGATTCTTGTCCAAATAATTCCAAGCTTTGGTTTTTCTAGTTATTGGTTTGTTCTGTATACCACCACTGTATCAAAATTCAAGTGATTAGACTAAGATTTTATCTAACCATGCCAAATTTCTTGACTTCTCAAAGACACGACACAAAAGGAAAAGGGACTGGGAGGGAGAAGGGGTGAAAGGAGACAGACATTAGTTTTTAGTTGTGAGGTTCTTGCAATGACCAGTTGAAGGGACAGAGTAGCTAAAAGGAGTAGCTAAAGGTTTCTGGTTCCTCAGCAAAACTGAGAGGGAGGATCTGCAGTTCTGTTATAGCCTGATAGAATGCCCAAACATCTTCAAAATACTCAGCAGCTGATCATAGTACTGGCAGTTTTACAGAATACTTTACTAAGTATTTTTTAAAAAAATAATAACATTTTAATATTTTTATTTATTACAGGTTTTAGAAAATTGCAGCTGCATTATAAACTAAAATAGTCAAACAATCCATTCTTCATGATGCAGGTTTTCAGCAAAGGCGACTCCTCCTAATGCACAAAGTAACTTCTGCATAAATAATGGATTATTGACTTTGGATATGATCTCTTCCAAGAAAGGAAGGAAGGAAGGAAATACAATTCTGACTTTTTTGTAATTTTCCCAAAAGCCACAAGTAAGGGCTATTTAAAAAAGATAAAATCACACAGATTACCTCAAAGTGAGTAGCTGAGATGTAAGTTAAATATCATGCATGAATCATCATTGCAGATCTCACACTGAATTTAATACATCTTGATCTTTCACTTATTAGCTAGTATTTACAATGTTGATAAATTGAAAACATCTATTTATATCTTCTTTTCAGGTCAAAATACTCTAGTGTCATTTACATAATACACTTCTTGCTCTACAGATTTATAACAGCGGAACGGAGTAAAATTATGCGCTCTGCTGGGTTGTTTACTTCTGTACCTGACAAAAATATGCAGATATAATTCCTGCTAGAAATGGACAGCCTTAAGACTGCAATCTGATGTACCTTTACTTTGGAGTGAATCCCACTGATTTAATTGTGATTTACTGTGCTCTAAACAGAATGAAGAGTCAAACTGTACCAGCTATGTCAGGAAAATAATAGCTGCTGCAATTCTAAATTTCATGATTTTCAAGAAAGGCTGGGCTATCAATAGCCACTAACTATGATAGCTATGTGTGATTTCCAGTGATGGAGGCAGTATGCCTCTGAATACCAGGTTCTGGGAATCACAAGTCAGGAGAATGCTGTTGCACTCAAGTCTTGCTTGTGTGTTTTCCATCAGCATCTGGTTGGCACCATGAGAACAGAATACTGGACTAGATGGGCCTTTGGCCTAATCTAACTAGGAAGGGGGTGAGAACTTGATTAAGCTTGCATTTATAGGTCAAACTATCTAATTTGCAGTTCTCAAAACAGGGGTGGTAGTCAAGAAAGTGTTACTCATGTTTTACCCACAACAATTAATTAACTTAAGTTAGGTCCATTGATTTCAGTGGTCTGCTCAGAGTAAAATTTAGTTGATTACCACCCCTTGTTGACAAATACACCTGTTTTCAAGGGAGCCAGGGAAATTGCAATGTAATCTCTCCACTGAGCACTGAATAACTGCAATAAAACTTGGAACATCCATCTTTGACCTTTTACATTTGAATTACGAACACCAGCCTCAGCTCCCACATGCCATCCTAAGCCAGGTAGTGCAGAATTCATTGCAATGCAGTATTAAATGTGAATCTCAACAACTGTGCTTTACTAGTTGTTGTTTTCTTAGAGCAAATCATACTGAAATCAATGGGGCGTGCTTCCAAGTAAATATGCTTGCAATCAATCAGGGTGTTGAAAAATAAAATGCAGTCAGGAGAAAAAACAAGAACGCTGATTGAATTGATAGTCCAAGTTCATGATTTGTAAAAACAACCCTTAAGTCTCCTTCAAATATTCAGGAATGTTATTTCTGATTCTGGCAGTCTCTGCATTTTTTTAATCTTCAGAAATAAAATAAAGACCTCTTTTGCTTTTTCAGATGTGGATCAGTCACAAGTCAGAAACAATTAGCTAGTAACATTCCACTTACACAGATCGAAATGGAGGCACCTGTTCCCATGTTAAGCCTGATCAATCAAGCTCCACTGTGCCGAATGTCATGTTCCTTGGTCAATCCATGTCATCTTCTCAGCAACTCTGCATGCAACCATTCAATACATTAAAATAAATGTATCGGTTCATGCAGATTCTTACTTTAATCTAGCCTGATCTAAATTAAATAATCTAGTTTATTTTTCCTCCTCTAACAATAATTTTTACTCAGTCAGCTCTGTAGCCACAAAAAAGTTACTGAGGTGTCATAGCCAATGGTGTTACCATAGTGCCTAACACACACACACACAGCAGCACAGAATAACTTCCGACATGCTCACAGCCTGCTTGACATTCAGCTTTTGCATTCCACGGGGAAGTAACTAGCAGAGCTGCTGATTATTCCTTCCTGCCAACCCTGACCACTTCTTACCCAGGAGATATCATTGCTTACAGATGAAAACTAGAGAGTCATAGCATTCAAAATACTGTGCCGAATTGTGAGGATTCCACCTTTCTTCTTGGTAATATTCGAGCTCTTATTCAGAGGGGGTGGGACTGTAAAAGTGAATAGGCAATGTCTGGTGAAATACTGGAAGCCAAAGACTGGCTTGGGGCGATTTCCAGTGGCCAGGATTTACTATTTCTGTGCCCTGCATTCTCCTCACCATGGTTAGTGGAAGCAGACTAAATTATCCAAATAGAAAAATATGCAAACACATGCTTTATGTGCATCATTTATGTTGTTTGCAGAATTCAGGTGTGAATGTGGTTTTGTGCAGAAAATATTGTTCTATGCTATGGGCTAGCAGAAAATATTTTTAAAATGGGACAACTAATGCACATTTGCACAGCGTGCTTGATTTATACAGGTTGCTTTTTCTGGTGCAGAACTTTTGTCACAGAATTTGGATTTACATAAGTAAAGAGTTTTAATTCTATGAGGTCGCCACCATTGCATTCCCTGGACCAGGGGTTTCCAATCCAGTGACTGCAGGTTCACATGTGCACACAAAGGCCTTCCCTGGTGCCATTGCGGTCCCTTTGCCCCACTGAAATCAGGCTTGAAAGAAGAATTCTGTTGTAGCCAATATAACAGGTTGTGGTGTGTGCGTGGGGGCCCATGATATTTCTTAAATCTCCAGAAGTGCCCACAGGTAGAAAAGGTTGGCAACATCCACGCCAGATAGGAGCATGGGTGCCAGAAATATATTTTCCCATACAACCTCAATCTCTCACAAATCTTTTCTTAACACCGATACCACCTAACAGGAAGGCCTTAATAGCTATGAGGTGTGTGCATTTTGACACAGCTGCACACTGCATACAAAACTTAGATGTAATCGTAACAGTGCAATCCTAACCCTTTTATCCGTGTTTCTACAGGGGGTTATTATAAGGCTGAGGAGACCATCTGCTGGACTTTGCCAGCACGGAGGGGACTGGAAGCTATCACTGGTAGCTCTCCTACCAGCTGTAAAACAATCCGTTTCAGGACAAAGTACTGGCATCTTTGGCGTCGCTAGATCCAAACCCCTGCAGATCCTCAAAGGGGTCTAATTTTGTGTTTGGTGATGGGGGGGAGGAAGCCACTCCACCTTCCACCCTCAGTGGTGTGAGCGTTAGGGTTTGGGACACAGCAGTCCATCTGCCACTCTGCCATGGTTTAGGATTGCCTTGTCCAGTGTTAAATCTCCTTTAGAAAATCAGTTTTTGTTTCCTGTAAAAGTGAACACATAAAACATGCACAGCAGCTAGTATCCAAACAACTGCACTAATAGTTCCACAGGCCCAAGACAGTATCGGGCCTGCGTTTGTTGAGAAGCAGCCCTTCATGCCACATGGCAAACTGAGGCTTTCAAGAGGATTGTATGATATACAGCCGTGCTGCTCAAATGGGGGCCTTGAGCCACTTCCAAGCAGGCCTCAGTGCCTCGCAGCCTTTTGGTTGGAGCAAAGGAAGCGCCGGCAACCTCTTGCATGTTGAGCAAAGGTGGTTGGCAGAAAAGCTAAGTTTAGAAGAGGGAAGGAAGGCCTCCCCTCCAACTGAGGGGAGAGGGGGCCAGAGGAGATGCTGAAATGAGAAGAACGGTTTCTCTCTCTCTCTCTTTAGTAACTGCAGCAGCCATATTGTTATATTTAGTAAATAAACGAACTTGGAATAGAAATGAAGAGTATAAGAGAGGAAATGCAATTATGGAAGGAGAAAGTGAAGACAAAAGGGCTGTGGGGGGAGGCGGCGGACTAGGTACAAGCCGAGTTTGGGAAAGAACGGGAGAAGAAATCACAGATGGCCACCTCGAGAGATATGTGGGGGCGGGAATAGAAAAAGATAAAAAGCCTTGTTTATTTCATTTAAGAGCTTATGGACTTCCAAATTCTGCCTAAAATGGGGAGGCTAAGTCACAATACCACAAGACAGGAAATCACGGCGTCAAAAAGGAGAGGGAGAACTGAGCCATTTACAAAGGTGGATTAGATGTGAGGTGAGAACGTCAGCGTTTTGTCAGCCGCGCCAAGCTCTGCCGCCATTTTGTGACTCCTTGTGACTAAGGCAGGCCCCACCCAATGGGCCCTGGGAGTACGAAGCCTGAGAAGCAGTCCCTGCTGCCATGCACCACAGAGAGTTTGTGCCTTACAAGGTGTGGCAAAGCTCACTGCTGATTTAAGCTCGTCTCTCCCGGCTCCTGGCAGGCCGCAAGGACGCGGGCAGGCAGCTGAAAGCTTTCCTTCCAGAAGGTGGAGGAAAGTTCTCTTTGTCTTGAGAGGCTCAGAATTAACTGCCATTCATTAAAAACAAACCCTCTCTGGGAGATTCCAATGTGGCTACTGATATTGCCAGAGGAATGTTGCTACAGTTGATCGGAGGACTGACTTTTGACTTGTGCACGGACACCAACACATTTAAAGTGCTCTTATACCGCTTTAACAGCAAAATCTCCCCAATAATCCTGGGAACTGTCATTTGCCAAGGGTGCTGGGAATTGTAGCTGTGTGAGGAAGGTCTTCTAACAACTCCCAGCACCCTTATGAGATGACAACTCCCAGCATATGAGATGACCTTCAACATGCACAAGTGGAAGATTTTAATATATGTGGATACCATATACAGATCTATTTGTGTTACTGGACCACCAGCTACACACACCCCTCCTGCATAAAACTATTGCTTTGTTTCATTGTGGTTTAGAATGACTTACTTGACTATATTTATTTTTGTTGTTCTTAAAGTTCAATTTTTATAAACCCTGTAATAATAATTAAAAAATCAACACCTCAAACAAACTACAGTTCTCAGGATTTTTTGGGGTGGGGGAGCCGTGGCTGTTAGAATGGTATGAGTATAGTGCGCTACTCATAAGCGGGGTAAAATAGCAAAAAATAAAATTGCAATTTCATTCACTTCTCCTTTGAGCCACAAGATGGAGATGAAGCACCAGGCGTTCCCTGAACTGAATTCTTTCTGCACATAGTACTTGAAAACATGGCCTTCTGGGCCTCTCATGATTCTCCCCAACCATAATCTTCCCTGGCCCTGATTCACACCTCAAATGTGTCCTTAACTCTGATAATGCTTCTTGCTTGTCTGCATGGAAGATAGCAAGGGGTGCATGCGCTTGTGTAGAAACCAGCCTTCTGTACAAAGGCAAAAATTACATCCATGGCTCCACTCGCTTTTCTGCTCACCACTGGCATGTGATCCTTGGAAGGTTGATCAAAAAGGAACAGGATCCTAAGGCTGGAAAAGTTTCAGCACCCTTGTGCTATGCCAAGTCATTGCTTAGATCAGTGCAATGCAGCAGCAAAATGAGGATCGACGCAACCATGATCTCTTATATTTTGGAAATGTACATCCAGTTTTTTTCCTTTACATTTTTGGGGGCCCCCAAGAGAGTGGGGCCCTAAGCTATAGCTTGTTTAGCTTATACATAAATCCGGCACTGGTCTGATGTCACTTTATATGCTATGATGGTCCACTTTTAACACTTGTATGCCAGTCCTGTATTTACAACCTCTGCTCTGCGGAGTGGTGCCCTCTACTGAATAAATTGCATAAAGGGAGGACCATCTCAGTTTTTACTTCGCTTTTTTGTGTGACAAAGCAAACATTTTTTTTAAAAAAGGAGGACCATCTGGGATCTCTGAACTACTTGAGATGCTGATGCACCAAGAACTGAATCACATAACCGTTTCTGAGTCAGAAATTATCCTCTTCCCCCTTGATTTTATCATTGATAAGAAAATGTGTCTTTTGGAAAGTTTTATGTGAAAAATACCCTATGTGGGGCTTCCCTTGTGCTCGATCTAGAAGCTGCAGTTAGAGTGCTGCAGCACGATTGCTGACAAGAGTTGAGGCCTTGTCAGTATACAAGACATGTCCTCAGATATTTTCACTGGTTGCCAATTTGTTACTAGGCCAAGTTCAGGGTGTTACCATTAGTGTATGAAGCTGGTAAAAACATGGGAGCAGTGTAACTACGAAATCATATTCAACCACTTCAGTCAGTGGACTAGCACTGTTATGGGTGCCACGTAAGAACCCTTTCCCCCTTTGTAAGAACTCAAGTCTTTTAGTGTGGCAGCATCTACACTTCGGAACATCTAGCCTATACCAGGCAGACATCTTCACTGTACTCTTTTTGGCACCTGCTAAAAACATTTTTGTTTAGACAAGCCTACCCAGATAATTAGAAAGATGGTGTGAGTTTTAATCTGTTTTTAGTTTATTGTTACTTTAACTTCTGGAAATCCTTAAATTATTGTGGTCAATTCTTCTTATCAATAATTTAATTGTATTACCTTTTTGTAAACTTCTTTGAGGTTGTTGTTTTCCCCCCATGTTGCAAAATTTTCCATTTTGTTGTGCTTGGCATAAAGAGCTGAATGACAATAAACAGAAACAGTCTACAAAGAAGTTGATACTGTATGCCAGCACCAGTTGTTTCTATCAAGCCTATATAGGGAAAACTATTGGCTGATTGCTTGTCAATTGCAACCATAAAACATCTGATCATTTAAAAGTGAAATTCCTGAAACTTAAGAGCCTATAGTTTAGTTTTGGGTTGGTTTTTTTAAAAAAATAAAAAATAAAGTAACCTTCAAGTTTTGCTAAAATGAAATTTTGACACCGGGTGAAACTATTTCAAAATCATGTGGTTGTTTCAGAACTTATATTTATTCCTTGGTTTCACAGATTTTGGTTTAACACATTTTCTGGAGAAGTGAAATGTGAAATATTTGGACAGCAGCATCTTCAGTGGCGTTTAGAGGTGCAATTCATGCCATACTGTTCACTTCACAAGTAATGTGACCCAAATCCTGCTTATGGCAACACATGAGATTGTATAACAGAAAGCATTTACCTTACCAATGAAGCAAGCACTTCAAATTCGTATTACATTCATGGTGATAATGGTCCGATTGTCTTAAAGGTCTTTCACTACATAGTTATCGAGATTTCTGAAGAGAGAAGCAATGTGCCGTCTTTTGTCAAAGACAAGCAAAAGCAAGAGGTCGGTTCAAAATACACTTTGTTCCATTGGAAAAATATTTAACTTGTGAAACTGTAGTATATACTACGTGTCAGAAAAAAGAAGTCACAGGAGAACATTGCTGGCTGCGTATCAGATACCTTTGTGCACTTTCATGTATACACAAAGGATCTGTGTGTGAACAAGCCCTTGCAATAGGAGCGCGACATGTACATTAGAGCTCAAGAACACACATTAATGCCCTTAGGCTGTAATGCAGCTGTATAGGCACAAGCAGGGCTTTCCGATTGTGAAGAACGTAAGAACCTACTGGATCACGCCAGTAGCCCATTTAATCAAGCATCCTGTTCTCACAGCGGTCCATCAGATGCCTACAGGAACCCCACAAGCAGGATATGAGCACAATAGCCCCATCCACTCCTACGGTTTCCTGCACCGCTGGCAACAGCAAAAGGCCCCTTGTGCTAAAACGGAGCTTCATCTGCCACACCCAGCAATGGGTGCACCGTCCGGGAAAGAGGTGCTGGCTAAAAGCATTTCAAAGTAGTATAAAAATGTATTTTTGTGGGGTTTTTTAGCCTCATAAATAAGTGAGGAAATTACTAAAAATATCTTGCTGTGCAGTATAAAAAGAGGAGCAACTGTTCCGCACTTGTCACCTACACACTGGAAGCAACTTTGTAGGAGTAAATATTTGGAAGTGGCTTTTCAGCTTGATTGCTACCGTTCATGGTGTTCCAACATGGCAGCGCTGCCACCAACAGAAGCAGCCCTCCAAACAGAACACAAAGTCCGCTGAAGTAGAATGCTATGTCGTAAGACTTTGTCCAGTCATAAAACCAACCTGAAAAGCAACAACAAAAAGAGAAGCTGTCAGAAGTAGCTTTTACAGAACAGATAAAGCAAGCAACCTACTACCTTGCAGCCAGGCAGTTAAAAAGTAAAAGGAAGAATACTTGCTGCATTTCCCCGAAAACAACAGTGTAATTGTAAAATAAATATTCTGCACAAGCAAATGAAGCAACACATTGTCAGCATTCACGTGCCACATCAGACTAGCCAAGCTGTGGCTTACAAGGGACTGTCAAACCAGGACATTAAGCCACAGTTTGAGGCTGCTTTGGGGACCACAATTTGCAGCAGTTTGCTATTGTGTCTGAATCTACAAACCATAGTTAAGTTACTGTTCTGCCAAACAGGCTGCTGAATCATGGAGACATGAGTGAAGTTATGAAATTGAGTACTGAACAGGTAGAAATTGAGAGCAGACAAACTGCTGTAAAGTACCTCAGAATACTTATATATGCCTGTTAAAACACAGCCTTACCTACAATTGGTGGTCCAAGACTGTTTCCAAGTCCAGCAAAGAACATCAGTATGCCATATGCATGTGTTAATTTTTCGATTCCTACAGTCTTTGTTGTAACATATGGAAAAATAGACCAATTGCCTGTCAGAAAACCCAAAACCCCTGAAAGTATTGCCAGTGTGATGTAATTTTGGGCAAACGGAATCAATACTAGTGCCACCGAAGTCAATATCAAAGTCAGGACATATAGATATAAGGTATTAATCCATTCAAAATCGGCCAGTATTCCTAGAACAAGTTTCCCAATGGCAGTCATGATGCCTATGACAGAAATGAGAGGAATGACAGTGTCATCTTCACCAATATTGGAACTTCTTGCAATGTCTTCCATGAGCAATGAAGGAGGAAAGCCGCCAATGTCAAAGAAGAAGATGGCAATAAAAAGTGATGAAAATACTTTGTTTTTAAAAAGTCCCAGCGTTTCCCCCCAGTAGTCTAAATATAACTGCCATTTTTTCTTGGCAAGCTGTTTACAGAAATAGGTCCGTTCTACAACTTTCCGTCTGTAAGTCTCTCTCTCGTGTGGTGTTATTGTTAATAGATTGTTCTTTGTTATTGCTGACTCCTGCTTGCAGTCACCACAGGATGTTTGGTTCACACCTTTTCCTTCACTGCTGGCTTTTTCAAGTACATTTTCTTCATAAGCGTTCTTTTCTCTTTCATTATAAATGAGGTATTGATCTGGAACCTTCTCGAGGATTGGCTTCTCTGGTAAGGCAGAACCACACGACTGCAAAGGTCTCATCAGACTCCCACACGCTAATATATTTAGAGACAATGCACCAACGATAAGCAGACACCCATCTAATCCATACAGTTCAATTAGCTCCCTCTGTAATGCTGCATATATAAAAACCCCAACGCTCGATCCTGAAAGGAGAGAATGGAAACATATGAGTTCATAAAATATCCTACAACTTCAATGCTCCACACAATCCACTGACTGAACGTGTGATTTATGAAACTGGGTAATAAATCCTGTGTTCGTAACACAGTTCAGGCCTCTTCATCAAGCTGAACAAAGAACTCCAGCCCATACTGTGGCCTGGCAGGAACTCGAGAACTCCCAGGCAGGCAAGCAAAAACAGGAAATTTATCAAGCTTCTCTGTGGGCTGTCATGCCATGGCTGAAGGGCTGCAATTACCAGGGTGGGTGTGCTTGGCAAAGTTAAATAGTTAAAATAATAGATGAACTATTGATAATTGTATTGGACATCACTATGAGGATAAATTTTCTTTGTAAAGGGAACAGATATGTTTAAATAAATAAACAACCATGTTAGGGTGGCTATATGTCTACAAGTACCAGTTCTCTATTTTGCAGATTGTCTGACTCAAAATTTTGTTCACAGGTAAAAGACTTGTAAGAGAATATGGGTCTTGGAAGTGGCCCATCAACTGTTAACATCCAAACCAGGCATCCCCAACCTGCGGCCCTCCAGATGTTTTGGCCTACAACTCCCATGATCCCTAGCTAACAGGACCAGTGGTCAGGGATGATGGGAATTGTAGTCCAAAACATCTGGAGGGCCGAAGGTTGGGGATGCCTGAGCTAGACAGCAGACTAAGAAAGCACACAGGTCCCCTGGGCACAGTCTCCCTCGCTATGATGAGATGCATTTCATTTCTATTTAAATTATAGTCAGCATTTCTGATTTTCAATCTCTACATATAAATTAGCATGTACATGTTAAAAAATGCAAATCTTTGTTCCCTTTTTGGAGTGGTATGTTTCCTCTTTCTTTGAGAATGCAGGCATGGCTACCATATATCATGCACTACCTGCTTTAAAATTAAATATTTCTGTTAAGAACATTTTTGTTTGATGTATAACACCTGACCTGACTCTGACTGATAATAAACATGAATTAACTGAAGACAAATTAGGTATGTGAAAAAATTGCCAGAAGTATAGTAATAAAATCTGGTACAGTTTTGCATTCTTTTTATTTTTATTTGTCAGGCATGGTACAAAGGGATTAGGTGTGTCTAAGATAATGCCGATTTTCTGACCAGTTAATGCTGAAATCAGCAAAATTATTGTTCGTCATTGCCTTACAAACCAGGAGAGCAAATGAAGATATGAAGATGGTTTGGAGGGCAAGCACAAACCCAGAGTTTGCACTAAAAGAAAGTAGCTGAAGTGGAGAACATGAAGACAGAAAAGAAGGGGAGAAGTGAGTGCCTATGCAAAGATATCATTCTCATGGCACCAAATGACCTATGTATGAACCAATGGTTTAGCTTGCTTAGACAAGCCCTTCCCCTGGAAGGCAGAGGCACCAGCAGGACCTGCTTGTGACTTAGGAAGCTGAGAAGCTGGAGAGATGGGAAAGCATATTAATCACAGTTTGCTCAGAACAAATACAATGCTTATCAACTATAGATATTCAAAACAGTTCACTTTTCTATGAGACTTAAGATGCAATAATCACAGCTAATGAAACCATAACTAAGTCCTAAACCAGTATAAGGTAATTCAAAATAGAGATAAAAACCATACCTGTTGAAATTAGACCAAGTGCAAGGCCTCTGCGTTTTTCAAAATACTGACATGTGATGGTTACTGTTGCTGTGTACAATAAGCCACACCCGAGTCCTAAAAAGGCAAAGCATTAATCATAAAGAATTGGGCACTCTTGTTATTAACACTGCTAATGGTTCAGTTTTGATTCATTAAATTAAAACAGCACAGAAAGAGCCATTTTGGAAGTGAAACTGACAAAGCGCCCCCAATGCTACACAACCTCCATTCACCTGAAGAAGGTTTGTGAGGCAGCTGCCTATAAGCCTTTTATGAATTCATCAAAACTGCACAAGAATTAAGTTGTCTGCTGTTGCTTCAGTTTTTTGTATGCCGCTTAGTGATTTTTTAATATATTAAGTGGTATAGAAATATAATAATAATAATAATAATTCTTTGCTGCTACTAATAAAAGGGAGATTTAGCATTTTAATTCTGAAATTGAGACACACAACCCCCTCCAACCCCCTTTTTAGTTTAGGGGTTGTTCAAAAATAATCTTTCGTGATTCTTACCAACAACAATTCCATAGGAAAAAAACAGGAAGTAGATATTGGGTGCAACGCTGCTCATCATCAAACCCCCAGCAACCATAAAGCCACTGAAGATTGTTACAGGTCTTGCTCCAAAAGCAGATACACATGAACTGCAAATAGGACCTATTTAAGAACAAGAGGAGTGAATTGTGAAAAGGAAAGAACAGAAAAGAAAATAATGTTCCATAAGCAAGAGCTAAAGAGATTTCTCCCCTTAGCAGAATTGCTCTCAATATGAAAGAAGGCATCTATTTTTAAAAGATCCATGACGCTTGGGGAACTGAGATCACCTCTCTGTTTCCAATCAGTTGTTTATGTCTTGGCTGAACCAGGAAATGGTGGTCCAGTTATGACTCCAAGAGTCAATGAGGCTACCTACTCTTTCACCAACATCTGCTTCCCCACATGATCTCTACCCAACTAGTTTGAAATAATTCTGTAGTCCTTGTCCCTCCCGTCCATCTACAGTGTGCCACGGCTAGTGCTTCCACCTAGTATACCCGTTGTTGGATTTCCTCAAGCTAGGTGACAAATTAAGCAATTTTATAACAAAGAGCATTGTACAGCTACACTTTAAAAAGCACAAATTTATTCTTTAAGAATATGCTTGATTTTACCTATATCCTTTGGACTTCAATCTCCTCTGCATGGATCATGAGGGCTTACATATATATTTACACACTTACACACAAACTTATAAAAACAGGCAGAAATGCATTACTGTCCCCAAAACATTCACAATGCAAATTATGCAAGGCAATTTCTGAAAAACCGAACCTCTTTCCCCTGGCCTTGTGACTTTGTGCATGATAAGAGGTTGCTACCTGAGTCCTGCCTGAAATCCTGAGGTTTCACTAGGTACCCCCCTCTCTCCAGTCAGGACACCCACCCTGAAAATATGTTTGATCAAGAACTGTTAACTTTGTATGCAACTAGTTTTACAGTGGAGCAGCTTTATGTGAGACAAGCTCCCACTGTGCCACTCTCTACGGTGTGTTGCTGACAAATCCGTTTTATCTAGCAACAATGTCCTTTATTACTTCTCCTGCTTCTGAGTTGGCTACTAAAAGAGCCCTCAAAGCTCACATTTCAGATGAATAAAATAGTTGTTTAACCCCAAAAGAACATAATCAAAATATAGAATATACAACAGCACTAACTGGTGCAGACACATAAATACATATTGCCTGCAAGCTTCCTACAGTATTTTTTCCTACAAATCTTTCCAGATGTTTGCCAGATATTGCAGAACACATATTTTACATGCAAAAGGTCCCAAGATCCTAGATTCAATCCCTAGCATCTTAAGTTAGGGCTAGGAAAGCCACCTGCCTAGAGCCATGCACAGCTGCTGTCAGTCAGTGTAGACACTAGATGGACCAATTGTTCTGACTTATAAGGCAACTTCCTACATTCCTAGACTCAAAGTAGGGACTTCGAAGCAGACATGCTATTTGATCAGCGGCATACATAACTGATGAGACAAAACGCTGTAATCCTAAAAAGGGGACAGGAAACATAAGCATAAATATTTCCATCAAATTGCTTCTAAGCAAGCATGGCTAGGATTTCAACTGGAGAGAAAGTTGTTCTTAATGATTTCGCTTGATCAAGTAAGCAAAATAGATGCACAGTTCTATGCTAGCAGTGCTTACCCCAGTGGATGTTTGATCTAATGGCAAAGGTAAAATGGTGTATCAGAAGAAATCCAGAAACTAAACCTCTCTATCATTACAACATTCTTCTGCTATTTCAGTAAACCTTGAGCATCACTCAAGAACCTAAGAAGAGCTCTGCTGAATCAGGCCTAAAACCCATCTAGTCCAGCACTCTATTCTCACAATAGCCAGGCAGATAGATACCTTCCCCAAAAAATCTTCAACTTTTTTGGAAATTCTTTTTAGAAATTCTTTTAAATAGAAGATAATATTAACAGAGTATTAACAGAAGAGTTGTACTGATGCAGCAAGGAACTGTACAAGACAACAGGTCCCTGCTTCCAAGTCAGGATTCTGTAGTCTTCCACAACTCTTCATTCAAATGAAGCTGATAGGGACCCTTAAAGAAACTAAATGTAGAAACTATCAATAGAAACTACCAGTGTGCCAGGCAATGTGCAGGAAAACAGTTATTTCTTGCTAAGAGGCTGGCATAATGTATTAAGTTTTTTCGCTGAGCTGGTTTAAAAAAGGCTTAACTCTAAAGTGGTCTACTTACACAGCAAATTTTATAGCACGTCACAAAAATGGGAGTACTATGGAAGGCTTCAGAATAGACTAATTTGCCACTATATCTTAACGAGCCGTCATGAATTAAGTGATGTGCTACATTGTTACAACAATGAGTGAGTTAGTTGCAAACTGAAACCACATACCAGCAATGGGATTGTATTAGTGCAAGTTATTTAGTAAGAAATAGACAAGGTATCAAAGAGCATTGTTAGCATGGTAAGCAGGTCTGACCTGGCAGTGCGTGCAGTCATAGGCAGGAGACCTAAGCCTGGACCTACAGTACTGCATGCAGAAGACAAAATGTACAAGTGCTTTACCGTCCTGCACTCAAGCTCTGGTCAGAGGGGGGATGAGCCTGATGAATCTGGGGCTGCTCTAACACTAGACCAGGGTTCACAGGCTGAGCCTGAGCCTGGTGGTCAGGAGGCTGCAGAACCTGAACCAGGATGCTTGTAGACATCTTCCCCATAAGCTCACTTTACCTGGGGAGTCAATGCAGAAGGAAGCACTCCTTCTGGACAGGGAGTTGGCCCTTTAAAAACATGCATTCTTCCAGCAGGAGAGCAGAACCATGGGCTGGATGAATGGGACAGATGGACTCAAAAGACCCCACTCCACCTCCAGTTTTTGCCAGAGCACAGCTGCTCACTTGGAGCTTTCCATAGTGCTGCAACCACCAGAATGCTAGCAGCTGTTGACTCTGCCATAGCATCTTCAATATTCTGGCAAATGGAGGGGAACTATAAGCCATCTCTAGCTATATGCTCTTCTAGTTTGCTTGGGGAAATGGGGCATAGTAACCAAGATAATATGCACTTTTAAGGACCGAAGTAGAAGTTATGCTAAACTAGAAGCTGCTGCCAGTGATGGAAGCTCTGTGGTTTAGCAGCAGCTGTCCTCTGCCTCTGCAATGTCTGGTAGACATTTCCATGTCATTATGTTCCCTTCCCTGTTCCCTCATTGGTGGTTGCTGCAGAAGGCATGGGGAAATTTGAGGACATAGGTATAAATTTTATTTAGTTTTATGAAATGAGAGCCAAACACAGGGCTCCATTTTTGGCAACAGACACACAGTTAAAGTGTTGAATTTCCAGATATTTAGGGAGGCATTAAAGCCATGGTTAATGGTAAAAACTTTTTCTTGGTATTTCTTCCGGTAATACTCCGTAAAACTATTTGCCACCAAGCCCTAAAGGTACAGGAGAAGCCGATGGTAGATTTAGATCTCACCAATGTAGATGTCACAATTCAAGGGCAAAAGCTTCATGCTTTCATTTGAATGTTCATGAGCATTACATCTAAAATATAGATAATAATTATAGGTATATAAACAGTGATAACACAGCACATAGGCCAAGGAAGAGAGAAAACTGCATTTGCTTTTAAAAAATAAACAGAATGGGCTGGATCCAAACTAAATTAGGCACACTTTAGTACCATTTAAATCAATGGGGGAAAATAAACATGAAGGACTTGCAAAATTTTGAGTGTTTTCACCCCATAATATTTAAAATAATAAATGTTCACTTACACAAACCCAGTACATTTATTGTCTACAGCTATAGATAATGACAGAAAAAGAAGAAATACCAGTAACCAGCTCTTGGTTATCCAAATTAGTTATCCCTTGCACATCTAACATTTAGAAGAGTACAGGGAGCATTCAATAAATGAGGCTCTATTTTACTAAGAATTACCTAAAACCAGGGGTAGGCAACCTAAGGCCCGGAGGCCAGATGCAGCCCAATAGCCTTCTGAATCCGGCCCGCGGACAGTCCAGGAACCAGCATGTTTTTACATGAGTAGAATGTGTGCTTTTATTTAAAATGCATCTCTGGGTTATTTGTGGGGCATACAAATTCTTTCATATATTTTTTCCAAAATATAGTCCAACCTACCACATGGTCTGAGGGACGGTGGACTGGCCCACAGCTTAAAAAGGTTGCTGACCCCTGCCTAAAACTCACTGTACTGTAAAAAAAGAAATCAAGTGGGATTTTTCCCCCCCACTAGCAGGGGTGTTACGAGAGTTTACGACTTGGGAAATTAGGCTGGATGTTTTGCTATACATCTTCCTTGCTTTGGTTGATGAGGCACCTCCAAAGAGCCTTGGTTGCCATGGAGAGGGAAACAGGATAGCCTTCCCTCCTGCAGCTGGCAATGCCATTTCTAAAGCTTAAATATGATGTCCTTATGACCCACTCCTTGAAATCCAGCAAATCACTTTTCAAGGGCAATGCGTTTTTCTTCATAAGCACTGGTGATAAATATTTTGATCCAAACGTCATCACCACATAAAAAAATAATCTTTAAAATCATATTTTATGGGCAAAATCCTGTCTTAGATTGAATCCCTGAGAGGCAGAGTGATGTGGTGTTGGTGATACAGAGTACCAAGCTAGGACTGGGGAGACACAGTTTCAAAGCCTTATTTAGCCATGGAGTCCTTAGGCCGGTTACTCTCTTTCTCATCTACCTCGCAGAGCTGTAGTGAGGATGAAAGAGGACAGGACAGAACTCCATGTACCACCTTGAGCTCTTCTGAGGAAAGACGGGATATAAAGGCAAACACTAAATCCCAGTATTAAACTGGAGATCGTACTGTGGAAGAGAGGGATACGGTTGTGTGGGACGTTCTGCAACAAATTTGGTCCCTGCCAGCCATGCTGTCCCAGTCTACTATAAAGACCAAGAACAGTTTTTAAAGCCTGTGTGGTTTGCAGAAGGTACATATTTTATTCACCTTGCCACGACATCCAAATCAATGCTTTACACCAGAGTTTCCCAAACTTTCATGTTGGTGACACACTTTTTAGACATGCATCATTTTGTAATTCAGTTTTACTAGCAAACTGGAGGTTAAACTAAACCCCTTCCAGCCCTGGGAAGAACGTGGGGAGATTTGCACGACACACCAACACACTGCAGCCGACACACTAACGTGTCACGACACACAATTAGGAAAGCTCTGCCTGTGTAAGCCAAGCAGCTTGCCTCAAAACTACAACTGGAAACCACAGTTTAAATTGAGATGCCCAATAAATAGTGGGTCTTTCTAAGTTACAACACTCACTGTTATGTGCGAAGATATCATGTGGAATTGTATAAAAGCTGGTTCATCAACTTCTTACATTTAAGAAAATTAGTTTCACAGCATGACTTTGAGAGCTCAAAGGATTAGAGTCCAGCTTACAGCTTACAATTATCATATTACAAATTCAATTTTTTTGCTTAAAAAAATAATTCAAGAGAAAGCTCTGCAGGTTGAAAACAGTGTCTGCTTCCTTACTGAACCTTTCAGTGACCAGGGTAAGAAATTTTCACTTTTCACAGCACCTTGTCCCTCCACTGAATTGTGCAGTATTTAAAAAATACCACAAACACTGAAAAATCATTTCAGAAGATCAGACATATGCCCAACATTCTCTGGATGGCACCCACCATTTGAACTATTTCCAAAATAAACATAGCTCCTTCGGGTTGTGGTGAGCTTACAAAACTGGACTTTCTATTTGGATTAAAAGCTGGTGCAGATGTTTCACTTCTGAAGGTTTTCTATTTCTTGTTTCATGTTTCAACTAACACCTGAAGCAGATAAGTGTATAAGACTACAGTAGCTATTTCTATTATTTGAAAAATTGCATATTTCAGGTTTTCTAGCCCTGAAAATAGCTGCTGCAATCTTCCATCTTCCTACGTCAAATATTATTACACTGTTCACACAAACTGGCTTCAGCAACATCTACATTGGCTTTCCTACTGTCTGCTAAGCTTGCAATCTTAGCTATGAATACTACTATGAATAAATTCAATTGAATTCAGTGCTGGGGACTAGCTTCTGGGTAGAACCACACAATCCAGAGCATGTTATCAGGAAAGAGAATATGTTTACCTAATTTTCATTAGAGGTCAATCCTTACTCCAAGCCATCATGCCAATTTACTTTAGTTATTTGCAATTTCTCAAAAGTTGCATGTTTTCAACTTGACGACAGTCAAATGACATTTTCTTTCTTTATATTCTTATTCTAATATATGTAAGGAACTATTCTTAAAATAATTCATTTCTTTCAGGCCAGAAATTTAAAGATAACGTATATGCACTTTAAAAGCATTTAATAAGTAAACACTGCATTTTAAATCATATGCTTTATCTAAAAGACTTACTTGCAAGTAGTCCAACTCCACTTGCAAGGGAGCCAACCCATGCAGTCTTTCCTTTTCCTTCTCCAAATAGATCCAGCCATTCTAGATAGAGAACTCCAACAGCTAATGGAGATCCATAGCACAAGAACTGGGTAAAGAAGGACACCAGTACAATCATCCAGCCCCATCCACCATCTGGTGACTTCTGGAACACCATTTTCCAGGATAAATTCAAGGGTCAGAAGCAGCTCTATATAAAAGAATGCAAAGAAATAGAAAACAGAGTTGATAAGAAGGAACACAGAGCACCAAGGGAACTGGAGACAGATTCTTCCTCTGGGAAATACATACTATGTGAACTGGCTCTTAGTTGACCCAGTTGCCTAAACTCCATGAAGAGCTCGTTGTAAATATACAAATATCTGAAAGTTTGCAACATACCCCAAGTGTCTTAAAAAACCTGGAAGTCTCATCCTGCTAACAGGTGGTGTTCAGATTGCCTAGGACTAGGTACTATGGTCTTAGAATTGATATAACAATGACCTGGGAGCTACTTCAGCTTTATTGAATGAAATATTTGTCAATGGTGTTTTAATAACTGACCTCAACATCATGACTGGTCAGAAGCTCCCATTAAGAGCACTTGCAACTTGCTGCTGGCCTCACATTGTGGAACCAGTTTGGAGAAATGTTTGTTTTCCAAGGAGGCAGAAAGGAACATGTTTGCTTGCTTTGAAGGCACAAGGATGCCACAATAGCCGGATAGGGTTGACTATTCTGAGACTATGTACCATGTATAGGACGACACGGAAGCCTCATGTGAGCACAATCTGAATTCCCAAAGATAGTTGAAGCCATGTTGTGTAATATAAAGTAATTAACAAGAAAACAATCAGGTTTTGGTTCCCAAGGCAGAGGATTTAGCATAATCTTTGTTTCTACAGAAACTGAATACAGTATATCCAAATGTCAAAAAGCATGAGGATGCAAAATAAGTATTACAAATAATGATTATTTTTTGTAAAAGAAAGGATAGTTAGAATTACAATGGGAAGGACATAGAAATATCAATTGCATCACGAATTTCAAGTTAAAAGAAAACCCAGGAAGGAAGGAAGGAAGGAAGGAAGGAAGGGAGGGAGGAAGGAGGTTTTCCATATAAATATTACAAAGTTGCAAAGTACTTATTAAAAGGGGAAAGTATATTACTTACAGACTAGAATCTTGTCATTCAGTCTTCTAGAACATGTTGTTTTTGGTGTATTTGGCAATTCAACCTGCAGAGAAATATCAGGTTCATGAAACCAAAGCAACTCTTACTGTACCAAGTAGAGGAAATGAACATGGAAATAGGAAATTCTGGTATGAAGTTGATTTTTATACACTTTCATACCAACTTCAAAAGATCATATTCTCTGGAACAAGCAGACAGAAAGAAAAATCATGGCCCAACTCCTATCATCACTCAAGCTCTTGACAGCAGCCTTGGACCGAAGGAAAGTAAAAAGGAGGTCAATGAAAGTAAGCTTTGAAACTTGCAATATTTTATAATGATTTACAGAACTCTAAGGTGACGGTTGATTTTATTTATTGCCTGGCAATGACTTGTCCTTAATGTATAATCAATCCCCCCCCCCCTATAGATAAGATAGATATTGACCTTTAAACCCAATGTTTGGAACTGAGTATTACATAATTTTGACCAACAAACAACATTTATGTAATGGATCCCACATGTTCACTTCATGTACACCTATCTCAAGAACCCTTCCAATTGTAAAAAAGGCCAGTATAACCCCATATTGCAGTCTGGGTTGCTGAGACTAAGGAAACAGTAAGTTGCCTGAACCCTTTCAAGTTAGTCTGTAGCTATAACAGGCAAGACTGGATCTTCCCAGATCACACTTTTAGCCACCATACTATCTTAGCTATTTTATGAGAAGTAGGGGTTGTTTTTATACTTCTCTTTGCAAACAAAATAAACAAGCAAATATAGCAGCTCCCCCAAAAAACAAATATCCCATCCAAAAACAGCTTGATGCATGGGGTTGGGGGCATGAAGCATCCCCGCGAAAAGTTGCTAGAGGTCTGCCAACCTACATAATAAATAATAATAATAATAATAATATATTATTTATACCCTGTCCATCTGGCTGGGTTTCCCCAGCCACGCTGGGTGGCTTCCAACAAAATATTAAAATACAGTAGTCCAAACATAAAAAGCTTCCCTAAACAGGGCTGTCTTCAGATGTCTTCTAAAAGCCTGGTAGTTATTGTTCTCTTTGACATCTGGTGGGAGGGTGTTTCACAGGGCGGGTGCCACTACCGAGAAGGCTCTCTGCCTGGTTCCCAGTAACTTGGCTTCTCGCAGTGAGGGAACCGCCAGAAGGCCCTCAGCGCTGGACCTCCATGTCCGGGTAGAACGATGGGGGTGGAGACACTCTTTCAGGTATACTGAGCAGAGCCCATTTAGGGCTTTAAAGGTCAGCACCAACACTTTGAATTGTGCTCGAAAACGTACTGGGAGCCAATGTAGGTCTTTCAAGACCGGTGTTATGTGGTCTCGGCAGCCGCTCCCACTCACCAGTCTAGCTGCCGCATTCTGGATTAGTTGTAGTTTCCAGGTCACCTTCAAAGGTAGCCCCACATAGAGCACATTGCAGTAGTCCAAGAGACCACAGGTGTAAGGTGCCATGATTTGTACCAATGTTTACATTTGTACTGGTATGCAGTGGGGCTAAGAGGGTAGAAGGCTAAGTATCAAAAGAACCTCATACCAGACTTGAGAAGTGTACAAGAGTTCATGGTTACTAAAATACGAATGACCAAAAGTTAATATTATGACATTTGAAAATCTTATGTTAGTCATTGGTGGCGTTTTACTCATAGCATTATTGCCTTCGCAATTGCTGACCATTCAATATTTCTAACCATTGCTACTGAAAAAATAGGGTTGCATCCAGTTAATTTCTAGTCACAGTAGGCACACTGAAATTAATGGACTCACATTAGTCATATTCATCAATTTCCATGGATTTCTCTGTTCTCTTTTAAAGCTTTCATTCAGTTGTCTTATTTCTTTGGTAATCAGAAAACTGTAAACAAAATATTTAACTCCTCTATACTTGGCCCTGTTTCTACTAAAGTTAAGTTTTGGCATGCAACTTGATTCTACCTATCCCATCAGGAAGTAAGTCCTAATGATTAAAGGAACTTACTCAGGTAAGTCCCAGTGAAAGTGTTGGATACCAGATAGCTGTGACTAACTTGTGCCATTAGTTTCAGTGCAACTTAAAACATTCACACTCACTGGATTAGGGCCCTAGTCTACCTACCAAAGGCTAGATTTCATAAAATAAAAATGTATTCCCAATTCACATTTCATGGCTCCAGGAGGAGGAAATGAGCTTACAGTTTAAATAAATAAAAAGCACATCACTGGATTGCTAAATAGCAAGAAGCATTTCCAATGGCTTCTTGAATCAAGCTGCCTGCTGACATCTTAGTTACAAAGTCTAACATCTGAAAGCTGTAATCTTACATGCCACAATCCATGTCGGCTCCTTTCAGAGTCTCGTGTCCATTTCAGTAAGTCCTTGCAACTAGGTTCTTGTTTTAAAGAAGGGATGCAGGGTTTTATAGGGTTGTTCTCCTACGCCTTCCCCATACGGCAAACTTCCTCTTAAGTGATACACAGATCTAAACTATTTATTACCTCACAGTATCTCCAAACCACTTCAGAACTGCTTATGACAAACAATACACATTCTCAGAGATCACTAATAAGTGAACTTCCTTTACGTTACCTGGTTTCCAGATAAAATCTGTTTTCCGTTTGTGGTTAACAAATTTAACATCTCTTGCCCAACACTCTAGAAAGCACTGTTCTCAATAGCCTACAATCCTATCACGCTCTTGGTTAAACAGAAACTAATTATTTCCACTTCAACACTTTGTGCAGAGAAGCAGAGCACGAGGATTATTGTTCCTGTTTTCAGACATTTCTATTCACTCACAATAAGTTTTTGCCAAGTGTCTTTCCCCCCAAAAAAACTGTCAAACTGATAAACAGTAGCATAGAAATAATGCAATGCTACACGGAATTGCACTAATAAGACTGAGGGGAGGTTGTACTGAGCTTTCATGACACCCGACATTAAACAGCTGAAAATACCTTTAGAAAATAACCACTAAATGTTTGCATTGATTTAGTTGTGTTTGTTTAGGTAACAATGGTTAACTGAGGGAAGCAGTCTTATTTTATCTAGAAGTCAGATCAAGGCAATGCTATACAGCTCACCATGCACACAGAGTGAAAAAAAACAATGACAACCAATATAATATTGTGCAGGAGTTACCAACTATAGTGTTTCTTGGTCTACTGTTTGGTTTTTAAAGTAGATTCCCCATGGCCCACTAAAGTGCTTTCAATTTGCACAGCAGAACTGAATAATCAAGACCTCTGAACAGTTAAAGCACAACTAATCTGCACTAAGTGATCCTGAACATGCATTCTTGCTTAACGTAAGAAGTGTTTTGTTGGAGGAGACCCAAGGTTCACATAGTCCAACATTCCTTGTAAGAATTCTGTGAACCACTAGTTGGTTGTAGCTGAATTTCTGCCTTGTTATAGGATAGAGTTTTAGTCAAGTACACATGAAAACTGGGTTCAAAGATCCACTTGGTCATGAAACTCACTGGATATCCACCCATCCATCCATCTCTCTCTCATAGATACACACACACACACAGAGAGAGAGAGAGAGAGAGAGAGAGAGCGTTGTTGGGAGGATAAAATTAGATAATCCTGCATATCCTACCCTGAGCATCTTGGAGAAAGGGTGGCACACAAGCAGAGGAAAATGTGGGAAATGCAAGGATAATTAAAGAAAAGGGTTTAACTTACCAGAAGCGGTCACAGCAAGTCAGCTAACTTTAGCAATGCAGCCTTAAGTATCTGGCATATCTGCTTCCTGATGTTTCCAATCCTTCCTTCTTACTTAATCCACAACTGACAACAAAAAAACATAAACAGGAAGACTGTCTCCTTACTTAGTCCACAGCTGACAAAAAAAAACCACCAAAATCATCGTCTAATGAAAGACGGCCTTCAAGAATACTGGTGTGCCATCAGGGGGCAAACCAATAAGCAACATGGGAGGGGTTATTTTTAATGGGGGGGGACCAGTTCTAGTATTTTAACACTAAGTTGTGAAGTAGAAAACCTCCTCAGACATACAACTGGCTTTATAAAATGAAGCTTCAAAATAATCTTAACTTCCAGAGACACACACTGAACTCCAGGCCGTCATAAGACAACATGCACTTCAGCCTCAACACATTTATACCCTTTAACTCTCAGGGTATCTTGAGGCAAGCTGAGGATAGGCTTAAACACAGTGATATCCTCATGCTTGAATGTTAACAATAACACTTAATTAAGTTTCCAGAATGAAATTTTAAAAAGAGGGGACACGATAAACCTATATGGAAATTAAAGTACCTTTAAATAAAGGAACACCTTGTTGTCCTTAAGGCACTGTGACGTTCTCGTTTAAGGGATGAGCTTGCAGCTTATCCTGGAACTATGACCAAAGAAAAGGAATTTATTGGAAAGAAATTTGGACTCTGCACTCTGGATTCAAATCCTGGCACTCAGCAGATGACTGAAGGGGAACTACCTCTTAGGTCTTCCATCAGTAAAAAGAGCAAGAGTCTTGCAAGGGCAAATAAGATAACATGGCAGTAATGTATTAAGTGTTCTGTCGAAATTATATTTAAAGTTGGTTAAACCATCAATGGGACTCCTTAGCACCAGCCTGAGACCCAAACTCCAAAAGTAGCCTATTTAGCAGTGTTAACATTTCCTTCTCCCAGAACATATGCAGCTTTTTTGCTTATGTGTCACTGGTGGGACAACCACCTTTGACAGTTGTAGCTCATTAACCACAGGAAACACCTTGCGTTCACATAACATAAAACAAGCATGCTTCTTCCAGATGACAGCGGGTACAGTGTGCAGGGGCAAAATTAACTTGGGAATAGTGCGCTAATTGTCCACAACATACAGTTCTAACCAAAACTTGAGGAATTTTAAGAACCCTGCGTCTTCTATTCCTGCTTGTTTATACAATGGCCATCAATGCACATGGGAGGTTTACGGGATAACAAGCTGAAACAGCCTGCATGAGTTTTTAGTATTAAGCTCCGTACGGGGGGGGGGGGGGGAGAGAAAAGCCTAAGAAAGGACAAATATCAGCAAGTTAACCTCACGAAAGCTGGCTAGAATCCCCCGGTGCAGACAACCAGGAAATGAAGCTTTCGCTGCCCTGCCATAGCATTACTGCAAAAAAGAGAAGAAGTTAATTAACATCATAGTCCAAGGCATGCTTGCTCAGCAGCGAATCCCACTACGTCCAAGGGGGGGGGGGGACGTCCAAGGGGGGGCAGATCTGCAACCTGCAGAAGCAACCTGAGCAAAAGCTATGTGCTCTCTTGGCGGCGACCTGCGCTTGCTCGTTGTTTTGGGGCGGGGGGCGACTTGCTCGCTTAAAAAGCACAGCAAGCGGCTCAATCAGGGCTTGCAGAAACCTCCTCGCGTCTGCAGCCCACGACACTGCTGCAGTCTCCGGGCTGGCTCCCCTTTGCACCACATCCCTAGTCCAGGCAGTCTTTTTTAAATATTTTAATTCCCTCCACCTCCCTGCTGCTGCTAAAGTTGCTGCCCCTCCCGCTCCAGCCCCCAGCGTGACACAGCGACCCCAGCCCCCCAAATATTCCCACGGGGTTCTCCCTCTGTCGCCCCACCCACCCCTCTATTTACCTGCCGCCGTCCCGGGGGGGGGGGTGGCAAGCAAGGAAGGCTCGCTCTGCGGCGACAGGGATCCCACCCACCCCCAGGGCGGGGGGCGGCCCTCTGTTTATTTGCGCCCTCAGGCCGAGAGAGGCTGCTGGAGGGAGAGAGGGAGGCAGCTAGCCGGCCGGCCGGTGGGCGCGCGGGCCGCCTTCCAGCGCCGAGCTCTCTTTCTCCCCCGCCGCCCTCCCGGGCTCCTTTCATCCTCCGGCGGGGAGGCGCTGCCGTGTGGAGGCAGCCAGAGCCGGCGGCCGGTACAAACCGGTTGCAACTAAGCGAGCGTGTGGGGCGTGTGCGTGTTGTGTGTGTTTTCCTTTCTGCTGAGGAAAAAGGCGGCGCTGCAGAGGCTCGGGCTGCAGCCGCCGCCGGAGAGAGAGAGAGAGAGAGAAGGCGGCCGAGGCGCCTCCGTCTGTCCCCATAAACCTCTGGCTGGCTGGCCCTGCAAGAAGAGAGAGGGGCGGGGATGGGCAGCAGGCGGCGCCTTTTCGAGGCAGCGAGGCGGGAAATGCCGCCGTCAAAGCGGAGGCGGCTGCTGGGTGCCGAAGTCGGCGGTCTTCCTGCCCCCGGGAGGAGGAGGTGGTGGCGGGAAGCCCCCCTCGCCCATCTCCCTCCCTGCGTCCCCCGCGGCTTCTCCGTCGCGCTCCGCGGGGTCAGCGAGGGGTGAAGCTAACACACACAGACATAGGCAGCAGCCAGTGCCTTTTCAAGCGTTCACGGGCGGAGACCCGAACCGAAAAAGCCACTTTTTAAAAACTCCCCGTCGGGGAAAAAAAGGTTACGCGTTTTCTTAAGCACCTCGAAGAACTTCGGCGCACGTCTCCACCTCAAAGCCTTGCACACACCTTGGTAACGACAGGCTTGATTTTTCTTCGGTTGGCTTTCTTTTGCGCGGGTCAAGTTTGGGGTGAATCTCTTTATGCTGATGCTTCTAATGCTAGGTGGAGCAGAGTGAGTTGCCTTGGTTTAAAACACACACAAAGAGAGTTATCTGCTTTGTCCTTTAATCTGGGAGCAGCTTTCTCTGACACAATGGAGGTATAGCAGCTGAAGAGTGCTGGCTTTGCAAAAACAATTGTCAAGGCAAGACATTGCAGCATTTCTATACGCTTGCTTTTATGTTCTGCGTTTGGCACCGTGCGCACACTTCACTCCAAGCTTCCTAAAGCTGCCTAATCTCGCATCCCAGACTCAAACCTATACCTTTCTGCTTCTCGCATGCAGAAAGAGGCCATAGAGGTGCTTCTCAAGTCTCTTGCATTCCAGCGAAATCTCCCTGTTAACTTTGTGTATCGTTAAAAGTGGGGCAATAAAAGTTCGTTGGATGAGCTACACACCCTAGATCGCTCCATTGTTCGTACACCAGGAAATAAGAGGACTTGGCAAAGGATTAAAGGATCACACATGGTATATAAGAACCCCTAAAATAGATAAAATCAAGATAACTACGGTATTTCCTTCCTCCATATTTAAGCAAAGCAGGGTTAGGTCTTTTCCCTCTTACCATTCCTTCTAATACCAGGAACATACAAAAGCCTGGATATGAGGGAATTTCCCAGACACTTTTCTGTTCACATCATTTTCTAAGATACAGTAGTTACTGAAGTGGTCGATTAGGGCAGTAAAGACCAGGTTTCCTAACATTTAAGCTTGCATTTATTGCTATGTACACATTAGCTTAAAGTGCTGCTAGGTCATTCTGTTTCTCAATTTGGATCAAAGTTGTTTTGGGGGACACAGTATTTCGTAAGGAACAAAAGAGTAGATACGGGGTAGACATGGATTGTGACTAATGTTGTGCATGCACCACTTCTCAAGGCAGCAATAGGAGTGCACCACATTTCATTAGTGTGTGCGCCCCGGGGAATTTTGCCTTTGTGGACAAGAGGAAGGAGTGCTCTTGGGGAAGGGCCTGGGCTGTGCCCTTGAGCACAAAACACAACCTTAACCTTGGAGGGGCCCCTGCTGCTGCTTGAGATGACATAACAATGCAGGGCCCCCACGTGTTCATACCACAAAAGCAGCCCTTCACCTCCACATGTCTCTCTGCAAAAGGTGGTGAGCTGAAGGCTCCTTGCAAGCCAACTAAAACACGTTCCCACATCAACCAATTTCATTACAGTGCAACATAATAGCAACCATACACAAAGACAGCATTTCAGTACTATAAATATAACATGATCGCATCAACCAGATTATACCTCCTGGCAATAGTAACAATAGCAAGGGAGCTTTGTCAGTTTTACCTTGGTCCTGGAAACCCCTCTGCCCCGTGATGTTGCTCAGAGTCCCTCTCCTGCAGCAACTTGCTAGGCTTCCAGAGGCAGCCCGGTGGAAACACTCCTCCTGTGGTGTTGTTCCTCCCTTCCCACTGATAAGACTCACCTGGCACCAGGTCAGCACATCTTTATTTCATCAGGCATATTAATCATAAGGCTTTCAATTTACTGTATTAATGCTTTGCTGCAGTTGGTTTTGTTTAGTTAGATTTACACTGCGGTTGTTTTATTCTGTTTGGCTTGTTTAATCTTTATGGGTTTAAATTTTATTGTTAACGATCCTGAGAGTGTTCACTGTTTACTTGTAAAAAATAAAATAAAAGTGTGTATAGGATTGTAGCCTTAAGCACATGCTTCTTATGACTTGAGGCTGCCTGCAGATTAAGGTAGTCAACTAAGTTCCAAACTTGTGTTTGATGGAAAAAAGGGAGAGGACCTTTCCTGTTGCTCACCCAGGTGTTGAAACTCGTGAGGAAGAGCATTAGTCATGGTGTTTAAACCTTCCTGTTTAGAAAGGATTGGCTTAACCTTATCATCCTGAGTACAACAGTGTATTGGGAGGGTTTTAAAATGAAAAACATGGATTTTTAATTAAATGTTATTGCTGGTCTTATCTGTTCTCTCTTGATCTGCTGCTCTGTTGCATTACTGCTTGATTCTGGCATACAAGTCATGTTTACCTTTTATAAGGAAAGGTGGGTATACTTTTTTTAAAAATGTTATCACATGCTGAAACCAATTAGCCTTATAAAGGCTTGGCTTGGCCAGAATCATGCAATGTTTGTAGTTAAAGTAAGCACACTTTAGTACTCCTGGAACAAAGCATGATATACTTCAGAGGTCATCAATGTGGGCACAATAGTTTCCATGAGGACCTCCCTTGGTACCCATTAATCTTTTGCATCTCACTTCCCACTCACTGTCCCCTGAGTCATAGAGTGGCAAGGGTGATCACCTCCCCACCCTGCCCTCTGCTTGAAGAGTAAATGGAGCTGCAGTAGGAAGTGAAAGGAGCAGCAATTTCCCCCACTTCCTCTCTCAGCTCTATGTGCTTTTCAAGGCTCAGACTGGCACCTGAACAGCTGAACTGAAAGTGGAACAGGCTTGTTTTCTCCTGCTCTGGAGACTCAAACCAACGGCTTCAAGTTACAAGAAAGGAGATTCCAACTAAACATACGGTGGGGGGGGGCACTTCTGACAGTAAGAGCTGTTTGACAGTGGAATGGTCTCCCTCAGGAGGTTGTGGACTCTCCTTCCTTGGAGGTTTTTAAACAGAGGCTGGATGGCCACCTGTCATGGATCCTTTAGCTGAGATTGCAGGCTGTTGGACTAGATGACCCTTGAGCTTCCATCCAACTCTACAATTGTATGATTCTATGGAGCAGCCAAGACTGAGGGCAGAGAGTGAACCTGGGGGGACAGAGTCCAGACTGAATGATTCTCTCGAAATTGCGTACTTTATCATGGGTCTTCATTCTCCTCTTCTACCGCCACCCTTCACAGAGCTACCATTTCCATCCTTAACAAACTACAGTTTACAGTGGTATCTCAGGCTAAGTACTTAATTTGTTCCGGAGGTCTGTTCTTAACCTGAAACTGTTCTTAACCTGAAGCACCACTTTAGCTAATGGGGCCTCCCGCTGCCGCCGCGCCACCGGAGCACGATTTCTGTTCTCATCCTGAAGCAAAGTTCTTAACCTGAAGCACTATTTCTGGGTTAGCAGAGTCTGTAACCTGAAGCGTATGTAACCTGAAGCATATGTAACCTGAGGTACCACTGTATTAGGATTCTTCTTTAGGGCAAGCTGTCATGTACTTTAAATGTGCATTGAATGTGCTTTTTTTAAATATTAATCTTTTTAGGTTTAAAAATCAACACATACACACAAATAATATTTAGGAAAAAAGCAAAGAAGAAAACAAAAACAAAACAGACAAAGAAATAGCAAAATTATGCAAAAGAAAAAATCTTTTACAAACAAACAAACAAAGATATGTAGCACTGCTTCACCAATAAACAGCGGTTCCGTCAACCAACACGTTGAATGTGCTTTAAATGTATAGTGTGGATGCGCCCTAAACTGGTGAAATGTAAAAGGATAGCTTAAGTCATTTTTGGAAAAGCCTTGATATAGTAAATGAAATTCATGCACTGAAAATTGTTTTTTACATTTTTGTTAGGTATTCGTATAAGCTTGGTGGAAGGGGGACAACCGACTGCACACACCAAGATACATACAGATACGCGTGATCCATGCTTGACATAAAGTGAATATATTTTGTACTCGGTCTCCGAATACAAGAAGTCAAATGAGGAAAAAATAAAACAAAATTTATTTGTCTGAACACCACATCAGGGTAACAGAACTGTGCCAGATTGCCTATCTCTAGCAAATGTTTGGGAGGTATAACCTAGCCCAGGGGTCAGCAACCTTTTTCAGCTGTGGTCCGGTCCACCGTCCCTCAGACCATGTGGGGGGCCGGACTATATTTGGGGGGGGGGGATGAACAAATTCCTATGCCCCACAAATAACCCAGAGGTGCATTTTAAATAAAAGCACACATTCTACTCATGTAAAAACACCAGGCAGACCCCACAAATAACCCAGAGATGCATTTTAAATAAAAGGACACATTCTACTCATGTAAAAGCACACTGATTCCCGGACCATCCGTGGGCCGGATTTAGAAGGCGATTGGGTCAGATCCAGCCCCCGGGCCTTAGGTTGCCTACCCCTGCCCTAGCCCTTCTCTAGCTTTTAAGCTAATGAAATGAAAATCCCAGTAAATGGCACATCTACAAAAAGCAAAATAATCGTTATTGCACACAGCTGCACACTTTAAGTCTCGAATGCAGGGTTCAAATGAAAATACATAGCATGTTTACTTCAGTGGGATTTAGAAATGGGTTAAGTAACTCAGCAGTGGTAATGAAAACTGGCAGCGCAATCTCTTCCGAGAGTCAGAGACAAAGAGAAATCAGATCTAATGCCTCCTATATGCAATGCCTCATGAGAGACCCCTGTTAACTAGACCATCTATTTATTCACAAGCAAATTTATCCAGCTTGGAACAAAAGCCACACTTCAGCAATTCACATGTTTGTTTCATCAGGGCTTCTTCTATGGGACTCCTGTCTACCCCAGCTCCTCCCACCCACAGCAGAGTCATTAACTCTTATGAGCAGGGTCCACCTCTCTCTTGCGCTTCTGTAAGCAAGGCACATATTCTAGAAAGCAAGCTTAGAGTATAATACACATTTTCATTCATATTTATTTTATTTAAACAGTCCCTTTCTCCAAAGAGCTCCCACTCCGTTTTATTCTCAGTCAGCACTATTCCTGTGAGTCAGCTCAGGCTGAGAGTGAGCGATTAGCCCAAGGTCACCAAGTAAATTTCATGTCTGGGGATTTGAACACAGGTCTTCATTATACAACAACGCAGATACTCTGTCCACTAGACAACTCTGGCCCTCTTTTAACTGGAGGTTGTTTGACAATGTTCAGTTACACTGTATGGCTTTAGATTTTAAACCTTTTTTAATGGTGTGCCAGCTTGAAGGTAAGATAAGATACCCGTAGTACAGTGGTACCTTGGTACTCAAACACCGTGGTTCCCAAATGCCGAAAACCTGGAAGTAAGTGTTCCGGTTTTTGAATGTTTTTTGGAAGCCGAATGTCCGATGCAGCTGTCGGCTATTGTTTCCGGGGCGCCTGCACCAGTCAGAAGCTGTGCCTTGTTTTTCAAGCATTTCAGAAGTCAAACGGACTTCTGGAATGGATTAAGTTTGGCGCTTTTGTTTTTGCTCTTTATTTTGCGTTTTTGAGGCTTTTTCGGTTAAATAGTTTTTGTGGCTGTGTGGAACCCAGTTCAGCTACTGATTGATTGTGTGACTGCGGAAATGGATAACCCCCCCCCCCCCGCATCCAAACAATGACCATCATCAGTGCAGGTAAGAAAAAATAATAATTTTAATTGTTATCATCTACAATACTGTCTTGTTTATTTTATAGTACAGTACATTGATTATTGCTTTCGTTTTATGGATCAATGGACTCATTAGATAGTAAAATTCATGTTAAATTGCTGTTTTAGGGGTTGTTTTTAAAAGTCTGGAACGGATTAACCCATTTTGCATTACTTTCTATGGGAAAGCATGCCTTGGTTTTGGAATGTTTTGGTTTTCGAATGGACTTCCAGAGTGGATTAAGTTTGAGAACCAAGGTACCACTGTAAATGAAAATAGGCTTTCCACATTACAATAAAAGTTGTTTGTGGTTGTGGAGTATGCCACTCCTTTCTGCTTAACATAGTGCAAATATGCCCAGAGTTTATTGCTTTTAAAAATTAGGCTGTTTTTAATTGCTGGGGCTCATTTTAATTTTGATATTGTAGGTTTGTGTTGTTAAAACTTTATGCCTTTTTTCTGGATTTCAATTTTTTACTTTAAAAAAATATACTACTCGTAAAAAAAGAAACAAGACAAGACACATTTTGTTTATTCAGTGTGGGCGAAAATCTAATTTCTAAAAGTGGTTTGCAGGGTTTATTTGTTAAGATGAAAGATAAGGTAAAGAATGAAGAGGGGAGTGTTAATTAAATTGAGTGTAAAAATACAGAGCGCCCAGAGCAATTAGGAAGAAACAAGTAATTTTATATTCCAGCGTACAAGACCCAGGAACATATTGAGTTTTCTTGGTCAATGATTAACAATAGAACTTTCAGGCCTTCATCAAAAATATGTATGATAACTGAGATCAGAGCAGCCAACTCAGATCAGAGCAGCCTGCTCTTCCCTATCAACCCCAATCCTATATTCCTGTAGCATGAACCAAGAGAACCAGGCAAGTGGGGGATTATGTGAACCTTAACATTTGACGTATGGGGTTTTAGTAAGGATTTTTTAAAGTAGGAGAGAGGACAAATGGACACAGCAGATTGGAAAATAAAAGGAGCTCTTTAGCTCAAATCTAGTATGCTGATTTAGTTAATCTGTTATGCCTATTTAGGTCTGGTCTCCTCATGAGTAGCACACAGTGTAGGTCTGGTGTATGTAGGGGGTCACTTGCAGGATTATCTGATGACATGCCCTGAGGTAAGAGATCAATGAACTCAGATGGTAGGGACAAAAGACCGTGGTACCCAGGCCTATTTAAATGGTTCTCCCTGTATTCCTGTATGCGGGAGGCAGTGGAAGACAGAAGTGCCTGGCGTGCTCTGGTCCATGGGGTCACGAAGAGTCGGACACAACTAAACGACTAAACAACAACCCTGTATTGAAAAACATTGGGGCCTAATTTGAATAATAGAGTGCTTGGTATCTGGTGGGTGGGGCTTGTGCAGTGTGTTGTTTTTCCCCCCTCTGGAATCAGCCCTTCCCTTCAGTGCTTGTTCCGTTAAGAATGTCAGTTGAGAGAGACCAACTGGCACTTCTTGTTTTCTTGCCTCAGACTTGTCTCTAGATGTTTAGTTTCTCTCAGACATTATGTTATTCTCTTACAGTTTTTTCTCAGTTCATTATTAAAGCTTGTTTACATTTACATGAGCCACTTATGTGTCATGTTTGGCAGGTGGGGTGGGGGTGGATTGACACCTTTTGGGGTGCAGATACCCCTGTGGGCCGGCAAATATGGTTATTGGCTAGTAGAAACTGCCAACAGGATTTCTCTTTCTGCCAAACTTTTGAGTTTGTGGATTCATTAATTGATTGAAGTAGGTGCTTGTCTGAGCAAAACCGAGTGCAAGAGAGCAGTTTCCCTCTAGAATTCTGAAACCTCGTTGGCCTATAATAAGTTTGAATGGAATGTCCACCAAAAACAACACAATAATTCTAATATTTAACAGTCTGGTGTTTTAAAGTCCACTGAACTGTTTAAAACCCGAATTCTACAGCCAACTGTCACAACTTGAAACCTTCCAAGTTACATGTCATTTCTCCAGCAACAGCATAATTGCTAACTGGCAGACTGTCAACTAAAACCCAACACAATGTTTCTCTCTGGCTTCAGTTAGGAATAAGACAATTTCCCACTCTCTGAGCACTTTATTTACAATCCAACAGTGTTTAAAATAGAGCGTTCTTACGTTTACATTTCTTCAGATAAACACAACTTTTTTCATATCCTGACTATTTTTGGGCAGCTTAGCTGGAGTCATAAACTGCTGAACCACTTTAATGCACTTACCCTGTAAATAGTCGTCCCCCCCCCCCCCTTACACTGATACCCTCTTAAACGAAAGTGAGCTCATGCCATACATTTTCCAGATGTACAATCTACAGAAATGTGCTTGCCAGTCAGGAATTTCCACCCATCAGTAAATACGGTAAAATAGACACATGTTCATTGCTATGTGTGACAAAATGCACTTGCAAGGTGTATGCATTTTGCTCTACAGAATTTATATCTATGCAAGAAATTGGATCGTAATGCAGCCGTAAGTTAGACAGATAAAAAGGCTACAGGTAGAATTTGAAATCACTAGCAGTTCAATATATTAAGCTAAATTGCTCCCAGATAAAAGTATCTATTAAGTTAAATGTAAGGGACACAAAGTGGATATCTAAGGTATTTTAACTTCATTTTCTTTTATTAGCAGAACATAAATAGATATGCTAAGGTAAACTATTTTATTCATGGATAGGTAGCCGTGTCGGTCTGCCATAGTCGAAATAAAATAAAATAAAATAAAAATTTAAAAATCCTTCCAGTAGCACCTGAGAGACCAACTTAGTTAGTTATTGGTATGAGCTTTCGTGAGCATGCACACTTCTTCAGATACAGTGGTACCCTGGGATGCGAATGGGATCCGTTCAACACACCATGGAACATCAAAGGAAAGTATGTATAAAAAACATGTTTGGCTTTGAATAGAGAACATAGATTCACAGAGCTGGAAGGAACCCCAAGGGTCATCTGGCTGGAGGGGAGCAGGTATCAGGTACATCTCCTCACTGTATATTACATTCAAAAGTGACAAGAGATTAATTATATCATTGCAAGCATACCCTCAAGAGGAGAGTTCCTGCACCTTCAGAACCATGGCTGGCACACGCAAAAACCAATCAAGTGTCCTGAATGCTGGCGTACACTGAGATAAGTCCCTACTGACTTCACTGCTTGCACTAAGCAGAAAGTTCTGTTGACCAAAGTCTCGAGGGCAACACTAGAGAGAAATCAGGCAGCCCCATAGTCAAATACAAGTTAAGTTCCAATGCAATGAGAAAGGTTCAAAGTCAAACTGTAAGGCCAGGTTCCTGTCTCTGAAGATGATCCAGGGTTAGAATCCTAAGGTTAGTGTTGAAATCACAGTCTGGTGGAGTTCCCGAAACAGTCAAGAGAGGGTACATCCATAGTCAAAGCTGAGCAGACACAAGAGTCTCTCTCTTGCTTCTCTTTTTATTCCTCCCAATCTTATTTGATGCACCTTAGCTTGCTCCAGCTGAGTAGCTGTGTCTCTCCCCTTAACGAAGCATGTGATCACCCGCTGTGAGCTTAATCAAGCTAGTAAGCTGGGCTGTGTTCTCTTGCCTGCCTCAAGTCTCCTAAAGTGTACTTCCTGCTGTTCACAACTGCTCATTGCTTTTCGTGTTCGTGGAGAAGGGGGCATCTCCAGTTTTGGTGATGTGTCCACTTTCTCTGGCTCCCGCAAACATCCTCTGATGCCCATTGAGTACCTCCTAAGTCCCCCGCCTCCTCTTCCCCATCTTCAGCTTGTCATGGTGTGTACCAATTATAGCTGCACCCCTTGCTGGGATCCTCTTCCTTGGTGTCCTGCTAGTTCATAACATCAAGACTGTCAGATGGTTGGATTTTTATTTATTTATTTGTAAAGAAGATCTATTGCTTCTAAAGTTACAATATTCTGTTTTGAAAGAAGTTCATAAGGAGCATCATAAGGAGCACATTCTTTTGATTGTGCTTTCTGAATTTGCTTTGACAAAACGCACTTAACTGGAAACTAAATTGACTGGCTCGCCAAAAACTTAACAGGAGAGAGTATGGCCTAGCAGGTTATTGGGTCAGTTCCCAATTCCTCTTCTTATACTCCTGTACAGACCTCATAGAATTATTTTCTGCAATGGCCTGCAGCCTAAATGTGAGATTACAATAATCCAACAATAATTAAGAGGGTGGTTGTGAGTGCAACCATGATTTCCACTTCTGGAATTTTGCAAGATTCCCTTTTCCAATTATCCCAAATTGGAAGACCGCATCAAAGCAACAGTATGTCAAGCTTATACTTCCCATAAAGTTAATTATAAAATGACCTTCCATGTCTCTTCCCCCTGTCTTTTAAGTAATAGGAAAAGGCAACATTGATTTCCAAGAGTTGTTGTACATTCTGATACTGGAAGTCAACCTACCTTTATATATGATTGTGGCTGACCAACTTTTTAAGCAGCAAACTTTAATTCACTTAACAGGGAGAAAACCTAATTTTCTTTAATGGGCCTTCCTTCCAAGTAAAAGCTGTGTAGGATTGCACTGTTAAAAGAGAAAGAAGCCTGTGCGTAGCTTGGCCCCCTCTGCATTGTTCCAACTGATTTTAATGTTGTATTCTTACATTGTTGCAAACCAGCAGCCTTCAGCCTTTAGCTATCATTTCTTAATTGACAACAGCAGCACTGCGACCGTAGAAATACATTTTAAAAAATGTATTTATACGGTGGTAGTGCTCCTGCTGTGACCTAAACTGCAATTAGGCTGTTGGCCTGCTTTTAGGTACCAATCCACCAGTTGAAGATCAGTGTTCTGACCCACATTGGAATGGAAACTAAATCCAATTAAAAAAATAATTCAGCAGCAATGGCAGCAGCACAGCAAGTCACCCTCACAACATAAGTCATTTTGACCAGGTTTGTGCTTCTCTTTTACCCATCTAAAGTAATAGCCACATGAAAGGTAGTTTAACTCCTTACTTTTACTGACATCACAAACTGGTTAGTATTTCTATATACAAAATCTCACGGAAGAAACCCTGAAGCTGGTTCACACTAGTTTTTGTTGATACGTCTCATGCCCTCCAGCTGTACAAGAGGCAACATGAACAAGTACACACACACACTTTCATCTTACTGGACATTTCCCAGGCTATATTTTTAAGCCAGAGGCACAGATAAACATCAGCTAATTTGGCTGAGATGGGTGCAGATTCTCAGATACAACTGCTTTCGAGTCTTCAGCGCAGCACAAGACTGCCCCTAGGTTTGAAGAGGCTCTGGTTAAGGTGCCCTCTTCTTTTTTATTTTTTAATAAATTATTTTTATTGGTTTTACATATAATCACATTTCATAACATCATACCCTCTTATTTTGTCTCTTTGGCTAAACTGAGCCTAACGACTTTGCTCCCTCCCATTTGATGGTTTACAAAATTTAACTTTACATCTTTACATTCTGCTTCGTTTCCTATCCTTGTTGTATCATTACCTAAAATATTCTATTACTCAACCTGAATAGGTAGCAATTTCATCTTACAAATCTTCAGAGAACCCTGCTAATGATGTTAATTGCTTACAGTTGTCTTTCAAATATAATATAATTTTGTTCCAGTCCTTTTGGAATGCTTGGTCTCGCTGGCTCCAGATTCTTCCTGTCAGTTTCGCCAGTTCTGCAAAGTCCATCAGCTTCATCTGCCACTCTTCTTTTGTTGGCAACTCCTGTTGTTTCCATCTTTGGCCTAACAAAATTCTTGCCACAGTTGTTGCATATAAGAACAATCTTGTCTTAGTATTTCTCTACCCACTATAACCAATAAAAAAAGCTTCTCGCTTTTAACTCATTATATATCATTTCCCAGAAGGCTTTTACTTCTTTACATGTCCACCACATATGGTAAAAAGTACCTTCCTTTTCCTTACATTTCCAACATTTTTTGTTCTATACATTTTGGCCAGTTTAACTGGTGTTGAATACCACCTATAGGTGCCCTCCTCTCACTCCACAAAAATATTTACTGGGCCGCAAAGGAGAAAATGGCAGCAGTCTCTGGTGCTGAGCAGGAGTTCAGCCTCCTGTTGCAACCATCTTGATTTTTCTGGAATGCCTCTGGGGAAATGTGGGGAGAGCAGCATTGTGAGGTAATGAAGATGGGGATTGACTACGTCACAGTGCTGGGCTCTAAAATATGTATTCCTCTGCCCTCAAGAAAGGGAAGCTGGCTACAGCCACAGTAGGCCCTCTGAGGACCACAGACCCTGGTATTTGCCAGGAGCGGACACCAGACTTTATCACGGGCATGGGAACGCTGTCACGCCACCTGCGCCATGGCCAATAAATTGAAGCCAGGAATGGGTTATTCAGATAAGGTGTGGCTCAGAAGGTACAGACTCCTCTTGAGCTCTCCTTTTTAGCCTCTCAATCACTCTGTGAGGTAGGTTAGGCTGAGAGTGTGTGACTGACCTAAGATCACCCAGTGAGCCTCACGGCGCATGGAGATTCAAACAACACAGGCAGGTCTATTAGGGGTTAGAATATGTGTGCATGCCTTGCTTTGTGTGAGGGTGCGCTACAGGTTACTGGCAGACAAAACTGTCACTTGAAGGCTGGATTATAAAAAAATTGCAGACATGCAATTTCCAATGGCAGGTGCTTTTTTTTCTTAATTTTTTGAAACAATCCTTCATGTTATTTCCAGGTAAATGGTAGAAACCCAAAAACTCTGTTCCATGTGATTTAAGTGTATAAGCAACAAAAAAATATGCATCTGGCAGAAGTTCAAATTCATAGCACAAGGGGAAGTTTTCTTCAACAGTTTTAAAATCCTTATTTACACTCCAGGAATTAAGCATTAAACTAGTCTGTGATTTAGAAAAAAACAAAAACAGCCCCCTCCCCCTGAATACCAGGAAATAATCCTAGTGAGTTACTTAATAGGTTGAGGAATTTGACTTGATACTTTAATATGTTGTCATGGCTTCTGCTTGTTTTGGAAAGAAGCAAACAGAATTATACATTCATTTAAATAAAGCTGGTATGACAGCTATAGCTCATTAAAGTCTGCTAAAACTGTCTCTGTTTAAACAGAAAGAAATGCATCCTCTTACATTAGGCTGAGATATGTTGTGTTAAGGCTACTGGCAAAAGGAACTGGCAATAAAGATGTGTGAATGTTTCATTTACAGGTAAAGGGCTTAGCTGTACTTTTACCTGTATGTCGTGCAGTGCTTTGCAGCTCCTTTAGAAGGCTGAGCGTGCAGGCACTTGTAGCCGAGTTGCTCCCATGATGTGTCCCCACTTTTATATAAGACTATAAATTCCATCTCTGACAAACAGCCAACAAGGAACTGCCTTGCAGGAGACGACCAGTGCACATCTAGTTCCGCATTCCATTCCCAAGGTGCCTTCTCCAGCATGCTGCCACGACTGCTTCGTCACCTCTGCTTGCATGTCTACAAGCGTGCAAGAGAAGGCTGACCTATAGTGAGTGCAGCCCTTGGAATAAAATGGCTAACCAGTCTCACTTTTAAGAATACTGTTCTACCTCACAGTCCTGTCCATGAAGCTTCCTGACCACTAACAGAATAATGAACACCAAGTATTCTTGCTACTAGCGAAAGGTATGTTGAGATTTCAAGCGTAGGAATGGAAGGTTGGGATTCACTCCAGCTCTTCTAGATGCCTCACAGCACTGCAAAATAATCTCCAGGTTCGCCCCAGCCCCCTTCTGTGGCCTCCAGTGCAATGGCTACCCTTTGCACAGATCAGGGATGGGGAACCTACGGTCCTCCAGATGTTGGACTACAACTCCCATCATTCCTGCTCACTGGGACTGATGGGATCAAGAGTCCAACATCTGGAGGACCATAGGTTCCCATTCTGTGCCACAAAAGGGGACATCACTGGAATGATGCTCACTGCCCCCTAGTGACCTAAGCGATTGAGAACTGAGCAGCATCCCTTCAAACAACTTCTTCTTCTTCTTCTTCTTCTTCTTCTTCTTCTTGTGTTGCTTTTCATTCTAGGAACTCAATTTTACATATACAGATTAACAGCTAGGCCGTTAACAATCTAGCATACCACCCACATTCCAAACTCTGTGCAAGTGAGGAATACAAACAATACAGGGGATAAAAAAATAACCACTAAGCCCTACACAATCAGCTATGTTTTACCTTCTTGAAAATGGTAAAAACATGTTCAGGGAGTGTTTTTCTCAGTTGAAATGTGCTTTAGAAACAGTATCCAATCACTTCTAGTAGCAACGCTGGGAAAGAAAATGAGGTTCCACAGATTACTTCTTAATCCACATAGCTGCTTCCATAAAATGTCAAGCAAACTACCATAACAATGCATTTTGGATTATCTGCCTCTTAGCTCTGCTCATGCTATGCAAACAAGTCTGCTGGTAAGATAACCAGATGACATTCACTGTAGCAGCACTTTTCTTCTTCTTAAAAGTAAGGGTGGCTGGTTAGTCTACCAAGTTGAAACAGGAAATTAGAACAAGTGAAGAAGTGTCTACAGCACAGAGTGACTGCTATACCAGAGAGGAAACTGAGCAGCAGCTGATAGCTGTGGCTTTGCAACTCTGAGAAAGGTAGTGTGGTGACGTCAGAAGTATAAGGAGTCAACAACAATTCAACAAGATGCCTTGTTCTAGTTTGTAAGACAAGAAAAAAGAATCCCTTGATAGAATGGGAGTCTTAGTCTGAATGAGTTTCTCTAGCCTACCGATGACTGTATAAAAGCTGAGGTACAAATTCTTAGCTGCACAAATCTGCCAATACTTATTTGAATAAGAATGCATACCACTCTATCTTTTACTTGGTTTTCAGCTAATGTGTATCAGAAGACGAACAAATGGGGGAGAATTCATCACAGCACACATAATTGATGCTCAAACTGGAATACAGGACTTCAGTTTTAGACAGCATTCCCGAATTCAAGTTAAATTGCACTGTTTTGGCTTTTAAGCACCACAACAGAACCTCAACAGTTGTCCATCCATGTTCCACTGTTGCTTTCTAAGTTACAACCAACATAACATCATTTGTCGAAACACACACAAAACTACACAAGGAGAAAATGTGGGAGCAGAATTAGATGTTAAGCAGCCCACGGTTGACACAAGTTATTACTTTTAAGGAATAAATGCATTTTCTATTTGTTATATGGATAATCAAAAGCAATAATGGTGACTAACATGGACAATTTCTAGCCAGGTGAAATGTCACCTTTGACTACCCACCCAGGATGTAGAACACATTTCAAGTTGCACTCCAAGATAAAGGAGAACCCCTTTGGACTGTGGCTTGTACCTGTGCCAAAATACCACTTAATCAAGGTTGAACAGTGAGGGGAGAATTTCATGGAACTGGTTAGAGTTGCACTTCTATGGCTCATTTGCTAATTCTGGTTCACAAGGAACCAGGCTTCCACCTGGCTCTATGGCTGCTCAAGAGAACCAACCAAAACAGAATGTTAACAACACAGAGAGAGCTGGTTCACGTGACGTGGTAAGCCAAACCTTGATTTGGGGAGACCACATAAATTTGCAGGCTCCTGGAGAGGTGCTTTCAGCTGCTTTCCTCCTCCCTAGTCCTTTCCCCTTTTAAGCTGTGGGAAGCTAAGCCGAGGTTTGGTGCAGCGGGTCATCCAAACTGGGATCTGTGGTCAAGCTCCCTTCTCACCACAAGCTGCAGCCAAGAGTTTTTCAACACCACCATGGTTATTTTTGGATTCATATTTTGTGCCGTCAAAATGGCCTGATCTGTGGTTTGATGGTGGCTTAAGGGGAATTCCATGTAAGAGCTGTGCAAATTCAGGCTTGTTTTTTTTATTGTTGCTTTTTAAAAAATTAATCCCCATTATGTAAAAGCTGTTGAGCAGGAGCACCAAGAAAAAAGCACCTAGGTAAGTAGATAGGTGCCCTATTGAGGGGGAAAAAGTGACACTTTGTTACACTGCAAAGTGAAACCAAACAATTTATTTGTGCTAAATGAATGGAAAGAATGTATTTCAGAATACATTTCTTTATACATTGTACCGGCTTATGCTGCTAAATATGCATTTGCTATTGTCATCTAACTTTTCTCTGCAATCTGTTCCTTTTCTACCAAGCAATACAACATTTTCGGCTGTTACACCAATATGCTGCTATAATGTGCACCTTCAATCATATTTTCTTCTGATTTTTCTTTGAATGCTTAAAATATTGGTTCAAACATTCAGGAGGGGGGTGTCACACAATATATTTTAAACAAGGGGAGGGGGGAATCAGCCTTTTTAATACAAATTGCTTTTCTAAAGCAGAAATTGGAGAGCACACTTTAATCAGCCACAAGGATCTTGTTGGCAGAACCACACTTACAGAAGATCATTGTGATGAAAACAACAGTACGGACAGTTTTACAGGTCAACATGAATGAGAAATGAAACAATCAACTTTTAAGGTCCATGGATCAATACATTCTATATACTCTGACAAGTCAGGCTTCCCACATTGTACTTCAGACTGTACCACACACTGGAGAAAAGGTATGGATTTGTCAATGTATGTTTGCTGCTGTATCAGAAAATTAAGGGATAAAATTTAAAAAAAAAGTGAGTTTGGGCATTAAGGTGTCAGACTTTCACTTTTGCACTAAAAGCTGTATCTTTTTATTATTGAACTGTAGTGCTGATTTACTTTATATGCTTGAAACACACTATAATATTTAGGAGTTCGTAACATACAGCTCGTGCCTGTAATTTTATATGCAAGTTGTCATGAAAAAATATAAAAAGCTGTCCCTTTTATTTTACAAACCTAGAAGCCTGGGGGGAAAGAAAAAAAATATATATTTAAGCTTTGGGAGCTCAGCAAAGCAATGCCATAATACCAAACAAAGTAGCAAATGTTCCAGCCAGAGGATGGACAGACATGTAAGTTCAAGTAAAACACTGATGGAATTTTTATTTTATTTTAAATTTAGTGTTGCAGATCCACAACACTGGCTGCGTTTTACGGCAACTTCAAATATAGCACACTTCCTACATGGAAAGCACATCCATGTTAAAAAAAAAACCCACCATGAAAACCACCACATGTATTCATGTGATTATCTACATGCAGGTTTCATGTTTCCCCCACCCCCTTGCACAGAAGGGATTTCCATGTAGGAGATGTGCTAACATTTGAACCTCGGACAAACTTGTACAACACAATTAAACAGTGAAGCCTCAAAAACTTCAGTGCAAATAAGTCAAATCCAAATATACCATTGTAAGCCTTTGGCTTGTAGTAAACTGCTCTGTGTTATGAGTCCAACTCGGAATACAGATTTGCTGAGCACATGCACTAAGGCTGAGAAGAAGGATGCATTGAATGTTGAAAAGTGGCTGGCGACTGGACTGCAGGCTGCACAGGGGGTGGCGGAGGTGGAGGGGCAGGCTGCAGTGGGGTCTGTGTATTGGGAGAAGGAGGAGGAGTGGGACGCTTGAATTTGTCAGGGCTGTTGCTTCTTCGGGGCGATGGTCTCTGTGAAAGAAAACAACAGTGCCAGAGTTTTGACTAGCATAGACTCATGTACAAGACAGGGACACTCTTGCCTTTTGACACACTTAAACTCAAATTCATTCCTGGTGGAGAAATTCAAACAGGGGAAAAAGTATCTTATGGGTCTCAGGCTGGCCTTTTCCAACCTTTGACTATTTTGTACATAACCCTCTGTCCTCTTAAGCATGATACTGCGATGCTGCTGTCGTATGACATGTCCCATGCAGGGCAAAATGAGAAGAACAAATGCTACTGACACAGTGGAAATACAAAATGGTAGCAGAAAGCTTGAAAGCAGCTGAAAGTAATGGCTCCTTTCTAGAAGAACTGAATTTGAATTACGCCTGGATAACAACACACAATGTTTAAACTCTAATGATGTAGTAGCTGAACACTAAATCAATCATTTCAAACCATGATTTTGAGACAATTCCTTCTTGGCACTAACCACAACTTTCCTCACTTTGGACTGTGGCTGGAGTAAATTAAAAAAGGAAGGAAGTTACAAGTGAGGGGAGGAAACTCTTTAAGTGTATCGATTAGATGTTAACTGTATTTTTGTTTTAATTTTTAAGAGAAACTGCTACAGAGATAAGCAATCAGAGGTCAAGGACTCCAAAGGCTTCCCATCATAGCTCCTGACCTCACTCCATCCAATACTTGGGCCACTTTTTCTCCAGATGATACTCAGGGAAAGGGCTGCTTCAAAACCTGCCCTTCAAGGCTGATCAGCAACAGAGGCTCTATCAAGGATTCTCCCCTTATACCCATCACTGCTCTCAATTCTCACAAAGCCTTTATTACTGTTTGCATTCGGTGAAAGAGGCCTATGGAGCCCTTTACCAGAGTTTTGTGCAGGAGTAAGTCAACAGGTACAGTCACTGTTGCTACCCCTCTCCCCTTGTGGCTGAGCAGTGAATCATCATTATCATCATCATCGCTCCACAATTGCATTGTGGAAGGCTGGGCTAGATGACCCTTGGGGTCCCTCCCAACTCTTATAATACTATGAGTCTACAAAACGTTTCCTAGGAAAACTGAGGAAACAGAATGGAACTAAGAATGGAATCAAAAGCTTGAAAACTATTGTCCAAAATGGAAAGAACTGCAAGGGATGGACAATTTGCTTGTCCAGAAACCCAGTACAAAGTGGGGTTCCCAGGTTTTTATTAGAAGAAAGACTGGGCATTGGTGGGCCTTGCGGGCTCAGAGCCAATAAGTAAGTATGTTGGGCCAGCTCTGAGGCTTCCTGGCTTTTCAGACCAGAATACACTCAGACAGCTGGCAATCTTAACAAAGAGGTCTGATCTTTTTAGTCTATTTGGCAGAAAATGGGTGAAAGTACACAATGACTGAATGACAGTATATGTAGGATATCTACAAGAACACCTAATCCTGGAAAAATATGGGACGATTCATCTGTCAAGGTGGTGAAAGATGTGAAAAGCAGCATTTCTCTCTTGGGGAGCAGGAATGACTTTCATCGTATCACTGCTCTGATCCTCAATGTAGCCAAGCTTCTTTCTTCCACCACTTTCATTTCTAGCACTTGCTGCTCCTGGTACTAGTTCTCCTCTTCTTTTAAAAAAACTTTTTATTTAAGTAGAAAGCAGTTAATAAACTGAACGTTATAGGAAACCATAGCAATTGAACTGGTGCATGAAAGGCACCTGATGGAGGGAGGGAGGGAGGTCATAGGTGAAACTATCCTGCCCCCAAGTCTCAGCCACGCTATCTTGCAGCAACACAGCCATCTATAGGTCACAGTCATTACTGATTTTGGAGGTGAGGGAGGAAGGCATGCACTATTCTTTATACTGGAGCAAAAATCTAAATGTTTTATCTAGTGCAAAAAGGGAAGCATGGAATGAATGGTGGTCTGGTTGAAGACACTTAAATGGAACCAGCATAGAATATATATTCCCCCTCCCCCCCAAAATGTGTAAGAGATATGATGCTCAGTTCTTAAATACTCACTGTAATACCATGGGATGGTCCCATATGCTGCACATGAAGGCCTGGGTTGTTATAATAAGACACGCCGGCTCTGGTGTGTGGAGTTGGGGGAGTAAAGCCAACTGTGTGACTTGCATACGAGAGACCTAAAATAATGAAAGCAAGACGGTGTAGGTTTACAAATGCTAATATGCTCAGATACCAAAACACCCAGCACCTTATAAAAAAGAAAGCAACAGGCATTATCTCCTAACCTGAGCAAACTGCATTTGAACACCTGTTTGCACAATTATTATGCTTAGTGGAATTGACAAAGCAAGATATGATTGAGTTATTTTAATTTCTAGCCTGCCCCATTTTAATTTCTAGCCTGCTTCAATCCCATTTACTGGCTAATTACACACAAAAGCTCTGACAGAATTCAGGACACATCACAAGTTTCCGCTGAATGCTTTTGTAAAAAGAAAGATTAGATAAATATAAATATTATCGCAATACATTTAAAAATAAAGAAGAAAGCGGTGCATATATTTACCAGGTGATATAGGTCTGCTAGAACTTGGTGAAGGTGTATATGGAATTGGACTGGACACAGTGCGTGGTCTTAATCCTTGTGCAGACATCTCATTAAAATATCTATTTTAAGAGATAAACACGGATGAGTTTCCTCTTTCCAAGAAATATTGCTTAAGTTTTATTTTTAGGTTCCCCTCCAGCATATGTCCTGTGTACCATGAGACAAATACTGGAAGATACTAGAGCAGCATCAGTAGTTAGCAAGGCTGCAATGTTTAGTTAAATCATTGGTGAACTAACGTGATCTGAACGCAGGCGTACACTCCCTTCCTATGGTTTCCAGCAACTGGAAAGTTTTATTACCTCTGACCATGGAGGCACAGCATAGCCATCGGGCCTAGTAGCCATGGATAGCCTTATCCTAAATGAGTTTCTCTAATCCTCTTTTAAATAAAGCCGTCTAGCTTGGTGAACAACTAGTTTTAAAAGGTTTTTAAAGTAGTAATTTATTTTACAAAAGTACTGATGCAAGAACTAATGGTGGCAAGCACCATTTCCAGAAAGGCAAGGCCTCCCTTCAGTGACAAAGCAAGGAAAGCCCTACTGCAGTGTGCTTCTGTATGTTTGCTTTCTTTCCAAGGAATTGTTCATAAGCAAATTTATGCGTATCAATTGAAGCCAGTGCAGTGACCAAATGCAGAAGGGACTCGGATTTATCTGACCGGGTGCCAGCCATAACAGATCTAGTGTGTGCTCCTTCCTTTCGGCAATCCTCAACACAGACTAGCTAAATTCACAAATGACCTGGCTGCCAGGAGGTGCACCATGAAGTCACTACTCAAAAGGAACTGAGAAGAGTGGTCAGTTTTTGGAAGCTCAAATCTTGTTATGCTCTGGCTTGAATGGCTCAGCTGTTACTTTGATTATATATATATCATTTGCTAAGTTATCCCTACACTGGACAGATGGCCCCAAACATCAGACTTGTGTCACAACGCTCCCCCCTGACAGCTAATTACAACTTACCTTGTCTCCCAGTATCATTACGCTGTGTCTCTTCCCTCCCCAGCTCCACCAAGTCGGCTGACGTGGAGGGAAATGCACAGCGTAATAATATGGGACATAAGGGACAGTGTCCAATACATGATAGAGGGGGGAAACTTGACAAGGGAAGTCATTTTTATGGCAGTACCATTTTTAGAAACCTGGTTTTTAGACTGCTTTTGATTTCTTACTGCAGCGCCTAAATATACGGGCAACACAAACCTCTCATCATCCATTTCCAAACTCGATTCACTTTCTGACAGCTGTCTGCACAAGGCTTCTCTTCGCTCCATCTCTCTCTGTAATTTTCTTTGGAGCCTTAAGTTCTCTTCTCTCATGTGGCGTTCTTCCTCCAAATACTGTGCCATCTTCTCTGAATCTAAAGAATCAAAAATTTGATCAGCCTTTTTATTACTAAACTCACGTTTTGTTCTGGAGGCATAGCCAAATACAGGTAGATGTTTAGAGTTCAGATCTTGCCTTTGCCAAGTGATGAGAATGTGGATTGATTTGATCCAATCTGACCCCCATTTGACAAGTTCATACGTAGCAGAGATGCAGAGTTTATTGTAAAGGGAAAATGGAAGTTTTTGGTCTTTTTGGTCATGCAGGCTTATTTGCAACCATTAAATGATGGGTTAGGTCAATGATAGGAACCTGTGGCCCTCCAGATGTTATGGACTACAACTCCCACCATTGCTGACCACTGGCCATACTAGCTGGGTCTAATAGGAGCTGGAGTCCCACAACATCTGGAGGGCCACAGGCTTCCCATTCTGGGTTAAAATGGTAGTCTGAACTAGATCTGTTGCTCCATTTTCAAGCAGCAGTACAGAAAGACTCTCCACTTGGAAGAAGTGATGAAATTAGAACCAGGCATTCAGCCAGAAGCTTTAATTTTGGAGAGACTGCTGCCTGCTGGACAGCAGTGGTTTGCCATTACTACATTAATGAGAAGAACTGTTTGGATCGAGACATCATTTAAAATGTATTACCCTTTTAAAAGGATAATTTAAAACCTTGAAACCCTTTCACACTTACAGAAATCCCCAAGCGCACAAGGCATGATTTATCTATTTGCATTTGTTGACTCCCTCTCCCCTCCCCCTGGGATTTCACCCAAATTGTTTTCACACAAAGAGTAGATAGTTAGTAACTAACTAACTAGTTGATGGCTTGACCCCTCCTCCCTATACCAGAATTTTGGTTCGTTGCTAGTAATAGTGCCTAATATTTAAAATTATTAAATTATTAAAAAAGAACTAGCAAGATGTTGTGGTGTGTTACAGAGACATGAAAGGGGGAAATCATCATTATCCTCACCAGCATATAAACATCCCCCCAACCCTTAATTCTGGTTCACTGCTAACAATATTAGTGACGCTTCTGTGTCTTATGGGGAGGTAAGAGGGACCATCAGCATCCTGGATAGGCTGGCCTGTATCCAAAGTTGATTGTCCTCAAAGTATACTCACTGAAAGTGAGGGGGGGCTATTGGTTTTGTCTGTTTTTGTTCTTTTATGTATTTTGTATTCTCATTTTTTATTTTTTTCTGTTGTGAACCGCCTTGGGATGTTTGGATGAAGGGCGGTATACAAATTTAATAAATAATAAACTAATAATAACTGTGCAAAAGGTTAGCTTCAAATACACTGAATGGCCCAAGGCCCACCCAAGTTTCATGATGAAGCCTCTACTGTCCAGTACAATCCTAAGGGCATCTTTTATGGAAAGGCTGCGTATAAATGTTAAAAACCATGATGACTATGCCCCACTGGCTCTGTTTGACTGCATAAATGGCCCCCATTGCATATTACCACCATGATGCGGAAACAAGATCAGAAGACCTGTGCCACATTGAGAGGAGGTATGGGGCAACAATGTTGTGGGGAGGAACCCCAGAGAAAAGGCTCCTGAGCCAGAAAGGAAATGCAAGAAGGCATTCAAGTAGAATTAAAAGTCCCAGCTGAAATTTGATGACAGAGATAAGAAGAGCCCTATTGGTCAGGCCCATGACAGTTTGTTCTTATAAATCCATTTTATTAAGAATTTTCAACATATGATAAATAAAATCACTAGTCAAAATAACAACATAAAAAGAAAAATAAAGGAGGGAGAGGAAAGAGAAAAGGAAGAAGAGAAATAAAATAATATAATAAAGCACAAAATTGTGTATATATAGCGCTCCATGAGATCTTTAATTTTCAGTCCACATACAGAGAAGTGAATCCTCACAGCTCGCACCTGGGAGAGCTTCCCTCTTCCTCAGTTTCACACCTTGAGAAAAGCCACTTGAGGCCACTTGACGCCAAAGGCAGTTTGTTCTCATGGTGGCCCATCAACTGCCCACAAACAGGTCAAGGGTACAACAGAACTCTCTCCTAGGTCATTTGGACCATTCTGAAATTACAGCAGCTTCCAAAGACCTCCTGTACTTTTTGCAGCTCTTCTGTTAGTTAGGATCTTTTTATGATTGCTTTTGGTGGCACATGCATTGATAAATCAACCACATCCACGCACGCAGAGCTTCACTTGTTCATCAGGTCACTCAAGGACAAGAACGGAATGTTCAGAAGATGAAGAGCAAAACCAAGATCCACCCTCATGGCAATAAATCAGGCCAGCATTTGCACACAGCTATTACTCAGAGCCCTTGTTCCCACTTTTGAGCACAGTAAAGTAAAGGCAATGCATAGAAGAGACCGACAAGTACAGAGAGATTAATGTCATCTCCTTTAAGGGATGAAGAATATTAATTTTCTGAACTTGCATACAAGGTCTCAGTATGCAACATACTTTCTCCTCCAAATGGTAAGAATATATTATTCAAAACATTATTCCCCAGAAAGCAAAGCTGAAAAAAAATCCACTGCTATTCCAAAGTGCTTTATTAGATTTTAAATTAAAAATATGAGAGTAAGAATTAAAGGACAAAACAGGGGTATCACAGTCATCAAGATGACTACACAGGCATCCAAGAGCAGTGAGAACTGGCAACTGTTTGCACAGTTCTTCCCCGCTCCACCCAAAGGAAATAAGAACATTAAACTATTGTTCATATTAAATCTGAGATAAGGTCCTGGGCAGATTTTAGCCTCCGCCCCAATCCCATCTCTAAACACAATAAAACTGATATAAGCCTTCATTCTTGCACACTTAGTCTCTGTTCCCCTCACAAAATGCAGATGAGAAACCAAATTTGGGAGTAATAATAATAAAAACATTCTTCTGAGTATTAGATTCAGTGGGCAATATCCAACAAAGTCATACTTAGAGTTTATACTTTAACTCCACTGATTTCAGTAGGTCTATTCCAACTATGACCAACAATGGATATCGCCCTTAAAAAAACAACCCCAAACCCATAGACACACACAGTTAAATCTCACTTTAAAAAACAGCTATTTGTTTAAATTCAGATATCGCAAGGATGAGGCCAATACAAAATAAAATTCAAGGCTCTGTCAAAAGCAATCAACTGCCTGTTGTTCTGGGGGGTGGGAATAGCAATTCTACACAATAGGTCACTTATTTATTGTTATTTATGGACTATTAGTCACCATGTGTGCACATGAAATGCACAAGACAGTGTTTCTCCATAAGATGTCCACACTTGTTCCTTGAAGGCTATGATGATGTAGCGCAAAAGGTATGTGGGCTGCATGACCAGAGATCTTAGATTACGCTCCCAGGCAGTTGCAGGACCCAAGGATGGCCCAAACAGCTTGCTGGCTGAAGGACAAAACTGGGCACACCCCATTCCACCTAATGACTCTGAACAGACTGGCAGCTGAAATTGTTTTAACTTTTTACACATGGAAATGTTTTTGTTTGTACAGTATATATAAAATAGTTTTAAACTGTTTCTATTATTCCTCCCCCACCTTTTCATTATGAAACCCCTTTGAGCTATTTGATGGGAAGTGATTAATAAATGAAATCAAATAAATAAGAGGAAGCTGCTTTCTACCCCTCCCCCCAGCACTGAGGGTGCCTCACCCTGCAAAATGGTAGGGCCGATTCTGGAAGAACCTAAGGGTGGTGTTCAACTAAAGTGCTTCTGCCAGCACAAGAATTTCTGCTTGAACAATGGAATTTCTCCTTGTCACCAGAGGGTTGGGGAACCCCCAGAACAGATTTAGGGTGCAAATGGGGTGTATATTTCACTGGATACTGTCCAATATGTTTTCACTATAGCATAACAATCAAACTAGCGGTCTACTGTATATTTACTGAAGGCAAAGTAAAGCAGTATGATTGCATTTTAGCAAAGATATTCAAATGTATAAGATCACATGTAACTTTGTAACAAAATTGTTTCAGTTCTGCCCAAAGGATCTGTCCAACTAAAATTTGTTCAGCTACCCAAGTGGAACAAAAGGAAATGGTTTGGCATACTACAAACGAATTACTGTATTTTTGACTTGGTCCTTGAGTTATTAATTTCAACTTGAAAAGGAGACAGTTCATGAAAAGCACACCTCAGCATTATGAGTAAGACCACACAGCCAAGGCAAACAGGACTTACGCTGTAACTGTGCAGCTCTGAGTTGTTTCTTTAACCTCTCTACTTCATTCTTTAGAAACCTGATATGCCGCATCATATTCTCTGGAGAGTCTATCTCCATTGATATGTCCCTTGGAGATGGAGGAGCAGAAACAGGCTGGTCTAATTTCTCCTGCAGAATTCTGAAATCAAGATAAATGAGATTTTATCTTCTGACATCAAACATGCCAACTGGTACATTCTGCTTCAATTCTTTGTAATATTACACCAACAGATAAACAGCAAGGTGGTTTGAAATTATCAGCATTCTTTCTGGTAAACTCATTTCCTGGAAAATTAACATGGTGTGTTGTTCACTGCATGGGCCACCGTGAACCATTCAGCTTCAACCAGGGATCATGGGAGTTGTCTAAAGCATTGAGGGAATGGGGAATTAATGACAAACCATGGTTTGCCAGCCCATACTTTTACCTAATGTGGAGTCTTTGCTTTGCCAATTCAACAAACTGCAAATACAGTATTAACACTTCCTTACAGAAATGTAAGGAAACGAGCCATCACATTTTAGTTTTCTTCCATTAACAGACAATAGAGAATGCCACAGACAAATTCTACAGAATCTCTAATAGGTTTAAAGATTTCAGTATAGGTTACTTTTAACAATGGTTTAAAAACCTGACTGAACTTTTATTCCCCTCTTTCTGGCTCTGTGCAAAAAGTAAAAATACTACTCAGCATTGATCCTATAAATGCAACAAAGCTGGTGGGAGAAGAGTGAAGTTTTAATGATATATTTAAGATGTCAGGGTCCACATCGCTGCTACAACTGATGTAGTAGTCATCACTACCAATTTTTTTTCTAGTGTTTCAGAATGTTCAAGGTGCTTCTGATACTTAATCTAATTATTGTTATCACCATCATATTGCAGAATGGAGGTCTGTAGCTGAAAGACAAGGACGGCAAATGCCCAAGGCCACCTAGTTAGTACACGGCAGACACTAAATCTGAATAACGTATTTCCTGATACATGATGGATGGTAAATATATTGCAATTACCAGCCATACCTTCAGTCTTGTAGTCAATACTTGCTGAGGTGGTATCTTATGCCAAGTTATAAGCTTTGTTTTATTTATTTTATTTTTAAAAAACGCTTTCATACCTGATCAGAAATCTGTGGTAGGATTTAGGGGATTAGTTGAATTTTCCCCAATACATGTGACGGTAATTCAAATAATCAGATTACAACATGGCTAGATGAATACTTTATTTAAGTTACCACTTTGAAAACTATTGTTTTCATTCACCTAGTGTCTTCACGCGCTCTTAATGGACAAGTCAACATTAATGTATTCAAAATGTTGTTTTAAAGTCCCTTTTACATATCACTCATATAAAAAGGAATTTCTTGCTCATTTTGTATTTTAAGAAAAAATCCATCCAATAAATCAGATGGCCACAATTTGACTACACAGCTAGCACTGAGAACTCCATGCTTAAAAAACAACAACATTTGAAGCAAACTGGAGCAAAAGAACACATGACATGCTACATCACATAGCCAAGCCATAAAAAAGCATTTTCAGCCCAATGTGATCTGAAAGATCAAATAAACTGTCACAAGGCCAAGAGAGATCACACTCTAACCTCTTCATTAACTAGATTAACAACAGCACCATCACAAATATTCATCGCCTCAAAGACTTGACTAGTTCTGTGAAATCTACCAAATGCTGTAAAATGTCAGTTCCTATGAAGATCCAGACTAGTCAGGATTGTTACATGAATATTAATGTTTTTGTTTTCAAGTGAGTTTCGTAACATTAAGCCGAAGCTCGTCACAGGACACAGAGGATGACTACCGGTGAATAAGCACCAACAAGCATCCCGCTCTGCTCCTTACTGCATGACTCAGCAACCTTCTCTATAGTCCTTCTCAAGCATTTGCCTGAACATGTGAACATTAAAAGTTTGTTGAGGGGCAGACTGCGCAAGCAAGCCTCACTCCCAAGGTCCGCAAGTATGGGGGCTGCAGAGGCTTCAAAGAGCACTTAGTTCAAACACACTTAGCGCTAAGGGCAGAGAGGAGGCCAGACATCATTGGGAGCAGGCTTGTGTGCATAGTTCTACCCCTTACGTAATTTTAATCTTCAATAAAACACTATTTGCATCAATGCATGCAAAAAATGTAGCTTTCCTATTTTAATTACTATATTGCTACTTAAATAGCTTTCTTTTCTCTAAAAGGTATTGTGAGATATTCAAGTTTTATCACACAATTGGGGGAGGGGGAAGCTGCAGAAAGAAAGCCATGACAGACCGTTTTTCTGCCTCAAGTTTATCCATTCTCTTCCAGAGACGATTCACTAGTGCTTCTTGTTCTTGTTCTAGGGTGTTTTCAAGATCTATCTTCTCACGTCTTAGCTAGGAAAAAGAAATTGTGGATAAAAAGAGAGAGCTTGAAACTGCTGTTTCAGATGAGCAATTCACTGCAGAAGCATAATGGGGGGGGGGGATAATTTCAATCATCAACGACTAAATAATTGTAATCAAAGTAATGGATGATAAAGAAAACATATTTAGATGGCCTTTACTTACCCTTGTCATAAACCACGTCTATTAAAAAATAATAACCTACCCACCTTAAAAAGGAAGCAGTCCTACACGATAGAAGAGTAACAGCCTAAATGTGAATGTAATTCCATTAAAACTACCATCTGAATGATTTTGTATTCTGATTCCCTAATGATTAACTGCTCTGGTACCATTCACTGCAGAAAATGAAATTACAGAAATCTGAGGAAGAATATTCCATCATAAAATAGCATCATTTCCAAGGAGCATTCTTGGTGGGAAAAGCGTGTCGCCATTGACCATGATGTACCTTTGTTCCCAGTGGTCAGTCTGTCACAAATTTCAAAGGGATTCTACAGGGCTGCTGAGGGCAGCAAGCTGCCATCTGAAGTGGTGACAAAGCTTTTCCTTTATGTTAAAAAATAGGAAAAAGCAGCCCCATGTCTCCACAACTTTAAAAGTAAGCCCACAACATCTGATTTCACCCACCCTTGAAAGCCGCAAACACTCTCCCCTCCCTTTGCAAGGCTGAATGGTCCCATACAAACTGAGAGATATAGTCCATTGGGCTTGAGACTATAATGCCAAATACTTACTGAATCTTACTCCTAAAATGAAACAAAAACAAATAGTAGTCTTGCTCTATTTTATCTATTTCATTTAGATTCCATCAAGGCTTTGTACACTGGGATCCCAGGAAATCCCCATTCAACTAACCAGATCTAGACAGGCTTAGTTTTAGCAAGGTTGCTGTATCCCAGTAGTATTCAATGTTTTCAGATCGAGGACCTACATGTAACCCAAATTTGAACTTGGGGACAATTTCTTAATTTTTTACCATATATAGTATGGTGATCCATCATAGATCAAGCCAGTAGTGCGTTCCAACACACCAGTTGAAGACCAATGCTGTATCACATGACTTCCAATCACATCATGGGACTGTAGCTTTCACAAATTACTGGCATTTTTTAAAAAACATATATGGAAACTTGTATCTCAGCTACACTGAATGTTCATGATAGAACCAGAACATAAACCAGCTCCATATTTTTACTACCAAGCACAAATCTTCCTCTAGTGTGAAAAGAATTTACTCCAAAGCCCACTAGCTCAACAGCCTCTTGAATATCACTGGCAGGTAGGGCTCAAACCTCTGCTAGATGTTACGAGCGTTGCCAGACACCTCAAATAAGAACCAGTTTTTCACTCAAAGTGACTGCTGAAAAGCCTGCATCTGCTTGTCAAGTAGATGTCTAAAGATTTGCAACTGTGCTGAGGGAAACAAAAACGTGGTCGTGAAACTGATGGCACACAGATGGAGGGAAGGAAGGGACTGTAGTGATTGCCAGTGAACTATGAAGACGCATCAAGGAAGACCCTTCTTTTCTGCAACAGTATATAGGTGCTCCCAGCTCTCCTTGCCAGGTGATTCCTGGGAAAAGGAAACACCCCAAAAGCAGGGTGCTTCAGCTTCTTGGGTCACAGTGCTGCCAAGGTGCAGATGCTGGGTCAACCTCTGACCCCTTCCTGCTCCATCCACACTAACAGCAGAAACCTTGGCTGGACACTTGCATGTGGGGATGGATCAGTATTGGTATCATGACAAGTGGTGTTCACCTTTCCCCCCTACACTGTGATCTACATAATCTACAACTGGGCAGGCGGTACGGAGACTGCAGCAGTCCTCTTCCATAATTCTGATCCAGACAGCCCTTCACAACTACACTTTTGGAAGCCGCAAGTGCAAGCTACGTGCTTTAATGAATTGCACAGCTTGGTTTAGAAGCTGGGGGAACTAAGGTTGCGGGCTTGGAGAAGGACCACAGGTTATTGTCCACAGAGAGGAGCTATTTTAGATACCTGGCTCGAGTTCTGCACATCCATTGGGCATATCACGCACACTGATTGCTCTACAGCCAGGCTGAATGGTAGGAATGTAAATGCATAGCACACATTGTTCCCTTGTGCTACTGCAAAGGGATGCAGATTCCATTAGGGAGCATGCCACAGAACACTCTTATAAAGCCTTTGGATTAATCCCAGAAATTAAATGGCAATGTTAAAACCTGCAGTATGTGTCTAATAGGCTTAATCAATTTTTTCCACATCTAAAGACAAATACTAACATACCTGACATTTGTTCAACTATGGCTGTCAGCGTTATAAATCTGTAGAGAATATTTTTGGAATGATCATGGTTCTCACTTCTATCAAAGGTTTCTATTTCCATGCCTGCTAATCCGGTTGTTGTTCATTTCCTACACCACAGGGGACCAGTCAAACTGCAGCAGCAGACTAGTCAATAAAAACAAAATATACCTGCATACTCCCTTTGTGCACAGAATTGCTACTTCAGCATGCCATGCTGGAAAAAATGGGAAGGCAATGCATTTACAATTTCCACATAAGCAGCTTGTGTGTTGCTGTTTTCTAGATCAATGGAAGCTGTTCAGCACCTCAAAGTTATTTGAAGATGAACTTACAGAGTGTGGAACTGCAAGTCACATGATGTTCACTTTCACTGAATCCGACTTGTTGCATATGAACCAGAGATTGTGGTTTATAACTCTTGACAAATCCACTTCCTAACCTCTGGTTTGAATTTGCTTTGCTTTGAAACAAAACAAAAGTTGTTATAAGTCACGGTCTCTGGTTCTTGTGCAACAGTAAGTCAGGATTCTGTGAAAGTGAGAGTAAAGAATGTCACAGTCCTCCTCTTAAGTCAGCATGGGAAGAGGAGATGAAAGGGAGTGAAGTGAATGAGTCTGAGTTGTGTGGGGGGTTTGTTCCAGCTCTTGCATATAAGGATAACCATGGTTTAGCACTGCATGCTAACTGGGCCAATATGTATCATTTACCAGGAATCATTCTAGAATGTGAACCATTGGAACAAACCTCTCTTTGTTACAACTCCCAGCTACTAAAGTTCACATAAAATTAGTTCTCAGTGGAGAGTTGCTTTTGGTTTAAAAACAGAACACAACCTAAAACAAGTCAGCAAAAAATATGCTAAATGCACCACACACAGTGACCTTACTTTAAGGTTAAATGACAGAACCATTTTAAATTTAAAACAGAATGTGGTTGTCATCACATAAACAAGTTTTAGACTCTCGGTATGATTTCTTATACAGAGGTCTGTGTGTATTGCTATTATTCTACAGAAATCCTTTGCAATAGTGTTTGTTTTTGCTACATTTTAACCTGTTTTTTGGGTGAAATGGATACAAACTGGCTTACAACGCAAACAAACAACCACACACTTGTGTTAACGTCTCCTTCCCAATTTAAATTGCAATTAAAATAAGGGAAAAAAACACAAAGACCATCACACATGACCAACTCCAGTAACACTATATCTGTAATGGATATTGAAGACAATAAAAGGCAGGGTAGACAGGAAGATCTTAACTCATCCTAAAAACCTGCAGTAAACCAGCAAATCATTGGAAGATAAACAATTGCACTTGAATTAGGCAACAACTGCCACCTAGAGGCCATTTCTTTTACTTCTATTAACCTTGATGCAATAAGATGTATGAGAGATTCTTCTTATTGTCCCTGTTTATTACTATTTGATGGGACGCAACACAAAAGTATTTAATGCCCAACATTTTTACCAGAGCTCAGTCAGCCTCAAAGAATTCACTGGCACAAGTGCAATACAATATGGGTAGGGTTGCTATATTTCAAAAAGTAAAATTCCTGACACCCACAAAGTTACTGAGCTTTTTGGGGGAACAAACCCATATTGTTGAGCTCCTCCCAAAATAGTGATTTTAAGCTTTTGGAGCTGTTTCTGCTGCTTTTTCCATCATGTTGCCATACATCTGGGTTTTCTCTGACATTTTGCTGATTCGACACCCCCCCCGACGTCGTTTTTACACCCGAAAACCAGGACATCTCAGGAAATTTCCTGACATATGACAAACCTAAATATAGGTAATATAGCGTTTACCTGCTCCAGAGTTAGCTGCTTTGAAATGGTATCATTTTCCAGTTTTTTAATTTTCTTCATCAATTTGTTCACTTGGAATTCCTGTTCCTGTTCTAAATGCTGCTCGAGTTCAGCCTTTTCATGCTGTAGCTGTGATTGGAAGAGATATTGAAACCCAAGACATAAGCATTTGAAGAGCTACAAAGCACTTATGAGCATCATTTAATTTATACGGCTTAAAAACAAGAAGACTCTGAAATTCAATAAGAGACTGTTCCTAAAATGTGAAACATTAAGGATCTGTAAATTATGGTTAAGAAATAAAAGCAAATAACATTGCATTGCATTTTGAAAGGATAGCTTCATCATTGTAATTAATAGGAAATTTCTGTTGGGGCTCCTAAGAATTGGGGTAAGTGACAAGGCACTAAATATAGCAATGTATTTGTTGAAGGGATAGCATAATGTTAGGAAAGCAACAACTAAAACTGGTGTGCGACAGGAGGAAGGCAAGGGTAATGGAAGTGCGCTCAGCACCAGAATCTATTCCCCAGCACTCAATAGTTTATGAAGCCTCAAATGATCAGCTGAACTGGAACAGCTTCTACATAATGTTAAGGACACAAAAGAGCTAGTTAACTTTTTGCAGTCTGGGAAGAATGGAACAGACTTCAGCTCTCTTGTAACCCAACGACTTTTAAGAGCACAGAGAAACACCTAACCAATCCACTCTGACCCAGTGAATACCTAACCAAACAGGCAGGGGTCTATTAAAGTTTTGCTCTACATCATCAGTCTCTCTCTAAAAGCTTTGCTTCTGACAAGTACAGTCTATTCCAAGATGTCTGCTAATAGGGTATTTCCCCCTCACTGTGCTTCTGTAGCGCATTATCTATGGAACCAATTACTGTGCTACATAAACCTAATTGAACAAAGTGCCTTTACACGGCCAATAAATAAGTACACAGTATTACTAAAAGCAACATCCAGGCATTTTACAGCCCAGGCTAGCATAGTGTGTCATGACATGCTACTGTAAAAAATATGTTCTCACTGGAGGTGGGTCTAAGTAAATGTTCCTCTTGCATGTGAAAGCATACTTTACTTTTAAATTAAGCTGTCAGGTTTGAAGAGTATTTAAAATCAATACCTTCCTACACTAAAACTGAAAAGCTGATACATCAGTGTGTTTCTTACAACAAAGCAAATCATGCTGATGTGGGGAATTCTTGCCAAGCTGCTAACAGGAGATCTATAGCTCTCACACTGGCTGTTAGCTTTTGTATTTACAGTGTGCTGAAAAAATCCTTCTGGAAGCTTTTTCCAGATGCCTCTTTGAATACACAAGTCTAAGTCCCTACACAGTGAAAGGCAAAAGTTTAACAATGCATGTGTGCAGGCGTTATGAGATAGCTGCTTTGTTAACTGTTTTTGCAATGGAATGATGTACCGTGGTACCTCGGGTTACATACGCTTCAGGTTACAGACTCCGCTAACCCAGAAATAGTGCTTCAGGTTAAGAACTTTGCTTCAGGATGAGAACAGAAATCGTGCTCCGGCGGCGCGGCAGCAGCAGGCGGCCCCATTAGCTAAAGTGGTGCTTCAGGTTAAGAACAGTTTCAGGTTAAGTACAGACCTCCGGAACGAATTAAGTACTTAACCCGAGGTACCACTGTAGTAGCAATCAGGGACATTGGAAATCTGCTTGAGTGATCATGCCATGAAGAGTAGGACACAAAGAGACCACCACCTTGAGAAAGATTTCAAAAATCTTCTGAGATGCTGTAAATTAAGCAAGTTAATGTGAAAACGGCACAATTTGCAGCACTTCAAAATGAGGGTTCTGTGTTTACAGGTTCAGGAATCCTGTAGCTTAGAATTCCAGAATTCCTCACAGCAATTTTCATAGTGGCAAAAGGGAGGAGGCTATCGGTCTCATGTCCCCAGGCAACTGATTTGCCATCTTGAGAACAAAATGCTTTGGGGCTGTTCTTATGCCTGGGAGGAAAGGAGTTTAATCTTTAATGCTTTAAAGCAAAAACACCGAAGGAAATGGTACAAGAACACAACGTTCAGAACATGCAACATCCCTAGCTCACATGTATTCTCTTTCATGATAGAGTCAAAGATGGAACATGTGGGTCAGTTCAGATATAACAATTCCAGCTTAAACCATGGTTGATTTAGCTGAGAACAAGATTGTGCCCACGTGTTCATTTCATCTTTGCCGTCACATGCTGGCTTTAGAGACTGGTTTATGGTGATTTTAAGCCAGGGCTGGAGAACTTCAGGCTTGTGGGGTTGGTGTATGTGGTTTTTGTGCCTCTATGTAGTCCTTGTCACCCCCTAAGCCATGTCCCTACCCAGGCCATATCCCTCACTGACCCTATTATTCCATACCCTCCTCAAGTTCCAAACTTAAGTTGCTATCCTATGCACATTTATTCTCTAGTAAGCACTACTGAACTTGGTGAGACTTACTTCTGGCTAAACATGCACAACTAAGCTCATTTATTAGTTTATAGCCCAATCCCATGCTTACTTACCTAAGAGGTCTTTCTCAGTTACATATCATTTCCCATTTAAAGATTTCAAACGACAGTACTGGGTTTTAAAGATTTCAAACTACAGTACTGGGTTTTAAAGATTTCAAACTACAGGGTTTTATTCAATGTCCTCCATTTCCATCTTTACAAGGATTTCTCCTTGTGCAATGGAACAGTCTGCACCTTTCTCCCCCCACATGCCCCCTAAATATGTTCTGGATGTTCCTTCAACTCTCAGGAGCAGATCTGGCGATGGTTCAGGACATACACAGAGGGAGGGGGAGATGTCCTGTTGTGCCAATGTCAGTCTTGCACAAGTGCAATTATTTAGTTGAATACCACCCACAATTTCTGAAGCTATGACTTTCGTAATAGTGCCTCAGCTGAATCATCTGGTGGGTTTTTTGGGTCTGAAAAGTTAGGCTGAAACATTACATACCTGCATCAGCTTCCTTGAAAGCTCATTAGTGAGAAATTCTTCCTCTTTTTCATAGTTCACTGCAAGTGTCTCCTTCTCCTTCTGCAAAGCTTGAATCTTCTTAAACAGAGTATTACTGATAAATTCCTCTTCTTGCTCTGCCCTTGCTTGCTGTAAGAGAAACATGTCTGCTGTTTTTAAAAAATAAAAATAAAACCAGAAACCACAAGATGAAATGATCCAGGCACCAGCAATGAACTGGATTGTACCCTAAATGTTTCTCTGCTCAGTCCTTCCTTTTGCCACTTAGCCTAGAAAGGCACTGGCACCAAGAGAAAAATGCAGTTGCTCTGCCCCCACTTTCATCAGATTCAAAGAGATGCGAAACAGCAGCGCTACCCATAAAACCCACATTACCCAAGTGCTTATCCAGAGAGCCACAGAACAGCAAGAAGTAATGCACACATTGCTGCACCAATGGACAAACAGTGCCTAGCTCTGTGTGGACTGATGGTGATTGGGCTATATAAACTAACCCAAGCGAGTTATGCGTACATTTAATAGATTCCTGGGTGTGGTCAGCTTTGTTTGTTTTCTTAAGTTCCCAAATAGACAGTGGGCTTTCCTATAAAAAGCAAAGCAGATCTGTACGCACAAGTTTTAGCCAATGCTGTGCAATGACCAAACCAGAGTGCGAATATTTTTAGCCATCACAAAATGCAAGCCCTTAGGAGACTAAAGGTGATTTTAATAGACAATAAAGCCATGTATATAAAAGGACTGGGGGATGTGATGAAGTGACAGTGGGTTTCTTGACTACTTGAGGAGTCAGAGATCCTTCATCACCTTTATACAGGACACACACCACACACAATACAGGTGCCAAGATTTTAAAACATCAATTCTTTGGTCCACATTTATCAGCAGCTGGCTCAAAAAAAGCAAGGAGAAACAACAAGTGAAACATATTAATAGGAATACCTGTTTTCTATGTATAGTCAACTTCTACAGTACATAATGAAATTTCAGAAATTACATTAGAAATAAAGGCCCCAGTGTGCATGTTTTAAACACAATTGCAAATTTTCACAGCCCGAAGCAGTAACACTTGCATTAGGATTCAAAGAGCTCAGAAAGAGCAAGGGGAAGGTTTGCTTTGTGTTTACAGAACTGGATTGGGCCTCTAGAGACTTCAGCTTTCATTTGTGCTTCCAGTCTACTGCAGGATTTATGTGTGCTCTTGGGGAAGATTCACCATCTGATTCATACCGGTTCCCTATCTGAGAAACTGACACAACACTGCACAAAGGTATCTGGAGAGAGAAAAAATACTGAAGTTCAAAATGTAATGTGAATGCTACTGCAAATAAGACAAGACAAAAACCTTTAGTAATCCAGTAGAACACCTAAACACTTGGTCTCACTTAGCAATACTTAACAGTTATCACACATTTTCTCAGAGCAGGAAATTCAACAAAAGATATATAAAAAGAAACAGGGCAATTAGTAATTCGCTATTCAACAACAGCAGCAAGCACAAGAGTGGGGCGACACTGGGGTTGTTGCAAAATGTGCAGCGACCCCAGGCCAGCAAAAAGACGAAGTATAAGATTATGGCTGCAATTCTATGCACATTCATCTAACAGAGATGGGCTTATTTACAAGTATAATTGGATAGGACTGTGCCACCAATCTACATGTGTTCACAGCCCCCATGGTTTATTGATATTCTAGCAAAATATTTTGAATCATTTCTATTTATGATTCTACTTGCACTTTGACGTCCTTTCGAACTGCTAGGTTGGCAGGAGCTGGGACCGAGCAACGGGAGCTCACCCTGTCGCGGGGATTCAAACGGCCAACCTTCTGATTGGCAAGCCCTAGGCTCAGTGGTTTAGACCACAGCGCCACCCGCGCCCCTCTCCAACACCGACAGTAGTGAACAGAAAAGTGAGTTCTATTTTTAGAGGGTAGGAGAAATGAAATAAAAATCCATTAGGTGACTGGCTAGTTGTGAAATCCAAGCTTAGCTTCTCTTTCTTTCACAACAAGTAAATTTCTCATTTTCTAAAAACATTTAAATTGGCAAACAGAGGAAAGCAAAACCTTGAATTCAAGTTTCTGAGGTTGAATATCACTGCAAATGAGAACAAGTAACTACAGCTTTTTCCTGTCACATTAGAATAACATTATTTTTCCAAACCTCCCCCCTGCAAATTGTGAAGGTGGTGGTGGGGAACATTTCTGCTTTACACTGCAGAAAGAAAAAATCCTTGCCTAAAAATATAGAAGTAGCATTTTTTGTTTTGTTTTCAAGGCTATTTGACATTGCTAAGATATGTACTAAACAAATGAAGGACAGTGAGTCACCATTCTCCAACACATAAACAGAATTTCGAGCTTGAGATATCTCTTTATTATAATAAATCAAAAGGAGGCATGGACACTGGTGACCTAATGGCGCCTACATATGTTCTAAACACGTGATGTAAAAGCCAGATAAGTTTTATAATAAAATAATAATAAGGTGGCATTGGCTGCTTATATGTCGTGCTTTTTGAAAACCAAAAAGATTGTGATTTTTAAATGGATAGTGTAATTTGTGAGTTTGGACTCATCATGCCAAAAATCGGGTGAAGTCACGTCAAAGCAATGTTTTGTTCTCTCATCTTGATTCAAAGTGGTGCTTAGTGCCCAAATGGCAGATAAGACCCCCATCTTTACTTCAGGAAATTTTGTGCCAAGTTTGGCAACAGTATCTCACAAGAGGCAGCTGAACCTAGCCCAGAAAATGGGAACAGCCATGCCAAAGTGTGGTTGCAGACTCACATAATGATTCAAAATGCTGCCCGGCATCCAAATGGCAACAAAGACCACTGCCCGCACCTTGGGAACTATTCTACTAAGTCTGACAATGATATCTCAAGAGATAGTCAAACCTATAGAGGACAGATGGACAGACAAACCACTTTCCAAAATACACAGCAGATAGAAGCTCAACAACCCATGAGGGTGTGAACATCCCAAAAGACATTATCTTCCTAGTAGACCTAGGACTATAGTCAATCAAACCACAGACTGAGTCTAGATAGCTTGCTAGGGATGTCAAGAAAGGCAGGCTCGGAAGTGGTAGGGCTCACCACAGATGACACCAAGAGGCAGATGCCATCATTGTGGTTGACACAACTGCATGAAATAACAGCAATTATATGCTTCATGTAACCATTTTGTGGGCACTACCCATGTGGTGGTGAGTGTGCATTGGCTGCTCAGTCAAGGCTTATGAGATCCATTGTTGTTGCCACTGGTAATTCACAACCCATGATTACTTGTGCAACTGTTATCATTATGTTAATGGAACAATCTGTTTCTTATGCTTAAAAACTGTAGCCAGTAGTCAGGGATGATTGGAATTATGGTCCAATAAAATGTGAATGCCCCAGGTTAGCCACTTTGCCTTACAGCATTCAACATATAAACTGAACTTATTACTTTTACACCCTTACCCACATGGTTATGGACAGGCACCCATTCATGGATATTTTGCTATTGATCTAGACACCATCCTCCCAACTCATGTTTTTCTCCCTTGCTGGCTTTTGTTATTTTGTAAAAAACAAATTTTTAAAAACCTAATAAAATATATTAATAAAAAACGTCTCTACCTACAGTTTCATACAAACTTCAATTGGACTGGTTTACTGAACCGCCAAACATAATTTGCAATGCTACTTGGCCTGAGGCAGTAGAAAGGCAATGAAGCTTTGCCTGCCACTGGCGCCATGTTGCTATTTTTTTTTTAATAAAAAAAGAGAAGACTTGTTTACTGACACATTTGACACATTACCATTTCGAGATGAAAATGATAAAATGTTTTCGGATATCAGTTCTCTCCCAATCTCAATATGCAAAATGGGAACCACTGAGGAGACAAAAGCAGAAAATGCCCTCCAAATCCACATTTATTGTACCATGCAAGATACAGCTAAAAAAGGATTTAAAACAAAATCAAATAATCACCCATATCATAGAAATTATTTTATAGAGACTATAAAACTAGCTTTTCAACTGGCTCTTTTTGGAGGGGGTGTTAAGATTTCAGCTGCAGATGTATGTAGGTTTACAATATTTTAATCTTGTTTCAAATCACACCTCAGGCTTTGGAATAGAGCAATTTTTAAAATCCCAATTAATGCCACACACAAATCTATCAGACTCTTCTTCATCTTCATTCGACATTGTATGCCTCCAAGAGACCTGGTCCCAACAAAGTATTGTTCTCCCAAATTATTGCTCCTTTAGCTCCTGTGCTCGTAAACTAACCAACAGGGGTCGCCCCCAAGTTGGCCTCGCCTGTCTTATTTCAACCAGCTTACCCTCACTATTTGCGAGGAAATTAAATCTTCCCCTTACTTTCTCACCATAAAGATTCATCTCCCAAAGACCAAAAGCCCATGGTTGATAACTACAGTATATCTGCCCCCAGCAATTAATGATTTCGACCGCAATGAAAGGTGGTCTGAACTTTCGTCTTGGCTCCATGATCTCCAAACAACTAACCCAGGACCCCTCAAATCCTCTTAGGCGACTTTAATGCAAGAATAGGTCCCAACGACGATGATATAATATCTCCCGCAGTACTCCTGGACAATCCCCTGCAGCCCCCCTGGGGAAACAGATGCTCTCTTGATCCTATAACAAATGCGTCGGGAGGCTGATGGCCCAACTGGCCATGGAAAACGATCTCTGCATCGCAAATGGTAACATTACTCCCTTGTCCTCGCAGCAATTAACGTGCATCACTTCCCGGGGAACCAGTGTTGTCGACTACATTTTATTGACGCCGGAGCTATTCTCAATTTCTACAAAAATGGAAGTGGCTGAATATTTTGGTGGTGACCACCTTCCATTGACTCTAATGTTAAACCTAATAGAGCCACTCCCAGTCTCCTCAAACTATAGAACCATGGTACAAAGCCACCCTGTATACAAAACAAAGAAATGGACAAGCCTCAGCTCCTCTCTTGCCCTGGACATACAAAAATCATTTGATATGTCTGCAGTTCCCTCTGATCCAATCCTGCCCGCTGACCAATACCGGAAATTACTTGATGCTTTCTCAACAACTTACATAACCACCACCTCGCCTACTTACCAACGCCTCTTCTCTGAATCGCCCTGGTTTGACAAGGAATGTAAAGCCCTAAGAAGGCGAATTAGGAAAATGGTCAGAATCATCAAATCTTCCAACGACCCCCAAACCCGTGCAAAGCTCATAGATATTAAAAGGACATATAGAAACATGATTCATTGCAAGAAACAGCAGTACATCTTTGAGGCTTGGTCCACTCTTCGTTCGGCTGTAGAGAGGCATGACTCCCGCTCCTTCTGGCGCCTAGTTAGACCTTCGGCACCATTCAATCCAGCTACCCAGATTTCCGCGGATGAATGGATTGCTTATTATTCAACTAGTTTCGCTTCTCCAAACCATCTTACAGATCTCCTTCAATCCCCATTGGACCTCAGTTCCTGCTCTCTTAGTCCCACTTCTTCAATAAACTTTACTTCAACTCGCATTTTCAACATCATAATGTCAATGCAAAGGAATAAGGCCCCTGGCCCAGACATGGTCCCGTTGGACCTTTTCCTGACTGATCCTCTTTGGTGGAGCGAACACCTGACTCCTGTATTCACCGCTATCTCCTCCGCCCTAGACATCCCCGACTCCTGGAGAGAAGCTATAATAGTTCCGATCTTCAAAGGCGGCCAGCCAAACATCCCTAGGAACTATCGCCCCATCAGCTTATTATCCATCCCGGGAAAATATTTGCCGCTGTTTTACTGGAGGAACTTCTCTCATGGGTCCAGGAGAGGAACATTCTACCGCTAGAACAGATTGGTTTCCGAAAGTCAGCGTCAACCATGGACCATTGTCTAACTCTCTTTCACCTTGCCAGTAAATACACTGCTCCAAGGCAAGGCCACCTATTTGCCGCTTTCATGGACCTGGAGGCCGCCTTTGATTCCATTCCTAGGCAGAGATTATGGTCCAAACTTGCCCATCTGGGAATTGATCCGCACCTTCTCTCCCTAATTATCTCCCTTTATTCAAACACCACAGCTCGCGTCCGAACTAGTCCAAACGGCTCCCCACTACTCCATTTCCAACGGCCAAGGGCGTCCGACAAGGTTGCCTCTTGGCCCCTTTACTGTTTAATCTCTATCTTCATGATGCAATTTCCACTTTGAAGCTAGCATCTAAGTATCCTCCTCACTTAGCAGGCCACCCCGTTGCTTCCCTTTTCTATGCTGATGATGCCGTCATCTTATCCAGAACAGCTGCGGATCTAGCAAATGCAGTTAATGCATTTATCGCCTATTGTAAGGCGGAAGCTCTTAATATTAATTATAAAAATCGAAAGTCCTCCACTTCACTCGCTCCCGCAAACTCAAGTTGGAGCCGCTTAAGATCACAGGTGGCTACTTAGAAAAGGTAAAAGCCTTTAAATATTTAGGATTAATATTCACCTATAATCTCTCCTGGACCACCCATCTACAATCTGCCTTTCTCGCTGCAACCACGACCTCTAACGCCATTGTCCGATTTTACCACCAGAAGGGCGGCAAACACCTTCCAGCAGCAATTCAAATATTTAATGCCAAAGTCGTCCCTAAATTATTATATGGATGTGAAGTATGGACTACAGCAATATCAGGTAACCTGGATCGTCCACTTCATATGTTTCTGAGATCTCTTTCCGGCGTCCCGAGATGTGTCTCAGGTGCAGCCCTACGACTCGAGTTCGCCCAGCCTTCAATTGCTAGACGAGCATGGAGCCGAGCCATTTCCTACACCCTCCACCTATTAGCATCGGATGCTCGAATTAGAGGTGGCTTTTCCAATCTGATCCTAAGAGATATTCATAATTCCCCTTGGAAAACTACAATTAACCTCAAATTCCGCTCTCTTCTCAATTTGAATTGTAAAACTGTTCTTAACTTAGAGTGTATCAGCCCGGTGGCCCTACCCCTAATTAAAAAGAAACTACAGCAACTTGACTTCTCCAACACAGCTTCTTGTGCAAGAGGACCGTGTTCAGGCCTAGCCCTAGCTATTCCACCCCTGAAGGGATCCTCTATACTGCTTCACAATTTCTTCGGAGACTAAGCGAAGGGCTTTTACCTGTGCCCGTCTCAACTGTTTTCCTACAGCAGTTCTGTCGGGTCGTTATTCCAGAGTTCCCATCGCAAACAGAACATGCTCCTGTAATGACACGGCCCTGGAGACTATGGAACATGTAATGCTCTTCTGTCCCAACTGGACAGATGAAAGATCTCGGTTTTTAACTCCCTTCGTGAATAAGTTCCATCTCCCAATCCAGCCTTGGATAGTGTCCTCTTTTTGCAGGATTCTGATTGTTGGATTACTGAGATGACAGCTAACTTCCTGCTTAGTGTGATGAAGAGGAAAGCGGCACTAACTTCTTCCTTAACACCACAGATGCAGTCGATACGCCGCACAACCGAACGAAGTTCCAAGTAGCCTTATTGTACAAGGACAATCGAGTTAGGACTAATCTGAGGAGCTGAAGGACCCTTCAACGGTCCTCCTCCAGCCTCAGCAGCTTTTGTTTTTTTTTTTTTTTTTTTTTTCTTTCACTTTCTTTAAGTATTCGCCCAGGACGATGTCTACCTCTACCTCCCCACCCCCATTTTATGTTGTTATTTTAATGTATATCATGCTATGGCCACTCGGCTAATGCAATAAATCTACTTATCAGACTATAGTGCTTGGCACAGATGCCAAGGGGGAGAATGGAAGGAGCCGCTTCCATATTCACCTAACTGCAGTTTTTTGTTTTCAGATTATAGCCTGTGTGTGTCTTGTGGCAGTGGGAATATAAAATGCGGTTTCAAAAATTATTACTGGGTTGTAAAGTTTGCTGGCCTACTATGACATCCACCCTGTGCTTGGTGAGCTTTGAATATGGCATTAATGGATCATTAGGTTGTTCCAGGCATTGATGTGACTCATACTGCTCTGGTGAGAACTCAATCCAGTTTTAGTTTGGCACAATTGTTTTCTTCTTTTCACAAAGTTTGCAGAACAGAAGCAGCCTAGAGCTGGCTGGCTGGCTGGATGATTGCGATAATTCTAGAGAGGCAAAGGGGGCAGCAACTGTGACTCTAACTGAGTATGTTTGTGTGTTTTATCCATTTGTATGTGCACATTTGTAAATAAGCAGATCAGTACCATGAGCTTTCAACACTCTTTCCTCTTATAAGGAGCTGGTCCTATAAATATTGACTATACTAAGCTTCTTAAGGAAGTACAAAACATGAAAAACAAGATGAAGAAAGTTGTGCTTTTTGGAGAAAATTATGCCTTTATAATGCAGAAAAGTGACACAAATGGAAAACGGAGAAAGGAGTTGTAGCATGCTTAGAAAAGAGAAAGAGGACCTGTGTGACTGGCTGTGTGAGATAGTTAGGCAACCAACAGAGGTTTCCTCTCCTTCACTGTACTGCTCAGAGCTCCTTGCTTCAGTAGGGTACAGGAAAAACTACACTGGTGCATGGAACCGTAGATGACCCAAGTGTGCTCTAGAATAGTGCACACTCATACTTGGAACAGCAGGTTTGGCAGAATAGCTGGCACCCACTGGCTGAAACTGGAGCTAATTTGTATTACAAAATACAGAAAAATAGGGTGTGCAAACAAGTTGGAGAAACTTGCAACTTGATTCTAGGATATTGGTTGTGCTATCCATCGGAATAAACTTTGAACACTCTGTGCTTAGAAAAAATAGTTTGTGAAGTCACAAAAGTAGTTTCTATCATTTCCTTTTCACATTGCTTCATTTTAGGTGTCTGATGTCTAAATCCAAATCATGTGGTGTATTTATTACCTTGTATTTTTCCAATGGAAGAAATTCATACTGATTTGAAGCCTTCAATGAAGCTCAATCTGTTGGAGTAACACTGGTTTCCCTTACTAGCTTTGTAGACGCATTTGCCTTGCTTTGCAATGCAGCCTGCCTGCATTTAATTTTTACAAACTGTGAATTACATAAGGTTGCCTTTCGACACAGCACTAGTTCTGTATGAATGAGCCTTGTGCTTGTGCACTCCCTTCTCATTCTTTAGCATGGTGGTGAGAAAAACATGGGACGCATCTGGTTCCATTTTAAAGAGGTTAAAGTCTGATTAGCTTTTGCTATGGTTTGTCCAAACAAGCCAAGATCAAACCACCATTTCTGATCCTGGCTTGTTTGGATAAACCATAATTAGCCATAGCTCCTGGTTTGGAAAGAAAAAAAATCACTTTCACAGGTTTAGTAACCCTGTGTGCCCAGCCTGGTTTCACAAGTGCACCCCAGCTCCATTGCAGGCACGTTTTGAAAACAGTTTGTGATATGACATGGAAGATTTATTTCTCTGTTTTAAACATTGTATACTGCTCAATTACTCATCCAATAATTCTCTGGGTGGCGAACAAGACCATTTAAAAGCCATACAAAAATTAATACAAGGCCAAACATATAATCACAATAAAAATTGTAGCCACAATCTGCAACTATATAAAAACAGCATTAAAAAGCACCAGAAGATTCTAAATACTTAAAAAGCATGGCAAAACAACCATGATGTGGGTAACAGGCACACATCTCTGGGAAGGGCATTCCACAACCAGAGCACCACCACCAAAAAATGTCCCTCCTGGGTAGCTACCATTGCCACAGCATCTGATCTGGTGTGGGCACCAAGAGAAGGGTCTCTGAAGATGATCTTAGGATCCAGAAACTTATGTCTAAGAGGAAACAATCCTTCAGGTAACTTGGCCTAAAGCTGTTCAGGACTTTAAGGTTAATACCAAAGCTTTGATTTGGTCCGAGTAATGGACTGGCAGCCAACGGAGATGGAGAAAAACACAGAAGCCCTGTGGTGCACCTAAACAGACTCTTTGGAGTGTAGCCTTGGAATATTTTCGTTTCACTCTCATGTCTCCCCTCCTGTGATGATCTCTTCATATATATAAATGGAAATGGTTCCATTTTATTAAAGACTCTTTCCCTTTGTGACTTGACTATACTGACACTTTTAATTAACTGGATCATTTGAACTTTGCCACATACCTTTTGCCTTGCCTAACATAGTCCAAGCATGGCTGTTCTTTTCAGTTTCCCAGAGAAAAGAAGCAAGTTTCAATTCAACTTAGAAGGCTATAGAATATGCATAACTACAGGTAAGATATGCACAATCTTCACTCTTAAGTTGCAAGATATTCATCAGCTTTAATAATTAACATTTCTATTCTGTGTCTAGCAGCAAGCAGAGAGCAGTTATAGTTCCACTACATGTGGGAAGTATAAATAAGAACACAGTTACAAATTACCATATTTGTTTAACTGTTCTGTTGAGTCACTCCCACCCCTTACACTTTGGCATTCTTCCAGGTTCTCTCTGAAATTCCACTCTGTTTTGCTCTATGGATGGAGTATACAATTATTAAAATAATGCCATGTAGTCAGCAAATAATGCCGTGCAGTCAGCAATAGAGTATCATGAAACAAAAAGGGAAAGAAGGCTACCTTTGCTTTTTTTGGATAAATTTAAATGAGCAACAACAACAACAAAGAGAGAGAAGGAGAAGGAAAAGGAAAAAATGTCAATGAAGAGAGGAAAAAAGATTTAACTACGTCCTTCAATTTGCTGAAAGTTGCTATTATTTCAGAGCATCTAGAGAAAGTTACTTGGCTCCATAGCTTTTCAGCTTGGGGTCTTCACAAGGATCCATTCTGTTTTATATGTTATTCAACATCTATATGAAATAGTTGGGTGCCATCATATGTGGAGTTGGGAGCACAGAATCTTTATGCTGCTGGCACTCAGTTTTATCTCTCCATTTTATCTCAATCTGGAGGTGCTATGCAGGTGTTGAACTTGTGTCTGGAAGCAGTAAGGGGCTGGATCGGGGCCAATTAAACAGGCTGAAAGCTGACAAGATGGAGGTTCTGTGGGTAGATGCCTTCCAAGTCCAGGAATTAGGGGAGCAAACTCTTCTGTGAGGGCTTGAAGGAACAGATTCATAGTCTGGGAGTACTCCAGGATTCCAACTTGTCACCAGAGTCTCAAATCTCTTCTGCGGCTAGAAATGGTTATGCCCAGCTTTGGCTGTTTCACCAGAACATGCAAAACCAAAAACATTTAACAATTTCATCACGGAGTTTACTTAGGATGAGTTGCCCAAAGAGTTGCCAGTTTCATTAACTAAGAAAAAGATGGAGTGCCTTAACATTCATATCCATCTCTTCTGCCACACTCTCAAGAGACAACCGTAGGCCTCCTTTCTCAGAAAGCAGAAAACCTAGAATGGTAAGCATCTTATTGTAACACTTATTAGGAGGAAGCAAGAACTAAACATGTACATACTCATATGCAGGAGGATCAAAACTAACATCCTGCATAAGAAATCTAATCAGGGAGTCTAAAGAAAATAAGAATAAAGAAAATAAAACTAAACATCAGAACGAAAAAATGCCATATTATTGATTTCCACCAAGAACCTAGTTTAATAACCGCTTTGCTTTAAGGTCCGAGTTGTCATTGTTAACGCAAACCAAAAACTAAGCAAATATTCCAACTTCTTGCCAGGACTTGCCATTTTAGATTATTTTCCATTGCTGTACTGCACACCTCTGACCGCAAATACATTTTACAACTCTTTGACCAGTCTGTATCAACAGTACTGTCCTAGTTCTGGGTATCTCACCTGCAGGATCCTTCTGTACCTTTATTGACTCATCACCAGAAATCTGCATAAATAGATGTGACAATCCCCCCCAAAAGGTAGAAAGGACCTTGCGCAGAATTTTGCTTCCTATTAGAAAGGAACACGGTGGAAGTGCTAGATAGTAAGTGAATTTTTGCTCCCTAGGATGTACAGAATAGATTGGCAATTAAATAAAAATAATTAAAGGTGCATCACTGTGTACTCACACACCCCACTTGCCCAACAAAAGTTGGCGTAGTCACTGCTCCCTCTGCAGAGTAAGTTGAAACTGTCTTTGTTTAATACTATATTTATTTGTATAAAGCTATGTCAAAATATCATGGGGGGGGGGGACCAGTAACTTTAAGGGAAATCTTATTCCATATAAATATTAAATAATCCAAAAAAATCACACAAATGGGCTGAAGTCCAAAGAACTACTGTGGCACACCCAAATGCTTGTACTAACCTGGTGGGTTTTCTTTAAAAAAGCAATTAGATTGTTACCTCACCCGCATTGCCACAGCACAAGCTACTTTTTAAAACTTCCCCTTTAAAACAGGTTTGCCATGTAGAATTGGTGTGAGGGTGGAGGAATGTGTTTTGAGAGGGTGCAATTCAAGAAACAAGTATGGATGAGTGGTTCTTTGCTGTGGCCACGATTTCTATTTCCAGTAAGAAACAGATCAATACACTATAAATTTTAAGGCATCTTTGGACTTCTAAAAACACTAAGTACACTGTTAACACATCATACAAATAAATAATAATTTCTAACTTGGGCTCCAACACTTGATACATGCAGCAAAATTTCCCACTGTATATTGATGATATCATCCTTGGAATCCAATGAACAATGAGATGCTACTCATCCTGGCAGTGCGGAGAAGGTGAACTAACAACAACGATGGATTCTGCTCTACCTACAGTATACAAGCAATAGAGGTAATGTGTACCCATCCTAAATTCAAGCTCCCCCCCTAAATCCAGCACAGCTACCCCCATAAATTTCTGCTATTTGGGCACACCAGTGAGCCGCAAGAGAACAGCTAAGATGCAATCAAAAGTAACCTCTCACAAGCAAAAAGGATCCAGCTACAGAGGAGACTGCCACCTGCATGTCAGTAAGATCCACTGTTTGTCTTTAGAGCCTCCCAAGCAGCCTCAGCATTTGATGCAATTTGATCATTAAATCACCCCACAGAGAGAGATGTAGCAGAACTACCCTCAGAGGAGGCACACTCAGAACAGCAACTCAGAAACACAGGGGTAAAGCTCCTCCGAGGGCAGATAGTTCTTACACATCCAAAGAGCTTTGTTTTTAGTTATGTAAACAAGAGAAGAATGCCATCAGTTTTAATTGCGGGATAGGAGGGACTGCCTCAGCTTTCAGAAGTTTGGGCAACTCTCTTCTACTATCAAATTTCAAATATTATTTTTAAAAAAACTATTCTTCTCTACATTACTGGATGCATCTGAATACTTAATAGTGGAAGCCGTCTTTAGCACTAAAAGTTAGTGAAATATTCGTTTCTGCTTAACAAACATTTAAAAAGTTTCAGCTCTTTTCACATTAACAAATAAATTCCACTGGTTTCATAATTATGTTCAAATCTTACAGCAAAAAGAAATGTGAACTGTACACAGCTACGTTTTTAAAACATTGCCTGAAATCTTAAAACACCAAAAAGAAACAGAAAAAAGCTGTACTGAAAGAGGAAGCATCTCTAAGTCCCAACGGTACTGACAGCAAAAAATTGTATAAAGTAGTTCTTAGATTAACATCCTATTCTTTTTTATGCATTCACTCAATCCTTTACTGCTTGCACATTAACACTTCAGTTGTGACGCACAACTGATTTAACACTACTTTTCATGTTGCCCATTATGTATCTAGCTTGATTTTCAGTATTTAAACAGCCCTTGCGATGACAATCAAAAACTATTTAAGTGTTCATTTTACAGATATTTTTGAAAGCTATTAAAAGGCCGACTGCCAACAACTTGCTATAGAAATGCTGTACCCTTCTATATTCTTCAGTAAGCTTTTCAGAACTATCTGTACTTCTGTATTTCTGTATTACATATAAAACCATTTATATATAAACCTCTGGTGAATGCAATATTTAGACTCTTAAAGAAAGTATTGCCAATTGTAATTGTTTATTATCAAGATAACCCCTTTGAACTTGCACACATCTAAGGCCTTAGTTTACATAAAGTACACATCTTTAATGTGAAGATTTGCATCTGAGGCCATTCACTGAAATCAGCATCAATAAGCTCCTCCAGTCACATTGCAAATAATTTTGGCATTTTCCCCAGAAGTTTCTGCCTCCTAACATAGTATGTACCAATACTGAACTTTAAATTATCCCAAGTATATTCCACAACATATAAAGAGACTTGTTTCATCATGATAAAAACAAGTGAAGAAATGAGTCTTTATCACTTGCTTATTACTCTTTCCCCCCATGTGAATCCAGATCAGGTGACCCAATCAAGCCTCATTAAACATAAACTATTTCAATGAACATACCAGTTAATATCAAACTTGAGAAGTCATAGACTGGAAGACTTTCTCTGTTAGTAAAAAAGGAGATTTAATTCAGCATCCTGTGGAAGTTAATGCGTATCATCATCAAGATACTTATCAAGACACTTATCAAGCTGTTATCATTTATTTTGAAAGGGCTATCCAGACAAATAAGCATTCATTAACTCCATTAAATGTGGTCACTTTCACAGCACTTTGTAAACAAAATTTCACCCAGACTTTGGGGGAGCCTACCAGATAAGCAGAGAGCATCTACACAGGTTCCCTATGGCAGGAGATTACATCCTGATATAGGGAGCTTGCTGGGGAGAGGTATCCCTTTCAGACTCATTCTTATTAGAATTACAGTGGTACCTCGGGTTACATATGCTTCAGGTTACAAACTCCGCTAAGCCAGAAATAGTACCTTGGGTTAAGAACTTTGCTTCAGGATGAGAACAGAAATCGTGCGGCAGCGGGAGGCCCCATTAGCTAAAGTGGTGCTTCAGGTTAAGAACAGTTTCAGGTTAAGAACGGACCTCCGGAACGAATTAAGTACTTAACCCGAGGTACCACTGTACTAGGGAGCAAAAAATCATTTGTTCATTTTACTGGCATCAAAGAAGAATATTCATTTGTTCAAAGAGTATCTTGTGTCTAGTTCTAGGATCCACCAGGGACTCCTTCCTAACAGTTTGGTCACTATTCTCCAAGAAATACACAGGAAGCCAAACTTCTATAGATTCCACAAGATTGCCTCTTGATTTATAGGATAAGCTGGATGTCAAAAAGACAAACTCACCAAGTTTTCAAAATTTCAGAGCCATGTAGAATGCTACTACTATGCTTTAAAGTAAACCCTTAAGCCAAAGGTTTTCTATTGTCAGAATAGATTCAAAATGAGTGAAATGTTCCAGTATGATAGTCAGTTCTCAAATAAGTATTCAAACTTAAGAAGTGAATAAAGCAAACTAATCAGCAACTTCAACTAAAGAGACAGTATTTTACCTAGCTGATGAAAGTCAGTGATTGCCTAGGAATGTCTATTCCACAATGAACTAGACCAGTTATGCTACATAACTGGTTCCCCTATGTAGTCTGGTCCCTTAGAACATACCACTATTGTCAATGTCACACAATATGTTTGTGAACAGCTTGTGTCTACAACAGACAACAGATATTGTGTTCAGTATATATTTGGCTTGACTTATAGATGCTCACAAAACTAAGCTAGTGTATTTTGCCACAGTACCTAATATTCATTATTGAAGCCCTGCATATTAAAAGCCCAGCCTTGCACCAGTACTTGTGTTGTGTCAGCTCCCATGCGTCTTCATCAGGACTGTGCTTAGTAATGTAAAATAAACATCATAGCAGCCTATTTGTCAAACTATTTTGGACAACTAAAATCCCGTTAGATGTAACCTGGAGGCACTCAAGTACAGTTTTCACCTTGGCACACCGTACAAACTACATACAAAGTCAAATTTCAAAAGAAAGGCTATGGCTAATTTTCATGATCTCTGAAGCAACTCTGCTTACAGAGGCTGTAATCCTGAATCTACCATAAACCATGGAATTTTGCTAAGACTGATTAATTTCTTTCCAAGAACCAAAGCCATTTTAGACAGGCAATTCTACTTCAAATCTCTGAAAGTGCCCATTCTGATTTAGACATTATATATTTGGTCCCACACAAATAGGTTTGATTCTCTTTAATTAGAGAAAGGAAAACCATATCTAGCATTGCCCCAATGTAATGTCATTGTTGGATCCAATGAACCATTTGCGCAGCAATAACAGGACTGATGTGACTCAATGGAAGCATTCAAATGTTAGGTTTGAACAGGGCTTTGGCAACACAGTAACTAGACTTTTGACTGCAACCTCACACAAAACCAATGAAGGTGGTTGCAGCAATTCTGCCACAGAATGTAAGTAAATAGCAGACCTATGCAGTACCATATGGCACCTTTTTTTGCCATGGCTTTCCTCTCAGTGCAGCATTTTATTTCCCCCCATATTACAAGTCAATGGCAACCATTCAGTGATCTGAGAGAGAATAAAGAATAAAACTTGATCCCACTTGTATGTTTTGTGACTGCTCTATGCCCTGTTTTTCTGAGTCACCCTAGATCTGGCTTTGCTATATAAAATGAGCCACTGTGGATGAGTGGTTAGAATGTCAGACTGGGACCCAGAAGACCAGGGTTCAAATCCCCACTGTGGCCATGAAGCTCACCGGGTGGCATTGGGCTACTCACTCACTGCCTCTCACTCTAATCTACCTCACATGGTTGTTGTGGGGATTGGGGTGAGAGAACCATGTACAGGTGGCGACCATTTTGCACATGTCCAACTGATGGCCAACATACATGCAGCTTTCGGGCCTGGAGGGGAGCAGAATGGGTTTATGTGTGACCACTGACATGCCAATGACCTAGAACACAATGCCTGTGCAAATGGGAGTTGCTTGTATACCACCTAGAGCTCCTTGGAAGAAAAAAGGGGGGTACAGAATAGAGTAATAGAATGGACATCTAGCCCAATGGGCATCTAGTCCAAAGCACAGAAAAGCAATTTATAAATACTATAGAAAGATCATGTATAAAGGTGTGCAATATCTGAAGTCCACCATTCATCTAGCTCCACACTTCTATTCCTCACTGTACCCACACATAATGCCTTCCTTGCTTTTCATTGCTCTCACCAACTTGCCAGCATTCGAAATTCGTCAGGTGCATTTTGATGCCTCCATCATCTGGAGCTGCATGCCTGGGAATCCTTGGATCTTGACTCCTTTCACACACGAGTTCTACCCGTTACATTTTATCTGCACAATCAGAATGAATTTCAGCAACCAAAAAGCCATATTGAGAAATTTGGCTTTAGGCCTACCTGGCCCCAAAACGGCAACTAGGGCTATCCGTTTTGGTGATGGCAACCCTGGTTTAAGGAGCCTTTTGGCACTTAGCTTATATATCTGAGATTCTAACGCTGCAACTTACATGGGGCACCCTGTTCATTCCGAACCACGCTTCGGGCAGCCACCATCTTCAACGCCATCCTTCCGCTCAGGTGCGAATACAAAAAATCACAACCCAGCCATTCCAACAGAAGGCGGCGGCGACGACACAACAACTGTGTGCAATAGACGTGCATGGCGGCAGCAGGCGGAATAGAGAAGAAGGGAGCCCATTCCCTCTCCAAAACATGTGGCGAGCAAAACGAAAATAAAGACGGCTGCCACCAGGGGCCCATTGGCGTGGCTGCTGCCCAAGGACCCAGTACCGAGAAGGCCCGGCTCAGATTCCGAGATGCAATCCTGCGCGCACTCAACTCGGCAGGACCTACTTTGGAGTAGGCGCAGGATCGAGCTGTCTACCAGGGCGAAAAGCAGCAGCTCGCGCGTGGGGAAAAGCGCGCAGGCGAGAAAAGGGGACGGAGGCGCGGGAAAGCCCGGAGCCCTCCCAGCTGGGCCTCCACCCGGCGCCTCGCCAGCGCTCCCACCCGGAACCCTCTCAAGGCGAGGCCCTCCCAAGCCCCACCTGAGGCGGGCCCGGCCGGCGCCTCCCCTCCACCAACTCCCAGGTGAAGAGGCGAGCGGCGGGCCTCGCTGAGGACGGAGCGAGGGTGCCTCGCGTGGGGGGGAGGCCAAGGGGGTCGAGCCCCGTAACGCCCTGCCCGGCCCTCCCGCACTCACGATGGTGACGCTGGCCTTGCGTAGGTCGCGGTTCTCCTCCTGCAGCGCTTTGCACTTGAGCTTGTAGGTCTCCAGCTCGATCTTGAGCACCTTGTTCTCCTGCTGCAGCGACGCCAGGCGGTTCGTCAGTTCCTCCAGCCGGAACGGCGAGATCACGATGCCGCCCGCTTTGCCGACCCCCGAGGAGCCAGGCCCCGCCGGGCAGCCGGGCAGAGACACCCCCGGACCGCCGCCGCTGCCCCCCGCGCCGTCCGTGTCGCTCTCGCTGGCGCTGTCGGCCATACCCGGCCCTGGGGAGGCGGCGGCTCCTGCTGCTGCTGCTGCTGCTGCACACACCTCAGCGCGCCTTCCTGCTCCTCTGCCCGCCTCTCGGGCAGCTGCGGCTGCCGCGGCTGTGCTGCTGCTGCTGCTGCTGCGAGGCACGGAGGCGGGGTCGGCGGCCGAAGCTCACCGCCTGGGCCGAGCAAGCGACGAGAGGCTGGCGCACGCTCCGTCCGCGCCGAATATGCCGCTCTCGCTCGGCTCCAAGAAGGGAGCTGCCCGCTTCCCCCGGCGGGCCCACAGCGACGCCGGCCGCGGCCTAGGGATACTGCAACGGATACAGCCAATTTCCATGGCTGCCTGGGCGGAGACAGCGCCGCCGCCGCCGCCTCCCTGGGCGGAACCGCAATCTGCACGCCAAAAAAAGAAAGGCGTCGTCAATAGTCTCTAGGTAAAGCAGCGCCGCCGCTGCCTCAGGTGAGCTTCGGGCGGCACGGCCTTCAGGCCCACCAGAACTTGCAGCCCGAGTTATATTTATGAGAAAGTAAGTCGCCCACCCCCACCCACCCCCGGTTGGACTGGCTTCTGAGGGGAAGGTGCGCGGGGTTGCCTTGCTAGGCGCTCTCAAGGCCTTGTGCACAAGCAGGTACTTCGGGGTAACTGCCCTGCCACGCGTTGCGTGACCTATGGGTTGTAAAGTTACCTCACGACTAAAGCAGAAAGCCATGGCAACATACCCAAGTTTTATTTCAGATGGCACTTTTGACACGTAAGAGCCTGGCTTGTCAAGAGTAAGCAGTGGAAATGGGTGGGGTCCCGTGTGAGGGAGAATACTTGCAGGCCGCTATGGAAAAATGAATGCACTACTACTACTACTATTACTATATAAGCCGCCCTTCAGACTGGGTTACCCCAGCCATTCTGGGTGGCTTCCAACAAATTAAAACACAGTGAGACATCAAACATTAAAAACTTCTTCTAAAAGCCATAAAGTTATTTGTTTCATTGACATCGGAAGGGATACACTCTTCAGCAAAATTTCCTTTCAGCTCTGCCTTCTCTACAACACAGTCCCCACTCATGTTTACAGTGGAGGCATGTTTCATAAATGCACACATGGCCTCATTGAACACAGTAAAACTTCTGAGTAAACTTTGCATAAGAGCCCACTGCTAGTCTACTGCTGTGCTTGAGTTTTACGACAGGATTCGGTTATGAAAGAAACATCTAAAAAGGGGTCTCGTAGCCTGAAAGTCATGCCTTCTTTTCTTCAAGATCCCAGTCCCAGATTAGACTCCCCCATTTTTGGTTTTGAAAAAACAAATCCAGCGTAGAATGCAAGCCTTTGCAGAATTAGGCATGCCTACATTTGCTCATTTGAAAGGCTTATTCTTCTTTGGTGATTACTCATAGCCGAGTAAGATTGTCTTCCATAAACACACTTTTAACAATGAGTCCGTAAGTGAATGTGGAGTCCTGCCTTCTTACTTGTAACCAGACCCAAATTTAGATTCACCAAATCTAAGCAGCATTGTGGACTTGTTTTTTCTTAAGTTCAATTTGTTTTGTAATGCTATGACTTGATAACATCTCAATCCTTTCTAGATGTAAGGGAGAACAAGGTTGTTATCTTGGCCAAGGTTCTGCAGAGAAGGTGTGGTAGTGGGTAATATGAAAGAGCCAGTGTGGAAACTCAGATCTTGCAGCATTCCTTCCACTTAGTTCAGTGCTAAGCTCCTTGAGCACTGGCTTTTGTTTTTTATACCGCTATTTATTTATCTTTTGGTTGCTGCACACAGGGTTCTGCTATGGGGCAAATAACTTTATTTTCCCCTGGTGGTATTCTTAAATTACAGCTAGATTGTCCCCAGTCTACTTACATCTGGGGCAGGGGGTGGTAACATGGTGCCCATAGGCATAGTGGCATCTTTGAGGTCTTCTCCTGGTGCCTTTGAAACCTCTGAGCTGACCCCCAGGCCCCACTCACTGCTCCCTCAGTTGCAAGATGGCGAGGGTGGTGTTTTTATCCCTTGAAATGTACAGAGCTGAAGGAGGAAGTTGGAAGAGCGACACCCTTTCCCACTTCCGCTTTCAGCTCTATGTGCTTTTCAAGGCTCAGTTTAATTCTTTTGGCTCTCAATTTAACCATGAACCTAGAAAGGTTGGCCCCTGATCTAAGGGGATGCTGTATGTGTGATGTGACATAATAGTGATGCAAGTTTCTCTAAACCTGCAGATGGCAGCCGGTGAAGTGGGGCAGGAGGGGTAGAGAAACTCAACAGTCTGATGAATTATTGTTGAATGTTGAGAGACCTTAGTGTTACCTGAGAAAGATGAGTAAGAGGCATGAGGCTGCTGTTTTCTGTAGCAGCCCTATGTGTCTGCTGCAGCAGCATGTTGGCTTTGTTTCAGTTACTATACAGTGGTACCTCGGGTTAAGAACTTAATTCGTTCTGGAGGTCTGTTCTTAACCTGATACTGTTCTTAACCTGAAGCACCACTTTAGCTAATGGGGCCTCCTGCTGCTGCCGCTGCGCCACCACTGCACAATTTCTGTTCTCATCCTGAAGCAAAGTTCTTAACCTGAGGAAATATTTCTGGGTTAGCAGAGTCAGTAACCTGAAGCGTATGTAACCCGAGGTACCACTGTATTATTAAGGGGCTAACTATGTGTTCCACTAAATGGCATTATTAGTGAACATGTGGGTTTTAAAAAGTTAAATTTCAGCTGTGGAGATGGCAATTTGCAGTAGAAAAAGAATGCTATGATCGGCACCAATGTCTAATGCTAATTGCTACATGCAGCAAATGGGTCAATTTTTGTAGAAATCATGAATAGGGAAGAATATCATAGAACTGTAGAGTTGGAAGCTCCCACGAGGGTTATCTAATCGAACCTCCTGCAATACAGGAATTTTTAATCCAGTGTGGGGCTTGAATCCACAACCCTGAGATTAAATCTCCTTCCTGCTCTACTGACTGAGCCACTCAGTGTACTTATGAAAATTCCACCCCAACACTTGGGCTGCTATTTAACTTAAACACATACACACAATTGTGATTGCTGATTGTGCCATTAATGTAACATTTTAGTTATGAAATTTGTATCCTGCCCTTCCAAAGAAGCCTGGAGAAACATGAAGGTAGGCTTATGTGAGCCAATTGGGTGTTCTCTCCTGGGAGTAGGGTGCTGACTGTTGAAGAGACTCCTTTCTGCTCCTTCTTAAGGACATGAATAGTTAATAAGAAACAGGAGAAGTCAGGTGCTGGAATAGCATACACGAGCAGCCCACTGTACATTTCACATATATGAGCAGTCTTGGGAAGTGTCTAAGCAACCCCCCCCCCAATATTCAAATGGAAGGAGTGGTTGTTGTGCTCTGTGACCTTTGCTGTTATTTCAAAGGCAGCAACTTTCTGTTCAAATGAACTTTGTTTTTGTTTTTTTATCATCACATACCACTTGAGATGGTTGCCTGAGCAAAAGATCCTGTTTCCATGGAGGGAAAGAAAGGTGTGTCCTCTCACCGTGTTGATAAAATAACTTGTGATGCAGTTGGTGCTCCATGCAGATGCCCTTATGTAAGAACGGCCATACATATGGGTGAAATATTTTGTGCTTTGGTGCATACAAGTATCTCTGTATGCCGTATTAGTGGGATAAAATCTATTAATTAGGCATGTGCAGAGTCAATGCTGAGGTTTTATTTTCCATTCTTCTCCATGGGAATTCTCAAGCTTCCTTATCCCCAAATGGTGATCGCTAACAAGAGTGTCTCCCATTTAAAAAAGAAATAACAGGTGGGCTTCAGATGGACATAGCACAAACACACACAGCTGAAATTATAGAATAGTCATCCCACATCCTAAGAAGTTTTGGCATATAGTAATGCTTGCCTGCCTGATTAGAGGCATCACTTGAATTTGAGGGAAGGGCAAAAGAAGACAAAAAGAAACATTTGTTAAGGGTACAAAACACACATTTCGCATGAAAGTGGTGACAATTGTGATAGGGCATGTTGGCCAGTTTTTCTCTTCTTTAGGTGGCCAGCATCAGCATGAGGTCACAATCAATGTGATGGTATAGTGTGATAGTTTTTGTAAGATGTTGCTGGTGTTTGCTTGTCATATTTTAACACTGTGAGGCATCTTAGGAAAGTGTTATACAGCTGCATAATGTTGAAACTGAAAAGGTACAGATAACTAATTTTATGTTCTCTGGCATATTGTGGGAGGGAGCAATGTGACAAAAAACTGTTGTGTGAAGGAGCACTTGGCTGACTTTACTTTGTGTCAGCCTTAAAATGGCAATGTCGCTTCTAGGCTCCCTAAAATGCCCCACAACGCCTGCTTTCTCAAAATGAAAATTTGGCCTCTGCAAGCTGGTTCATTGTGCTCCCCAAGTCACCTGTTCACAAAGCCCACGTAATTGGTAGTTATTCAATTATTTATGCAGCTGCTCTGGCTTTTAGCAGAAGTAGTAATTCTTGTAATGGTGGTGTATGTGGGATTTAATTATCTCTTACCATAATAGTTATTTGTTTGTCCTGCTCCACAAAGGTCTTCTCATTTAATCCTCATTTAATAGTTCTCTAATGGCATATTCTGTCATGTAGTTGCCCTGCTTCATCCTCCTAAGGATAAGAAATTAGACTTCCTGTGCACACTTATGCCCAAGTAAGCCTCATTGAGGGACGTGGGTGGCACTGTGGTCTAAACCACAGAGCCTAGGGCTTGCCGATCAGCAGGTCGCTGGTTCGAATCCCCGCAATGGGGTGAGCTCCCATTGTTTGGTCCCAGGTCCTGCCCACCTAGCAGTTCGAAAGCACGTCAAAGTACAAATAGATAAATAGGTACCGCTCCGGCGGGAAGGTAAACGGTGTTTCCGTGTGCTGCTCTGGTTCGCCAGAAGCGGCTTAGTCATGCTGGCCACATGACCCGGAAGCTGTCTGCGGACAAATGTCAGCTCCCTCAGCCTATAGAGCGAGATGAGCGTGCAACCCCAGAGTTGTCCGCAACTGGACCTAACGGTCAGGGGTACCTTTACCTTTAAGACTCATTGAACATAGCAGGACTAGCTTCCAAGTAACCAAGCATAGGAACAGCCCTCCCCCTTTAACTTTGGCATTTTGATTCATAAGCAGACAAACCTTGTAACATTTTTGGGGCAGTGGCAAGGAGACCTCCTTGAGCTGGTGTTGTATACTGACTGAGACTGCAGTCTTACTCACCCTTACCTGGGAGCAAGGCCTGTTGCATTCAGCAGTACTTGCTTCTGAGTAGACACAGGATTGCACTGTGAGGCATTGAATACTATACTGGTGTGTGTTTAATGCAGTGATGCCCAAATTTGGCCCTCCAGCTATTTTGGGACATCATCCCTGATCACTGGTCCTGTTAGCTAGGGATGATGGGAGTTGTAGTCCGAAAACAGCTGGAGGACCAAGTTTGGCCATCACTGGTTTAATGATTGTGAAGAATCTTGGCTGCTGACACCCCATGCATTTCAAGCACACCCCCCTGCCCAAAAGAATCCTGGGAACTGTAGTTTACTTCTCATAGAGCTACAGTCCTCAGCACTCTAAACAACCCACAGTTCCCATGATTCTTTGTGGTGGTGGGGAACATGTTTTAAATGTATTGAGTGTTCTCAGTCAACTTCCAGAAACTTCATTCAGCATGACCAATTGTGAGGAATGATGGTAGTTCAACATCTGGAGGGCAGTAGGTTACATCTGGAGGGCACTCTCTAACTTACGAGGATTTCCACACATGCAGCTATAATCAGCTTAGAGCCTCTGTCCTTGCCACATGTGAATTTTGATACTGCAAGAGATAATAAAGAAGAGAACTTGGAATGTATATTGCAGCTACAGTAGGTTTTACATTTGCATTATAGACTCATTTAAGAAGCTTTTTAAATGCATTTTTCTCCTTAAGAGTCTCTGCTCCAATCACTGAAAGACACCCCCCCCCCTTTCCCCTCTGACTTGCAATTAAATAGCTGTAAAGAGTACACTACAGATGGCATTATGGTTTTGGGAAAGCAGACAGCAGGCCCCATTTTCCTTGTAAATGCTAGCATTTTCAATTTTCAGTATTCAAATGACTCAGGAAAAATACATGCTGCATCAATAAGCTTGTTCCTCAATGAATGAATTTAAAGAAGGCAGAAAAATAGGAACCAAAATGTCAGCAGCATTTGGAAGCTATGCTCTTAAGTGGTTTGGAGGAAATTGTGGCCTGTTACCTGAGATACGGAAACCATAGCCTGCATTTTGCCCTGCAGTGGAACTTGAGAGGAGGATGTGGGCTGCAATGCTATACCTACTGTCCTAGGAGTCAGCCCCGCTGAACTCAATAGGACTTACTTCTGAGCAGTGTTTTCCCCCCCTAAGAAAATGTTTAGCGGTGCTCTCATTTTCCTACTCATATTGAAATACTGCCCATCAATGAGACCAAACTTAGATTCACAAAATGTTTAGGGGTATTCATCCCCCCAGAAAAAAAGCACTGCTTCTGAGTAAACATGCTTAGGATTGTGCTGTTGAGTGCCTTACAAGAAGATACTTGCACTATGCTAGGTAAAAGCTAGTATTTAAATAATGCATTTAAAAAGGGAACATGTTTTGGGGAGAGGAGAGGAAGTAACAGCTTGAAACCTGAAATCTAGTATTTCCTGCAGTTATTTTTTCCTGCTTTATTTATTTACTGGCCAGGGAGTGGAAGGGGGAATAAGTGCAGCCATAGAACTTCATTTGATATAGAACCTTACAGTTGGGCAAGGGTAATTACTCAGTTTCGTAAAACAGGACAAGAGTCTTTTGAAGATAAAAAAATAGATAAAAACCAAGATAAAAAAATAGGATTTGAACAGAAAACATCAAAATTACAAAGTGAACTACTGCAACCAAATAGGAAAATAATATCGAAAATATACAGCTTGCTCCTTGAAAGATGAGGTAATAAAAGAACCAATGATAAAATGGTCACAAGAGCTGGGCCAGACAATTCACTTAGACAGATGGGAAAGACTAGGGAAAACTGATATAAATTTTACAGTGTGCTATTTGAATAAGGAAAACATAATGAAGATGTTTTACCGCTGGTACCTCACCCTAGTAAAACTATCAAAGATGTACAAAAAACAATCAAATCTCTGTCGGAGATGCAAAACAGAGGTGGGGACGATGTACCAAAAGTGGTGGGGGTGCAACGTGGTATTTTTGCTGGGTTTAGTATTGAGTGACATCCCCAAGGATAAAAGGAATATATTCCTTTACGCAACCGCAGCAGCCAGAATCGCAAGGGCAGCCAGAATCGTAGTGGCGTAAAATTGGAAAACTGATAAAATACCAGAATTATTAGAATGGAGAACCAAACTTCTCGAATTCACGGAGATGGCAAAATTAACAGCATCAATCAGAGGCTGCTCTAATCAAAAAATTAATAAAGAGTGGGAATGTGTTAAGGAATACATGAAAAAAGTTGGTGCTGGAGCTTAAAAATTAATATGCAAAAGTTTAAAAGGTGCAAGGAGATAGGATAATATACTAAGGATGGAATAACAAATAAAATGAGTAACGCAACAATAACAAAAATAATAGTAGGCAAAGAAGATCCCACACAGGTGGAGGGAAGTATTGGGTTGTGTGGGAGGGAGGGAGGCATTAATTGAAATTGTTAAAGATTGGCATAGGATTTAAGAGACTTAAAATAAGGAATTAAAATAAGGAAAGCAGAAAGTAATAGCAGAAAAAATAGAAAGCAGAAAAAATAGAAAAAAGTATTTTCTCTTTATTATGAAGTCCCTTTTTCTTTTTTGCAAGGTGCCTGTATTTTCAACTGTTACACAATAGGTGGAAATCCAGCAGGGTATGCTTCTCAACATAAAGTTGCAGACATGAAAAACCATTCACCTGCTGAATTTCTGCCTGCCATGTAGCTGTTTAAAGCACAATAACCCTCTCCCCGAAAGGTGGGAACCCCCCCCCCAAGGAGTGATAGAAACTTGCTTTTATAAAAGAAATACATGAAGGTTCCAATAGACATGATAGATTTCTTTTTCACTAGGAGCAAAATTCTGCCACTCATTGTACTGTCATAGTCATATTGATTCCTGTATCTTTTACAGAGAAGCTGAAGCAACACCACCAATCAGCAAGACGTCTGCCTTCTCCCCTTGTTGTGTCACATAAGAGTAAGGTATGTAACTCTTCATTGCTGGAGGGATAAGCTTAGATGTTGCTGCTCTGGCTGATTGTAATACCTGTGAGGATCCTAGCACTGCTGTTGAAATGACTGGGATATGCTGTAGGCCTTGAATAACCTCCATTGCTGTTGCTTGTTCTTTATCTGGCTAGGCATGCTGGTTGATTGTAACATAAAAGGCACGTAGGCAGGTCCACTGAACCTTCTCTAGCATTCTTGACTGTGTCCCAGGAGTGGGATGCGAGGACTGTAGGAGGCATTTCCCCCAGTAATATTTTAGTTTGTTATAATGAATGCTGATGTACATTGGCACAGTATCAGGAAAGTATATTCCTGAGCAGAGAGTTTGTGGAATGGTTTGAATCGTTTGATTCTAGTGTTTGTATTGTATACAGTACCTGGATGGCTCTGGCAATATGTAACATGTTATTTCACTTGTTAAAAGGGAAAGTCGCAAACCATATGTACTGGCCACATTTAAAGCAGGTTTGGAGAAAGCTAGTTAGTGGGCATTTCTTGCATTTGAAGTGTAAGCTGGGCTGAGGTGCTTTTTGATTCTAAGATACAGCTGCAGCATATAGAACATAATAATTTCCATGCCCCGCAGCAAAAATAACTAAATCCTGGTGGAGACATATATTAATTTTAGTGTTAGAGATTGCCTTTATAAAAGTATTTCCACATAAATGCTCAGAACTCTCAGTGCTCATAGCACTTGTTAGGAAAGCATCTTCAGTCAGTCTTTATAGATGTACAGTGTGGATTTGGAGATTGCTGGAGTAATTTTATGTCGCTGCAATTTACCTTTCAATTGTAGCACCAAGATGTTTGGGGATAATTTTCTTATAGTTTTCCAAGTGTTTTTGTTGCCAACGGCCAACACTTTCTTGATTGCTCTTTCTTTGACTTTTGTACAAAATACACACCTTGCAAAAGAACTCCAGACACGGGGAAACGTTGAAGATAGTATGACCAATTAGCATTATTATACAGCTTAAAAAAACCCCACCACCAACCTGTGATTCATTGCATTTATATTACCCTCTTTGCTATAGGGACCAGGACTGGAACTAGTCATGTTTGGAGATGTCTAGCTGCCACCAAAAATAGCATCCTGACATTTTTTTGTCCTCGTGTGCCCTGGTAATGTCTGCTACTGTGAAACCCATGTCACAATTTCTGGGTGCTGTGGTGATCTCCACCACATTCCACTTGGGCTGCCCTTTATGATGACTGGTAGTGCACTGATGTTACATTGTATGCTTTGTTGTATTATGCTGTGTACACCCTCTTTGTTTACTCTGCATCCAGTCAGTGCTTTTTTCTGGGAGTTCTCAAGGGTACATAGTACCAGCACCTTTTTTTCTAGAAGAAAAGCACTGCATCCAATGACCTCCCATTGCTAGTTTGGGAAGGTGTACACACAACATTAACTACAATCTATATCTATCCTGTCATTTCCTATGAAATACTGTGTTTTGATGCATTTTCCCACAAACTATATTTGATCTAAATTGATAAAAAGAAAGGCCTAGCTGCATCTTAAGCTGGTAATGTGTACACAGCCATAAACTCTCTGGGGGAGACAGGATTTTGCTACATGCCTGCTGTCTTGACTAGTTCCAGACTAGTGCACTATTGCCACCCAAGTTACCTACAAAAATAAATGGACAATTTTTTATATGTGGGGAGATGAAGCAAATGCTTTATATTGTATAAATAACTAAAGTGATAATTAGTGTAGTTCAGCTCAGAAATAATACTTTTCAACAGAGATAGTTCACACATGCAGTTATTTAAGTCTTCATGTACTAATTAAATCTAGAGAACAAGTGATGAATATTCATGAGTAGAATTAATCAATGAGTAGAAGTAATACTTTTAAAGAGAGATAACAGTATGCTACTATGTTAATAGAATTTAAGTATTTATGATTACAATCCAGTGGTGGTACTACACACCTACGTGCTGTGGAAAATAGTCCTGAAAAGTTGCAAATGGCTCAGTCGTACTAAATGAGCATTGATCATTTGCCTTATATTCTATTTTCGGACTCTTATCTGTGTTGATTGCAAGCTACAAGTTGCTGGTTGGAAGCCCAAAGTTGTGCAGCATTTTTTTTTATTCTTCTGGAGTTTTAAGTTCCAAATCAATATAATATGAGGATATTTATCATCATAATGACTGTTCTGGAGTACCCCAAGGATGAGCTAAGAACCTGAACACTGATTAAAAGACATAAGGGATCAACACTCCCCTCTGAGGACAATGATGGACAGAGTGGAGGAAGCTGAAGCGGTGAGCCAAGCACTTAGAGAAGCCCTGTGAGGATGTTTTATTTGCACATTTGTTTATTTGCCTATCCAACATATGGCTGGTGCATAACCTGGAGTAATGGTTCTTACTAGAAATGGTACAAGAAACACCACTTGTATCTGAAAGTGTTCCACATGTGAGAGAAAGGCAAAATACCTATTCTTCCAGTGCATCTAGTGAAATGCACTCAGCAAAGAACTGATGGTCGATGTTCTCCATGCATCATTTTCAATCTGCTACTATAATCTTCCACTTTTCTGCAAGGGAGTTTGCCCATGTCTTCTCTTCATTGCTTTGCTACTGAAGGCAGGAGACAGGTTCCATCATAAGGCGAGCCACTATGACATCAGCAGCCCAACCTGACATCAGTAGCCAATAGCATTCACTGCACAGGAATGAAAGATGGGAAGCAGGGGTGAGACCCTGAGCTAAAGGGATGACATGGAAACAAGCAGTGTATGGAGGGAAGGTGATGAAGTCAAGGAGGAATGCAAGTAGTAAGTCTGATAAAGAAGGTGTGGAAGAAGAAAAGCTTAAGGAGACAGAAGCTGGATCAGGAGAAGCTTGAAGGCTTACAAAATGAGAAGAAGCCAATATCAGAGAAAGAGAAGAGGTGGCAGGAGTTCGAGGGAAGATGTGAAATAATGCAGCAGGCAGAGGAGGCATGAAGGCAAAGAGATGGGAGGGACCCAGAGAAGAGAAGGTAGGGCAATGCCACTTGGGAGCAGGAAAACTTGGGCATACAGTCTCTCTTTGTAACCACATTTTCAACATGCGCCACTCCCACCATTTCCACAGGAGTATGAATAAATACCACAATATACCTATAAGTGAAGAGTTTTAACACAATTTATTTTATGCTTAAATAATCAACTAGATCATCCAGTGTTTGTGTTTTCTTCATACATATTTAATTAGAGCTATTATCAATGAAACCTGTTTTCATATGAAGATAATTAACAAATTAAAGTATTTCACCAAAAACCCAAATAAAAATGCCCTTTAAAACACAGCAGCCTTAGCAACCTAATATTACACTGCTAGAATGATTACAGATGATTGGCTTACTTAAAGATTCTACATCTTAGAGCCAGTACACAATACAGTAATATTTTTACAGCGTGCTGCCAGTCTGTTAGCTAAGAATTTCTCTTCATTTCTTTTTTTTTTTTAAATATCCCAAACTTGTGCTGACAAGAGCACCAACCCACTTCTAAAAGCTGCAAGCATATTCCCCCTGGTATAAAGCAAGAACAGATAGCACCCCCCTCCCTATAATGCAACTACTGTATATGTTATGGTTTCTTTAAATTTCAGGTCGTTTCCATTGAAAAAATTGGCAACAGCAACAAATATTAGATGAAGGGCTTTGTGTTTACAGGTAAAGGGCACACTCCGCCAAGCACTGCTGCTGTGTAACCAGCCTTCGTTTTCAGTGGCGGTTGTGCTGGAGCCCACTGCAAGCCCCATTTAAATGCCCGGGGGGGTGGGAGGGGCCTTAGCAGCTGTGCTTGGTTGATTGCACCCCCCAGAGTTTTATTTGTCACATTGCGGCCTAGTGTTTGCAAAACTGGAAAAGATTTCATCAAAATAAGGTGAATCGCATGCATCAAAATATTAGTACTCTGAAGAAAAAAAATGTTTTTTTCACAGAACTACAGAATTCCTCATTTTAGGAATCATTAAATTTGCAGCAGATTTTAAAGATTTTTTTAAAATCAAGCTAGCGTTTTGCATATACAAACATTATAATCGCTAAATATACAAGAATCTGTGAAGATACACCCAGAATACCCCTGCAGGTGTAGCCGTTTGAGACACTGATTTCTGTTCAACATGAATGCAATATTCCGTTTGTGAGCTAAGAATTATCAACATTTATTCTACTTCTCCTTAGAATTTATACAGTGTTATTTATTTACAGTGAAACTATTGATGTTAGTTATTTTTTTCCTTAAAAAAAGAGAAAAAAACGAAAGAGTATTTTATTACCCTGACAGTTTGGGTCCAAGAAAAATAAGGCGAGCTGTTGTGGATTTTAGTAAATTTTAGTGTCTTTCTGTGGCTTAAACCATTTTTTCAGTGTCGTTACATCCCCTCATCCTACAGGAATTTCTTTTTTCAGATGACATCAAATTGCTTCAACGAAGCTGTTCCAGTGTGGGAATCTTGTATATACACTGCATCGTTCTCCATTGCACACTCTCCAATGCTGTGAATGAAAGTGAATTTCCATGCTCTTGTAGAACTGGCTCATGCTAAATTAAATTTTTTTTTGTTCGTCGCATAAAATCCATGCGGTTAATGTGTGGAAGCAGCAAACACACACACACACACGCTTTATCAGTGACTTGAAAATTCCTGTTGATTTTTTCCCCCATTTCCTTGAGTTTCTCTCTAGAATACTGGCAGTAAAAGCGTACACAGTCTTGAGACAGAAGGGAGAGGGGTGAGGGAAGAAGAAGAAAAAAACAGTACCAATATCAGAAATCTACCTTTCAAAAGCACCTAATATTTCAGTCCTAAAGATTCCTTTGGCATAAGCAGTAATGACATATCTTTGCAATAGCGGCTTAAGTGTATGTTTTTGTGGTGTTGGCCTGCACAGGCCACCCTAAGCATGTCTTTGTGTAGAAAGGGGCGTGCTGGTGCAACATTTGATAACTTGGCATAATCACATTAAAGTTATGGTACCTGAAAGATCGTCACACTCCTTTTATTCATAAATTATCACTATGCTCTGCAAGAGAGGGCCTCCTTCAGGTACCATCTCATCAAAAGTTCTGTTCCATGCAATACAGGAATCAGACCATTACTGTGGTGGCACCTGCCCTTTTGGTACTCCCGCAATTTAAAAGATAGGCACCATCTCTAGTGTATTTCCGTTGGCTAGCAAATACTTTCCTTTTTCAGCAAGCCTTTTAAGTAGAGATTTTTGTCCCAGTCTGTGTCTGTATTGAATCTGTAACTCTCTTAACATATGCCATTGTTGCTGGCGTGCCTCTTTATTGCTTCCTAAGACTCCATTTTTGCTCAGAGTATTAAGAGTAGAATGTCTGTGTAGCAAACTGACCATTTGCTGTTTGTATGTTATGAATACGTCGTCTTCTCCACATGCCGGACTTCCTTCTTCGTCTTCATCTTATAACCTTCTCCCTGCTTTAATGGAAAGGTATACATTCAGAAATCAGATGCCGAGGTTGCTATCAAACTGATTTCTAGCAGGTCCCATGCAGCTGGAATGGGACAAGTAAGAAGCTGTTAAATCTGAGCACTTCAGAGACACACAAACCACAGCTCTGTAGCCAGTTTACTAAGCTGCAAAAACACAAGCTTTCAGTACCATCTGAGTACAGGAAACATAGCTTTACAATGTTATGAATTGTATGCTAGACTGGGATCTGCCGCAGTTCAGTGATTATCAGGAAATATCACAGGTCTACTTCCCTTAAAGCAATTTTGAATTTTGAATGTTTCACCCCTCTTGAAAAACCAGATTCCCAGATTTCCCTTTCTGGGCATCCCAAGTTAGCAGTTCCTTTGGAAACAAAGCTCACTGCTCTTAAGAGAGTTCATAACAGCTCAGCTTCAACTGAAGTAGATTAGTAATGGAGAAAATGTCATGAAAGGGAGGAAGAGGAAAGCCAGTAAAAGTATTTGCTAAAGCGAAACACATCTGCAACAAAATCTAAAAGCTGACACACAGTGCAGATCTCCTGTCTTTTGCCACTGAAAGACAATACCCAAAGGTGCAGAGTACTGTTGAAGGAATGAAAGCTCATTGGTATTAATGAAAAAATGTGGTCTCTAAAAAGCATAGGTCTGATACAGAAGAACCAGAATTTTCACAAGTTGCTTTTTCTGAAAATTGTGAGATGCAAGTGATGGTCTCAGCCTACTCTCCCTTCTAACTACATAATGGTGTTCCATGATGCTGAACCTGGTACTCAGTTGGACAAGGAAAACCATGGTTAGACAATCCCATTTCCTCCTCATTAATGTCTGTCATTCTCCCTGTTTTGGTTTTTTTTAAATTTAATTCATTGAGAGTATTCCATTCTCCTGATGTAGAAATACATTTTTCTCACATTTTTTCCTTTTAAATTGGCAAACCAACTTTTGCCTGCAGATGGAACATAGCCCTACTGGCAAAGAATTGGCAGCATCAAAACATTTTGTTAGAAGAAAGTTGTGCTTTTGACAGGGTAACCAAGTAAACCCTTAGGTTAGGTCATTAACTTGTGCTGGCCAGTTTTAATGGGGGGGGGGGCAGTCTGTGAATTAAGGGCACACTTGTTTATTTTTTGATGCTGTTTTGCTTCTGGGATGTTGCTGTAATTGAGAATGGCTTTAGCCTTTCTTTTTTTAAAAGAAAGCAACCTTCCCTTTTTAGGATAAGCAATACCTTTTGTTTATTAAATAGCATGGTATCGTCTTTCAACTTCTCAAAAAGGACAAGTGCTTAAGTCTGGGTATTGTGCAAACTTACCTTAAATGTAATTCATTAATTGGTTAAAAAACAGGTGATTAATCAAGACTTTCCCTAGGGCCTTTTTAAAAAATGGGAACTCAAAGATCATTAGAAAAGCTGACTTCAATTTGGACCTTAATAGGGGAAAATTTAGAAGAAGAAGAATTGCTTGGTGCTAAAAAGTAAAAAACCAAAACAAAATCCCTCCACAAATCTGACATTGTTTTAGTCTGTAATCCAAACGTCAAGGATAAGAAACCTCCCTGATAGCTTTCGATTCCCATCAGTATCGGGCATTGTGGATAGTGGTCAGGATTGAGGGCAGCTATAGTCCAGAAACATCTAGAGGGCTACAGGCTTCCCATTGCTGGTTCTTGTTTCATGCTTGCACCGTTGGCTACCTGCAGTGCAATCCTAGCATAACATTTCCTGGAAAGTCACTCCTACTATGTCCACTGGAGGTGGGGACTACTCCCAGGTAGGTTTCCACAGGATTCCAGCCTGTGCCACAGAAAGCTCTTTTACAGCAAAAGACCACAAAGTTAGCCCCCCCCCTCCAGTTTGCTCTGTGTCAGCCTCTGTCAAGCTAGTAAAAGAAACTGGAGGAGGTGGTAGGAGATGGGAGTGGCAAAGTGTGTTCAGGCTCAGACTCTGCCATTTCAAATGGCTGTATTAAAAACCACTCCTAATGCTAACGTTTCCTACTAGAATATCAAAATGAAATACATTTCTCTCAAGAATCTGAAGGCACTGAATGAAAAACCAAAGAACCCTGCCAGCACACAACACACTATTTGTGAGACTTCGCCTTTTCTGAGTTCAAATGCACAGCTTGTCAAAAGCACAGGCACTCTTGCTTTGCATTGCTTTAATGTTAAACTGCAAGCAGTCTTTAGCATTTAGAGAACCAACACAGCCCTTATTTGCTATTCCTGCATACACACG